CCTTGCCGACCTTGGCCACCGCTGGTTTCTCCTCCGGGTCGGTAACTTCAGATAGCTCTTCAGCTGCAGTTGGCTTCTCCTTGGGAACTTTAGACCACACCGCCTTGTTGTCTTTGATTTGCGCTGGCTTCTCCTTGAGAACTTCAGAAAGCACATCTTCCACAGTCGTCGCCATATTGAGTGTTGGCGTCTTCGGTTTCATGCGAGCTTTCCGCTGTGGTGCACTTGTCGAAGTTTCGCACTCTTCCGCTTTAGTAGATTCGACTATAGCGACCATGTTGAGATCACTGAAGAATCAAAAGTCCTGTATAAAATCAATTCTAAGAAACTTTTTCTTGGAACACTGAGAGAAATGAGGGTTTAAAAATAGGGAATGGGTTATTGGAATGGCGAAAGGTATACATATTACAACATTTGTATAGTACAAAGGAGGCGTGTATTTACAGCGTTGCGATTCGTTCGCCTTTCTCCGAGACAATGCAGTATCCCTTAGACCACGGCTGCTTGCCTTAGAGCGAACTTGAATTAAGCCACAGGAGTCGCTGCGCGGTCTTATTGACTGATAGCTGCGGAATCTTGCAGTCATGGACACGTCTCTCAATCCTCTCAAATTCGATGTGATAGATCCCTCGTGTCTTGTAGAGGAAAAACAAACGTTTGATATATGACAGACATTTACTCAAGTAATATATGGGGTGATGTTTGACATGCAGCAAAACCTTATCCCATTGCCGTATTAGGACCAGGAAGGAGTGTCGTTGCATGTCGAATACTCGTTGGTAGCTGTAGAACATTTGACAGATGTTAGATACATGACAGACTTTTGACACACGGGATATGGTTTAACACATGATAGCGCGTTCGACATGCAACAAAACCAGTGTTATGTAGAGAGTAGGGGGGAGTTTAGCTGCATGTGGAGCATTTTATCTAACGTCTGGTGTCGACAGGCTTTGAATAGCGCGGTATGTTCAACATGTGATGCTCGGCACAACAAAGCACTTCACACAAGAAGTTTAATATGTGATAGATAGGCATTTAGTATGCTGGTTATCTACCTACCTGTATATTTAACATATAGTAGAACCCTCAACATGCAACAAAACTGTTCCCTATTCCTTACACAAGATGGAATAGTCAAATATCCTCATCCGGGTCCGCCAGGCCAGGCCAGTTAAAAGAAGACAGTCTCTAGCCATATTTCTTGATCAAGCTCTTCATGATCTGTACAGCGCCACTTCTATACGAACCGCCAAAAATGGCATAGTGGTTTAGATGGTGGTATCTAAGTATATTTATTAGCCCTCAGTGCTTCGGTTACCAAAGTGATAGTGCAAGTATTGGCCAAATCTTAGCCAGCGAAAGAGTACTACTATTCAAAACCGATTCAGGAGAAACTGAAACGTCCAACTTACAACTCATACAGCTTCACCCTATCCTCCCACTCCTCCTTCGGCTCATCCTTGTTCTTATAGCTCTCATACTCGCGCTCAAAAGCGCCTCCAAACCCACCAAACATCCTCATAATCCCAAATTCAAACTCGGAATGTGCCCAGCAGGAGCTGGGGTCATACACTACCTCTTCGACCGACCCACCGCCAATGGATCCCCTACCATGGTTTCCGCTCCAGAGGTCCCCGTGCACTACGACGGGGATGATGGGGCCACCGGTTTGGCCGGATTTTAGGTGGGTGGATGAGAGGAGACGGGGGGCGATACGAGTGGATGTTTTGGAGATCAGCTGGGCGACGTTAGTGTGCGTTGGAGGAAAGTGTTGGCTGGGTTGTGGGAAATAATGTGTAGTAGATAGGGGTAATTGAGAAAGGGGCTGATGAGGCTGGATAACGGTTTCGTAGACTTGCTCCCCCAAGCAAGGCTTTCCCCCTTAACTGCACCCATTTTAATCAAGATAACAAACGAAACCCCATCTCACTCACCTCTGCTAACTCCCCATCCGCACCATACTTCCTCTCAATCTCCCTCCCAATGCCACCCAAGCGCCTCGCGGCATAAAACCTCGACCAATCCTCCTCAAACCCGTTATCCTGCTCCGTATCACCACAGCACGTGGCAACCGGGAACCCAAACACGGGCTTCCCATAGCCGTCCGGGATAGGCGCCGGTGTACTGTGCAACTTTGCGAGTTTTTGGGCGAGGCTTTGCCCCGAAGATGGGGCGGATGTGAGGGATAGGAAATCAGTTGCCAGGAAGGAGCCGTTGGTGTTGGAGAGGGGGCCGTGGGCGTGGGATTTGGGACATAGGGATGGGACGGCGGTATGGATCCCATTGAGGGATGCGTGTTCGCCTTTTTGAAAGGTTGGTTTTATGTTTTATGATTTGATTTTGGGTTTTTGTTTTTCTCTTCGCAGGCAGCGAAAACAAGACAGCGGGGAAAGAGATTGAGGACCATCTATCTTCTGATATATGACCACCCGTGAGCTTCCTTTCTCACTTGAGACGATGATAAAATCAAACAAGCCAAAAGCAAATGAACCAAGCCATCTCATCCTATTTATAGACATTTCCCCCAAAAACTTAAGAAATAGACAACCATCAATAACACAAACCCAACCAACACAAAATTAAACTTAAAAAAAAACACCCTCTCACTCACCAGCAAACATAACCTCACTCCCCCTCCCCTTCCCGATCTTTACAAAGTAAATCTTCTCCTCTCCATGCCCTTCGTTACTCGAGAGCTTGAATGTCGACGAGAAACCGGAGCCCCCATGTGAGGATATCTTCGTTGTTGCAGCATGGAGAGAGAGCGCTGAAAGGATTGCTGGGTCGATTGGTGGTGTCATGGGGGATTTCCTGTTCTTAATTTGGTTTTAAGTTTTAAGAGAAGGTGGGAAAAGGGATGGCGAGGGACCTAGGTATGGTTTGGTTTGGGTTTAGTAGAGGAGAGGTAGGGAAGGGAGTTGGGTGTGGCATGACGTAAGGTCATGTGGGGGCGGTAGTATATAGGGGGTTTAATTTATTTTGGAAGGTTTAGACAAGAAAGATAGAGTAACTTCCTTTTAATAGGTCTTCGCAATAAATCAGCTACGGATCTCCATGTAGCTGTAGCTGTGTTGAAAAGTAACTGCCTGGAAAGTAACTATGTAAAACAGCAAAAAGTCTAATATAACCCCACCCCTCGCCCTTGACGAACATATACAAGTAGTCTAAAATCTGCAATATAAACAACGAAAACACATAAAGTGTAAAACACATCATCATATTCACATAAAACCATCACCATAATACACCTCTCTCCCATCCCATCCCATTACATCAACGTCCGACTCCTCCTCGGATCCGCCGCCTCGCCCCTTCTATAATCCCTTACTTCTTTAGTCCCCAGACTGCCCAAGCCCCCTTCTCCCCTCCTTTCCCATCCACCTAGTCTAACAACTAGGCACGTCGCATTATCCCCCTCGCGGGTAACTTCTGTTGCGAAAGAAACCACATCCCCAGCGCCCTGCTCAGGGGTTTTCGCTTCTTTAACAACATCCACGATTTCTTGGTCGCTAAGCGTTCCGCTCACTCCATCACTAACCAGGACAAGGAAACTATATTCTGCAGGCGCGAGCTCGACGCGTCGGATTTCCGGCTCGGCCGAGACGCCGATTCGTTTAGAACGCATGTCGCCGAAGGAGCGCGTGTTAGCTAGGCCGGACATTCGCTCTTCGCCGAAGGAGTCCGTTACGAATGTAGCGGCGTACCGACGGAGACGTGTACTTTCGACCGGGGCGGATGGGTGGTGGTTGGTTGTTAATGGTTTGGCGAGACCGGTTGCTGTGTCGCAGAGGATGACGCGGGTATCGCCTACGTGGGCGGTGATGAGGGAAGAGGGGGACGCGGGGTGCCAGAAGGGTGTTGGAGTTGGGGTAGAGATTAGAGCAATAGAAGCGGTTGAGCCGCCTATGAAACGGGTTGGGCCCCCGATACGGGTTTTCGTTGAGGCGCGGTAGGCGGGTTCGCCGAGGATGTCTTCTGCGTTTAAGGGCTCGTCGCTGTGGGCGTCGGGGTCTGGTTTTCGGGCTTGGGCGGTGACGAAGTCGAGGTCGGCTTTGAGGAACGAGTACATCAGGACCGACTCGATGGATAAGGGAGCATCCACTGGGGGTGAACCATCTCTGGGTAGCGGTAGGGAGAAAAAGTCGGGTCTGAAGCGCTTAAAGTATCCCCCGACTGTGTCCTTCCACTGATCAAGCAGTGACCTTTCCAGCTCAACCGCTTTCGGCTCATTAGCCTCGATAGCCTCTGGGTCCCCGCCCTCTAGAGCAGTATTCGCAGGTGATTCCCCAACATCTCCCTCTTGACTCAGGGGCGTAACAGACGTCGAGTCCTGCACCTCCTCCTTCCCTTTCATTTCCACTTTCTGAAGACTCTCCTTCCCATCCGTAGGTAGATCCCTAGCACTATTGCCCCCGCTCCCCGCAGCATCAATCTCCGTGCCCCTCCCTTTCTTCAAACTCGAGCCCAATTCAAATGTCTTCGCAGTGCTCTCAATATAATTATGCAATTCCTCCCTCAGGAAATCACTACATTCATTTCCACCATGTCCATCAAACACCCCAAAATAGAAGACCTGTGGATCTCCACTCGCGCTATCCGCCCCCGTCGCTGCCTCCTTCTGCCCCGAACGACTCAGGCTTATAGGTGCCCGTTTTGCAAATGCGGGAATCTCTAGCGTGCCTGCTTGGTATGTATCTTCATTATAAGGCCGTGTCCCACGTGAGAGGAAGACACCGAAGTGGTGTTTTGCGCTTCGGAGGGGGATGCGTACTACTGTAAGTTCGCGGGAGGTGCCAATCATGGGCGGGGCCGCGGCTGGTGAGGGTCCGCTTCCTGGAGTGTGAGGTGTCGAGGCTGAGCGCGGGAGTTTGTGGTGGGGACCGGTTGGAGGTCGGGAGTCGGGATGGAGGGAGGAGGAGGGGAGGTTAGTGACGAAGTAGCTGTGGAAATGTCGGCGTTGTTGGGTTTGACGACGTGACGAATGTGATGTTGCTGTTTCTCTATGTAACCCATTGATATCTACCCTTGCTATGCGTCTACTCGATGGCCAAGAAAAACATCGCTGGCCCGAAAAACCCGGGTCTTGAGCGAAGTGTCGTGGCCCGCGGTGTCCAGATTTCGTAACGAATGAAGCAATGAACCCTAAATGAACGCCCATCATCAGCCCAAATACTTGCATTCCTTCACGCCCTCATTCATAACCACATACCATAACTATCCGCCAGCGACCACGGCCCGCGACGGGCCGAGGACTTGACATTCATGCCAGGCATGTTGAAGATATGCGCTGCGGGCAGCTGGAGCGTTTACCACCCGAGAAACAGACGGCACAGAGCCAATCGACAGCAAGAGCAGAGGATTTAGTCTGGCCATCGGAGGAATATTGAACACGAAGGATGTTTCTTCTGCGGATGTTGTTGGGGGAAATCTGCCGCGGGGTTTGGTGTTGCGCTGCCAGGACCACGTACTGTACGTCGACGGCGGGAGGGCAAAGGCGGTAGGTAACTAGGGATTTAAAATATAATCACCTAGTTAGATAGATAGATAGATAGATAGATAGAGCATGTCGCCCCCCGCGCGCGAAGTGGCGATGGGTGAGTGTTGAGGTGCGCGAGGAAAACGAAGCTGTTGAAACTTGAAAGAGTGGAATTCCGGGTGGAAATACGTAATAGTGAGAAGGGGGCTTCGTCGTCGGTTCTCGGCGTTGGCGTTGGCGTTGGCAGTTGGCAGTTGGGGCTGGCAGTCAATAATAAAATACGATAACGGTTGGGAACTGGGAACTGGTTTTTGGTCGGCAGCCGGCCCGATCCTCGCTCACTGCAGTGCGATGGTGGGCTCGGCTGAGTAATGCGGTAACTGAGTTGCGTTTGCCCCTTTTTTTGGGTTGTACTGTATCACTTAGTGGTAGATGGTAACATAGAGTAATGGTTTTGTAGCGTATTTTTATATCTTTATATGTCTTATTCCAGCCCATTATAGCAAAATATCAATAAGCAAAGCAACAATTAATTCAAACCTGGGTATCCTAAGCCATACGGGCTCGCGATATGCGAAGTAGTGCTTCATACGTCCTTACACATCTCCGCCTCCTGTAGATCCTCATAACACTGTACGACCTCCCTTATCCAGCCTTACTCTGTTCCACAGACTGTCTACTACTACTCGCAGCGGCCCCTTGGCTCATTCCCGTAATACGTCGCTCTTCAGCGGCTCTGCTTGCAGCGCCCATATCCGCCATGCCGTACCTGACACCCAGTTAGTCAGTCTCGGACTTTTAGATAGTGAAGGTAGGAGGAAAACATACCAGGAGATGACAGCAAGACCGAGAAGTGCGGCAACAATGCTGAATGTAAGTGCGACAATGCCGCGAGGTGTAAATCCGTCTGGTAGAGGTGCGTGTGCCTCATTGGCACCAGATAAGTCAAGCAAATCATCAGTGTTCCCGGCAGCATTACCGGCAAATGGGACCTTCTCAGCCTTACATGCGGCAATGTGATCATCGGGAATTATGAGGGTCTTTTGGAGTTCCAAGGGCGCCTCGACCATTGTGGCGACTAGGCCTTGATCCATGTGCCATTCGATGCTAGAATATCGAGTCAGCTATCATTGCTTGGTTGAGGTAAGATGCTCGGTGATTAACATCCTGGAACAAGAAAGGAAAGTGAGTTTGCTGGGAATTGGGGGTACTTACTGGCAATGGAACAACCACACCCCGGGGTTATCTGCCTTGAACCGCAAAACAGTATTGCCATTAGGATGGAGAACAATAGTATCTCTCCTCATAGGAATGGCCGGATACCCTGTCTGAGTAGCATTCGTTGCATCAAAATCCCCTGCTTCTTCATCTGAACGGACAATGGATTGGAAATGATGACCGTGAAGATGAAATGGATGTTTTCCAGAGTCTAGGATACTATTAGTAAGTTAACCGTCCAAGGAAATCATGAATGACGCAAGTACAAACCATGATTGTTTACTACGATTTCAACGATTTGATCTTTCTCAAGGACGAATGAGTGGGAATATTCGCCATAAACCAATGGGTTGACAGCATCTTTACCGGCAGTCATAGCGGTATATAACGTCGGTACTTTCTGAGCTGCATAGCTGATGTTGTTGAAGAAAGCGCTGGCAGCTGTTAGTATATCGGTGCCCACTGCGAAATCAGATACACATACTATGGCTTGCCATCCCCAAGCATATCCATGATGACATCAAAAGTAATAGTCTGATCTGGCTCCGGGAACAGGGGCTGCTTATCAAATGGAACCAGAGTGAAATCATCAAATTCGATAAGTTCGTCCACTTCTGCTGGATCAGGAAGTGGCTTCTCTTTGTCGTAAACGAGCCAGCCGGTTGAATTCCAATTCAAGTCATCTGGCATCACGTCGAAGAGAGACTATTTCTTCGTTAGTGATGTGTTATAGTGGTCATTCCCGTGGACTTACAGTGTCCATACTGGCAACAATGGCATAGTTCGCCGTCGTGTCGTTCTTGGTGGTGATTAGGAAACTACATCGCTGCGCAGCAGAGAGATATATCATTTCCGCCTCGGCCTTGTCAGTAAAAACCCCATCAACTTCAACTATAGTCATGTTATGGCCCTCAAACCAGACATACTGTCCAGCAAAGGCACCAATATTGACCATGTGGAATAGATATGTCTTCCCAGGTTGAACCGAAACAGTCAGATTTTGCGTATCGTTCATCAACGCAGATTGGGGAACAGGTTCCGCGCCCGTGGGGTTACCTTTGTACAGGAATTTAGGGATCAGGTCCTGCATCTCCTCATGATACCAGTCGGAAACCGATAAAATGAATTCCTCGTCGACTTCTTCTTGGTAGGGGAATTTTGGGTCGCTGATGAAAAAAGGCGCCCGGATTCCGTCGGGATATTGGCCCTGGCCATGAGAATGGTACCAGTACGTGCCTGATTGCTCGACCTGCGACTTATTAGTATTTGCCCTCATATTTCAATTGGTGTGACTTACTGTGAAGTTGTACTTTAATTGTGATCCTGGAGTAATGCTACACTGAGTAACCTGTCTCGCGCCATCCATGGTTACGCTTCCGTTTTGGAAGATGCCGTGGAAGTGTAGACTTGTGCTCTGGTTGCCGAGTTGGTTGTCCACATTCACAATAACTCGATCGCCAATAGTGGCCCTCATTATTGGAGGCGGCCATTGCCCATTGATGCCGATAACTGGTCTCTCGGAAAGCCCATCGGGATTAGCTCTCACCCAGGAGATCTTGAAGTCGTAGGTTACGGTAGCTGCTTCCGCGAGGAGGGCGAATGCGAGAAGCAGCCCCGATAAAATGGGGAAGTACGATAATGAGATGGCCATTTTCCAGTCGTAAGGTCAATGTCTAAGATTAAATGCAGTGGAGATGGGCGTCGACTTCAAAGTCTCATCGAGGGACTTTGAGGCGGGTTTGATTTGGAGAATGTAATCAGTGACACTTTGGGTGCACAGCTAGACAGCTCTACAGAGAAATTTGGAGTGATTTTCCACAATCAATATCATCAGCGCCTAAGAACGCAAAATACAGCGAGGGGTGCGTGAGAAAACAACACAGGTTCTCAGACGGGTGAAACTAGGACGGATTGAACGTGAAGGAAGAGCTTGTGGAGGGACGCGATCGGACAAGGTGATCTGATTACAATGTGGTGCTGGGTTCCCTCGCACGGCTCCTGGGCTGTTATCAGATTAAACCACTAGTACAGTACAAGCAGCCTCCTCCGGGTGGGACTTGCTAGAGAATTAACTGATTCGGCGGAGAAGTGTTGGGTGGGATGTGGCGCCCAGCAGGCCGGGATTCCCAGGAGGCCGTCGACCGTGTCGATCCAAGACTTGGTCCGGAGTAAACCGTGTGGGGACACAGCAGATGGAACAAGAGCGAGCAGCGCGGGGTGGAATTGAGAATCGGGGTCGTCTGACTGGTAAAGCCTCAAGAGATTATTACGTACGGGATGAGTGTTGTGGACTGGTTTGTATTGTATTGTCGAGGTGGCCGAGGTGGAGGTGACAGCTCTCAAAGTTTCAGTCAATATAATTGATAATGGATAAACGATGCCACCACGAACGGGCGGGATGAAATTGAGAATATCCAGCAGCTAGCTACAGACGGCAGAAAGAAGCGGACAAGGGAGGTAAGTAGAATAGCATGTCCAGGGTTGATGCTGGGAACAGCAGAACCAGAAACATGGCCATGTACAAAGTACATGTACATGTACCTGGTGCGGTTACTCTGTACTGCAGAGTCCAACTACCAGCAGCCTACTCTCCGCAAACAACAAGACGTATAGTGCCTTAATTAGCATATACCTAGAGATAGCTGCTAATTTCTCTAACTGATCTGGCTCGTACAAAGCATCAGAAAAGACAGTGCGAGCCCAATTCTGGCGCGGAGCGGAGACGCAGCAAGCAAACTAATTTCTGAGACCTGACAGCCGGCTATAAAGTAACTGTAAATACCTTGCAGTCTTGCAGTCTGCACTTGCAGGCATGGCGTAGCGTAGCGCAGTTATCTGATCCCGAGGTAGGCTCTGATTCGCCGGAAGGAGGAAAAAGCTTGGTGCAGGAATGACATCTTGATTCCCAATAAGTATTATCAGATCCGCACGGGAGCAGGGCGTTAACCCTGTTGGGGCAAGTCGGGCGTGGGGCGAGGTCAGTGATTCGTTAGTATTGGAGGTCGAGACACAGGCTCAAGCTTTTCCCCAGTGACGGCCAAGACCAATTTTTTTTCTTTTGCCGGAATCTCGAAACAAGTCTTGCACACGGCCTCGATGTAGAATGCTTGTTTGTGCTGGATGATACCCGTTCTGCCTCTGCCTCTGTCTCTGCCTCTGCTTCGTGTTGAGACGACTCCTCCGTATGTTTTGGGACAGGATCAATCACAGCTACTGTACGAAGTACTGCGTACTTACTTCTCACAGTAGCACCACTAGAGCTTCCGGTTATCGGCCCAGAACTGGAACATCAGTCTAGTTATTATTACTCCAGACCACAGTGGCCTGACAATGGCCGTTCTGGGCCAGGATAGTCCGTATGCACCCGGGACCTGTGGCCGCTGTCGGGCAATCCCAAGCGTTGGTGTCCAGGCCCTGGGGGGGCCTTGCCAGGCCTATCAATAATACTCCGTGTATCCCTAACCTTAAGGCTTGAGGCTTGCGGAGATGCACGAAGCTCATCACTACAGGAATAATGTGCCGTTGTAGTCTGTGCTATGCACGAAGTCCGGCGGATAGTACCGGGAGAACTGCCCCACGGCGCCCCAGCAGGAAGCACGCAGCCTAGAAACAGCTGCTATTGCCTGCTTGCCTGCTATAACAAAACTCCTGCCCCCGTCCCACTTCCTCTCTAATCAGATCCTGCTGCGTTATCAGATCCCCCCTCCTCTCCTCCAATCGTCCTGCTGGCGTACCAACCGGTATTAATAACGCCTCACGGGTACCAGTTCCTGTACCATCGACTCGATTTGAGCAGCCCCAATTCTCTCTTACTCGCTGGGTCTTCATCTCAGTATCAGTTGTCAACCCATCTTTCCCCCCAATTTACTTCGTATCCTCAGTGTCCAGCCTTGCTTGCACTCAGTCCATAACTTATATTCCCTCCCCCTTAGTCTGGCAAAAGATGACGGTCAATGTCTTCGCAGTCCCCGTGTTCTTCATCGTGTTCCGCGAGACCTTGGAGACTGCGGTGATTGTCTCCGTCCTGCTGGCCTTCCTGAAGCAAACCCTCGATGGTCCGCATCGCGATGTCGCCGTGTATAAAAAGCTTGTCAGGCAGGTAAGTGTCTCGTTCTGTGCTTCCCTACCCCTGAACCTCTTCTCACCATTTTATAGGTCTGGTATGGCACCGCCATAGGCGTTCTTATATGTATGATCATCGGCGCCGCCCTTATCGGCACATTCTACCGCTTTGGCAGGGACAGCTGGGCCTCTACCGAATATTATTGGGAAGGCTCGTTTGCTCTAGTGGCTGCTCTGGTGATCAGTGTTCTCGGTGCCGCTCTCCTTCGCGTCGCCAAAATGCAAGAGAAATGGCGGGTCAAGCTGGCCAAAGCGCTCGAGGAAAAGCCAGCAACGACCGATGGCAAGAAAGGTGCCTTTAAGCGGTGGTGCGAGAAGTACGCCATGTTCATGCTTCCCTTTATTACCGTTCTTCGGGAAGGTCTTGAGGCCATTGTATTCGTTGCTGGTGTCTCCTTCTCCTCGCCTGCAGCTTCTGTTCCACTTCCTGTTGTGATGGGTCTGCTCGCTGGATTTGCCGTTGGATATCTGCTCTACAAGTGAGTCTTCCGAAACCTATTGGACGAAATGCCTCTAACAAGTTTAGGGGTGGTTCCTCCACGAGCTTGCAAATATTCCTTGTCATTTCCACCTGTCTCCTTTATCTTGTCGCCGCCGGCCTCTTCTCCAGATCAATCTGGTACTTCCAAGCACAAGACTGGAACAATATCGTTGGTGGTGATGCTGCTGAAGTTGGAGCCGGTCCGGGGTCATATGATATCGACCGAAGTGTATGGCATATAAACCTTGGTAACCCAGGACTGAACGGCGGCAGCGGATGGGGTATCTTCAACGCCATTCTCGGCTGGACCAATTCCGCAACCTACGGTTCCGTCATCTCGTACAACGTGTACTGGATCGCAGTCATCATCGGCTTCCTCCTGATGCGATACAACGAGACGAAAGGCCACCTTCCATTTATGAAAGCCGAGAAGTCTGACGATCCCGAGGTCAGGAGCAATAGCTCTGACAGCAACGGAGTCTTCAGACAGGACAGCCAAAGCAAAGAAGGGACGGCTGAAACAACGGAGGTCCCATCAAGGACGATTTCCGAATAGATGCAGAAACAAGACGTGTAAGCGCGGAAAAGTGGGATAGCGGAAGCCAGTATGGCATATGAGATGGAGTTTTTGGAGTTAATGAGTGCCTGCATACCCAGTTGTGGCAGCATATCATATCCGTACTGGTTTTATCACTGTATGGGTATCCGATATCTCGAGTTGTCTTGTAAATATGCGCTTGGAGGTAGAGCTAGCCACTCGGCGGGCATCTGAAGAGGAGGACTAATAAGGAAGAAAATATGATTGCGAATATCCCATCCCAAATTAAGCCGTCTTAGTTCACTACTTGAATCTCAACAGTCTAGCACCCAATAAACCTCCTCTGACTCTGCTTTTCTACCATATTACTGCCGTATAAAATTCCACACCGCACCCAAGAAAGTAAGAAAGCTGTATGCGTGAAAAATGCAGGTGAGAGTGTGAAAGAAAGGACGCGGTCGGCAGATGGATGGTGTTTTGTAGTAAGGAGGCTTGCTTAGAATCACGTCGTTGCTGATTGGTCCGGGTGCCGTTGGGGGAATGGATGGGAAGGATGTATGGGAAAGGGCCGTTGGCGACGTTAGATTAAGGATTGGGAGTATGATTAGAGGGGTTTCTCGGATTAATTGACCTATAAAGAAAAAGGTTAATCATGGTTGGTTGGTATTCCATCCGGACTTCATCCAAGTCGATTGGAACCTGAGCTACATCCAGGAGCTGGCATGAGCATAAACCACGATTAGCAGAGTATTTCGTTATGTTTCATATATAATAACATGTCAGTCTTCGTAGACACGCTTTGCCATATGGCAGTTTCCTCCCCTTTGGGTATCACGGTGTAAAAATCAAGGGATATCACCCCTCCTTAGCACCAACCATCAACTCCAACCGCCCCGCCAAAACTCGATGTTTCCTAACAACATCAACCCATTCCTGGCTCTCCTCCTCTTCCTCCTCCTCCGTCAAAAGCGCAAGAAGCATACTGAAATCCCCACCAAGTCTACCCAAGCTCCCAGCGCAGTAAAGTACTTGAGTGAGTAGACTATCCCTGGAGCTTCTATCCCGAACATTTGGCAAATACTTCCTCAAAGTGCCCTCTAGCATACCTACTAATTTCTGCGGGAAAGTTGACAAAGCGGTCGGTAAGGGGAGTAGAGGATCATCATTCTTCGAGGAGGGTAGAACATCCTTTAATCCCTCAGACGGCGCCGCAGCAGGCGGGAAAATAGAACGGTACATGCTGACGATAGCGAAGCTCTGCTCGCGGAATATTTCAATGTATCTTTTGAGATATCGTTCAGTTTGCTGGCCCCCTTCCCATTTACTCCGCTCCCTCTCTCCTTTCGATATATTCGCCCCTCCTTTGAGCTTCGCTGTTTCCTGATCTGCGAGTTCACGGAGGGGTTCTAGGGCTGAGAGCATTTGTTCAAGATTCGAAAGCCGGCACACGAGGAAAAGCGCTCCTAGGGCGCCTTCCCTGCTACTCGCACCGCCTGTGGCTAGGGAACTTGTGCGGTAGTCGGAGGAGAGGGGTGTGGAGGTGGGATGATCGAGTTCTGGAGCTACACGGCGTAACCAGCTTATGGTACGCATTGCACTTGCTAGCTTCAGGCTGTTCCCTCGTAGACTTGCGATGAGGTTCGTGCACATGTCTTGTATGGCTGATTCGGCTTGCTGGCTCACGCTTGAGACGAGCGGTGATTCTGGGTATAGTGCATGGAGACGCTTGATGTGCGAGTTTAGGTCTAACGCGGAGGCATAGTTTGAGGAGCCGGCTGCTGTGCTGGCCGATGCTGCTGCACTGTTGGAGGAGGATGATATTGCGGATGAGAGTAATGTTGGGAGATCTAGTACGTCTAGTAGCCGGCCCGCGTTTCGTGATAGCAGAAGGGCTTTTCGTCGTCGGTCTAGTAGGGCGCTGGTGTTCTCCGCGCGGAGATTGTATGTTTCGCTGAAGGTGATGGCGGCATGGTCGAGCTTTGGGAGAGCTTCTCTGAGGGATACGGTGGATTGAGCGAGGGTTGGTAATGTGGAGCTTAGTGTGGAGAGGTGGGTGGAAGATTCGATTATGGATTTGTGAGACCGTTTGGAAAGCGCTTGGAGGGAGAGCAGGAGGGAATGCGTGGTTTGTGTGAGAGATTGAGGTTCGGTCGTTGTGAGGGAGTTGAGAGGGAGAGTTGTAAGACGTGAGAGGTATGCCGTTGTAGTTGGATCGGTGGATTTCGGAGGCGGGCGAGGGGAGGGACTGTCGAAATAAGGAACCAGGAGTTCGTATAGAGGGTCTGCCATTGTCGTGTTTGTGTCTGTCTCCACGATTCCTATAAAGTTCTTACAGCTGTACAGTTGTGGGTGTAAAGTGGACGTGTCTGAACTCGCTAAAATTGAAGCTTCCCCAGAAATTCGCGGCCAATCGCCAGGACGACCCCTCATCTCTCCTCAATGTCTCATTCTCTGTTTCGAACTATCCTATATATTTTATTTCATTTATATCCCCTTCATTTATACGAGGGTTCATTGGAGTAGGGTAATCCCAACGCTAAATCTACCTTCATTATTTATGGATTATTTGGGCTAAAAATTATCATCCAAGGTATCCTTTATATTCTTATCGGATTCGGCCTTTGTCTTGCATGTAGTAATTTGATTGAGGGTCTGGGGAACCGCGAATCTATCTAGAGAGGGCCAAGCCCAATATGTCTCCACGGAACTCGGATGGCGAGGTACCTTTGCTAGCCCTCGATGGAGTTTATGTGGCAGGACAGCCCCCAGTCAGTCGATGGGATATATGTTGTCAAAAGGGCAAAATAACATCAATGACGGAATCCACCGAACCTCCACAAGAAAATGCAATCCGATTTGTTACTCCAAGCCTTTGTCATCCACATATTCATTTAGACAAGTGTTTTCTGTTTTCTCATCCAAGGTACGCGGACTTAGAGATACAGGAGGGCGATTTCGCAGAAGCGATGAAGCTAACTGGTAAGCCCAATACATATCTGTCTCCTAGAGTAGTTCCTTGGTTTGACTCTCGTTATTGTTTTAGCTCAGGCAAAATCTCGATTTGAGCATGAAGATCTCATGGAAAGAGGTCAGGTGTTAATTGAAGAGAGCATAAACTTTGGCGTCACTCATATGCGTGCCTTCGTCGAAGTTGATCTCAGCGTTGGGATGAAATGCTTAAATGCAGGTCTGGCCCTCAAAGAAAAATTCCGTGATGACATTTGCATTCAAATTTGTGTTTTTGCTCAGGATGCTATTGTCAGCTACGAAGATGGCGGGTCAGCAATGAAGAGCTTACTAGATGCTGCTGCACAGAGATCTGGTGTTGAAGCTCTTGGATCAACTCCATATGTCGAGGAAAATGGAAACCGCGAAGCTCAGATTTCGAATATGGAATTTACCATTATGACAGCTAAGAAGTATGGGCTGCATCTGGACTTTCATATTGATTACAATTTGGACCGCGGCAAACCATGTATGGTGCTGGATGCCCTTAACCTTCTGCATTCCATGAAATGGCCTTGCAATTTGGAATCGCCAGATTTTAGGACTATCGTCTTCGGGCACTGCACGCATCTCACACTCCTTGGGAAGAGTGAGTGGCTTGGTTTGAAGCAGAAGATCCAAGGGTTACCAGTCGCATTCGTGGGTCTCCCCACATCCGATATTTTCATGATGGGACGGCCGGATGAAGAATCTGGAGGCGGCAACAGGGTTCGAGGCACACTCCAAGTGCCCCAAATGATAAAGGAGTACGACTTAAACGCAGCACTAGGGATCAACAACGTTGGCAATGCCTTCACGCCCCATGGCAGTTGCGACCCTCTGAGTCTCGCAAGTTTCGGTGTTGGGATATATCAGGCTGGCACCAGGGAGGACGCTGATATCTTACTGGTAAGTTGGCTTGTTTCATTCAGTCTACAAAGCCAAGCGTGGGTGTTGAACGATCCTTTAGCAATGTATATCTCGTCGAGCTCAGCAGGCTATTGGTCTTACTTCCTCGCCATCAAACAACATGAATCTCAGCGTGGGCGACTCTGCAAACTTTGTAATATTCGGCCGCGAGTCAAGCCATGGATTTCCATCTTCGAGCTGGAGAGCGAGGAGAACCACCCAGGATCTTGTAAATGATCCAGTGCCTGAGAGAACTACAGTTTTTAGAGGCCGAATAGTCAACTATGGATGAATTCAACAGTATCCAAGATCGGGACATGGGGATGCAAGCTGACGGCGCTGAGGACTGACTCACGAGGGCTGTTGGAGCCTTGGTGGAGGCTTCACGTGGTACAATACAGCGCCATGCACAGCGTATCACCACAGCGGTGAGACATGCCTTGGAGTCATTTTGGCAAGTCTGGCTGCATAGATATAAGCATGCATGACTTTATAAAAGGTCGAGATCTTCTCGAAATTCAAATGCAAATGTAGAAGTAATCGGTACAGTAATTACCAGCCAGTCTTGAAGGTTGAGGTGTCTCTGGACTTTGGAGGGGACCCTGAATCTATATATAACCGCTGCCCTGCTAGCACCACGTCAGGCCCCGCTTGCGTCCGTTTTGTTGGGACCTCGGACTGTCGGACAGCCTCATCATCATCAGCAAGCATATCACGCCCTACGAAGTATATCTTCACAATCCTCCCCCTCCTCTCCCTCTCCTCACGGTCTAGCAGTTAATGGACGACTAGACGCGTGCATTGCTATTTGCAACCCGGGTTGCCCATATTTATTTCGTCTATCCGTTCACATCGCCATCGCCATGCACGATCCGTTCCCCATCCCACCGTCAGCTTGGTTGAGCAAGGCAGTTCAGCCTTTCGCCGACCGCGTCGGCTTCACCACGCTCCCGCTTCACATCCACGAAGTCGTCGTGGCATTTATTGGCTACTATTTTATCAATATCGTCTTGTCGCCCTGGATCTCCAACCTATTAGTCCCCGACAAATATAACAAGCTTTCGCGCGAGCGCAAGATCAACTGGGATGTTCATGTGGTGTCGCTATGCCAAAGCACACTCGTCAACGCCCTTGCCCTATGGGTGATGTGGGCGGATGAAGACCGCAAGAATATGGACTGGCAGCAGCGGATTTGGGGTTATACTGGAGCTGCGGGCATGGTCCAAGGCCTGGCGACGGGATACTTTCTCTGGGATTTGGTCGTCACGCTCCAGAATGTCAGGGTGTTCGGCCTAGGCATGCTTGCTCATGCTGTTTCCGCTCTTATAGTATTTTCTTTTGGCTTCGTAAGGCCCTCATTTACCCCCATTTATATTACAAGGAGACTTTGCTAATAGAAACCATAGCGGCCCTTTGTAAACTTTTACGGATGCACGTTCATCCTTTACGAACTTTCCTCCCCGTTCCTTAATTTCCACTGGTTCTTCGACAAGATGGACATGACAGGATCCCGGGCTCAGTTATATAATGGCATTATGCTTCTCTTTACATTCTTCAGCTGCCGCCTGGTGTGGGGTACATATCAAACGGTGCGAGTTTACCAGGATATCTGGGCTGCGATCCACCACCAGCCCGCAGGGACTGGCATCCACATGGACGCCCTCAACAACAGCACCACTGCAGCCCGCGACGCCGCAGCTGGAAAGAGCGCTGCTCCTATTCATGGAGATATTATGCGGTTCGCAGGCGAGGAGTATGTTCCGCTCTGGCTCGCTTTTACATATCTCGGAAGCAATATTGTTCTGAACACGCTCAACTTCTATTGGTTTGGGAAGATGATTGAGACGGTTAGGAAGAGGTTCCAGCCTCCCAAGGAGGAGAGGCGGAAGCAGAAAGCTACGGCGGCGATGGCCACCGGCGCTAATGGGAGGGTTACGATCGAGCTTGATGAGACTGAGGTCCGTAGAAGGAAGGTGGCAGAGGCCCTGGAGGAGCCTCTAGGGGCCGCTATATGACCTGTATACTGGGCTGTCTCTTATACACATCTAGATGGGGGCAATTGGTTTCATTGGGGCTATGGGAATAGTCTGGTTCAATAGGGCGGCTGGCGTTTCCGATTAACTTGTATTAATTGTACTAAACATGTTGATAAGTTCCAAGGATCTGGTTTCATCACTGGCGTATTACTGTGCTCCGCAGGATTGAATTCGATTTATATTTCTTTATGCTTTTATATTAGTTGAATAATCCGTAGGCCTTATTAATGCAGGTAAACCTCGCCCTCTACCTTACCTATTAGTATGTAGACGCCCCAACTATTGCTTTTTATTCTTTTCGATAAACCAATTAGCGCCAATAACTGCCAGCCCTTCCTGTTTCGCCCACTCCCTAACACCACGACCTCCCTTCCCCATCCCCCAATGTTTGCGATCACTCGGCGCTGTCAAATTACTAGTATCACCTTCGAGAAGAACAAACACATATCGATGATATCCAGTCTTCGGAGGCGGGTTTGGAGCTTGATCTATCAGTCCGCAATTAGTAGAATCCAAAAATCCCATTCCAACCAGGTTAGGTGAGGTTCATACATTCAACCACCTCGTTCTCAACCCAGTCATGGTCCACAACAGCATCAAGATCGAAATACTGCCCTAGTTCATCAGAGGAACTTAACCCAATAACAATACCAATCCAATGACAATACTCCGACAGCTTAGAATTATCCCGCTCCGGCGCATCAGGATCCGTAAGCACCAAGGTCAATCCAAGAGTTTCCCTCATATCCGGGCAATATATCCTCAAAGAAGGCTTGTGCTTGGTTTTCGAGGGCTTGAATTTATTTCCTAGGGATACGGGTCTTCCCTTCCTGCCGTAGTAGGGTACTATGACGCATTTTGGCTGGAAGTCGTCGATTACATCGTCTATGATGGATGCTTTTTTCAACCTTTGATTCTGTGAGTTCATTTTGCTTGGGATTTGAAAGGGGTGTTTGTTATATTGGGAGTGGGGTTACGCACGCCCGTTTTATGGTTCGGAAATCGTTGTTGCCTTCGGGAGAGAGGGGGGTTTGATCAGTTCCTATAGCTATAGTTTGGGAGAAGATGGATAGGATAAGGAAAATAGTGGACAGGCGATTAAACAACATGTTGAAGAGGTAAATTATTGATATTAGACACTAGGAAATCTCCCGAATTGAATTAAATTCAGGATACTATAATTTTGAAGGAAAGGAAGTTGAAGTTGAGTTTTCAGGTGGGGGTGGTGTTGTCACCTCATGGTAAGTTTGTTAATAAAGCAGTCGTCATTGACAAGACGTCATACGCCTCAACCGCGAGGGAGACGTAGAACCAGCAGCTCACGTGCTCAGACATGGAATTGGAGAATGAAGACTCCTGAGGAATAGTTTATAAGGAGTTTCTTTTGAAGGCCTCGAAGAAAATATTCTGTATCGTTCGTAGAGTGTAGCGGCATATGCTGTGATCCGACTTGACTCGGCTGACCCGAACAGTTTCCCCCCTGTCACATGGGCTTTGCAAGACCCGAGACCGAATATCAGTTGGGCAGATGCGCATGAGAGATCCACGCGCTGTTCTTGTAGCTGTCGTAGGTTTGCATCTTATGACTGGTACGGCATGGCGATGATGCTTGCATCTGTTATGGTTTTCAGTGATGAGGCGTTATCCGATTGGAAATAGAACAAGAATGGCTGCTGCTGTGCTGTTCTGAAGTTCCTCGGTACCCTTGCACGTGCTTGTGGCTGGTATTGCAAGGGCGATGTGGCGGTGCCCTAACGATTCCGCATAACCTTCAATCTGGGTAGCTGGAATTAAACTGATGCGTTTATGCCCGTGTTGTCAATCAGACGTATCACCACCGCAACCTAGTCGCGCTGGGCTTGTTTCTCCTGGATTGGACTTCTTCACAATATTTCCTTCAACCCCGACGCGCCAGGGCCGCCGCTCCTTTCTTCGAGCTTCACCGACGCGACTCAACGTTCAAAACTTGGTTAAACACCTCACTCTCGTAACTTTTGGGCCTCTTTCATCGCAGCAAAATGGCAGCCCTTGGTGAGGACTTGCTTGGAATAGTCAATAAACTTCAGGATCTAGTCTTCAACACTATCGGCAATGACAGCTTGGATCTTCCTCAAATCGTATGGCCCTTCCCTTCCGATTCGCCCTGGCTGGACTAACTAGTTCTCTTCAAGGTCGTCGTTGGTTCACAGTCCTCTGGCAAGTCATCCGTTCTCGAGAATATCGTTGGCCGAGACTTCCTTCCCCGTGGAAGTGGCATCGTCACCCGGAGACCGCTCATCCTACAACTCATAAACGTTCCCAGCGATGACGACGCCCCAGAGGAGCACACGTCTGCCGCTGTGGCAACACAACCGGAATGGGCTGAGTTCCACCATATACCGAACCGACGGTTTACGGAATTTGCAGATGTCAAGCGAGAAATTGAGAATGAGACTGCACGAATAGCTGGAAATAACAAGGGCATCAACCGACAACCTATAAACCTAAAAATATACTCTCCTCACGTTCTAAGCTTGACGTTGGTGGATCTACCTGGATTGACGAAGGTAGAGATAACTGCCACATATTTGTAGTGAAGGGTCAATAGTTAATATAAAAATGTGCAGGTCCCGATTGGAGATCAACCAACCGACATCGAGAAGCAGACTCGAAATCTCATCTCTGAATATATCGCCAAACCAAACAGTATCATTTTAGCCGTCTCTCCGGCGAACGTCGATATTGTGAATTCGGAGGCTTTGAAGCTTGCCCGCCATGTTGATCCGCTTGGTCGGCGGACCATTGGCGTACTCACTAAGATAGATTTGATGGATCATGGGACAAACGCGCTGGACATTCTCTCTGGACGGGTATACCCATTAAAGCTGGGCTTTATCGGTGTCGTCAACCGATCCCAGCAGGATATCCAAGGCAACAAGTCCCTCGCAGAAGCCTTAAAATCGGAAGCAGACTTTTTCAAACACCACCCAGCATACCGGAACATGGCCAATAGATGCGGTACCCAATTTTTGGCTAAGAGTTTAAACACCACTTTGATGTCACATATTAGAGAGAGACTGCCGGACATCAAGGCTCGTTTGAATACGCTGATGGGCCAAACTCAGCAAGAACTTGCGAGCTACGGAGACATGCATTTCAGTGGGAAAGAACATAGAGGATCTTTGGTTTTGCAGCTAATGACTCGGTTCGCCTCCTCTTTCATATCATCAATTGATGGTACTTCCACAGAGATATCGACCAAAGAGCTTTGTGGAGGCGCCAGAATCTACTATATCTTTAACTCGGTTTTCGGAAATTCTCTAGAAACGATCGACCCCACCACAAACCTTTCAGCCCTTGATATTCGGACTGCAATTAGAAATTCGACTGGGCCTCGGCCTAGCCTTTTTGTCCCAGAGCTTGCTTTTGATCTTCTCGTCAAACCACAAATCAAGCTCCTAGAGATTCCCAGTCAGCGATGTGTGGAGCTTGTCTACGAAGAACTAATCAAGATATGCCATACTTGTGGCTCCACAGAGCTGACAAGATTTCCTCGTCTGCAAGCGAAGCTTATCGAGGTTGTTTCCGACCTCCTTCGCGAACGCCTAGGTCCTTCTTCCTCGTATGTGGAGTCGTTGATCTCGATACAACGAGCATATATAAACACCAATCATCCAAATTTCCTCGGTGCAGCTGCTGCGATGAGCCATGTAGTATCAAACAAACAAGATAAGGAGCGGAAGAGACTCCTGCAAGAAGAACGGGAGAGGCGCGAAAAGAGACGGCTAAAGGAAATTGGTGCTACCAATGGCGTGGACACGCCTGAGGAAGAAGAAGAGAATGCTGTAGAGAAGGTCGAGCTACCACACCGAAAGCATCTCTCAAAGAGCGGACGAAGTATGTCTCCAGCAGTCCGCGAAAATGGTGTAGGTGGAATGGCCGCAACTCTGAATGGAGTGAGATCGAGCTCCCCACAAAGATTTGGCGCACAAGGTGGTGCCCGAGATTCATTCTTGAACTACTTCTTTGGCAAGGATGGTGCTCCCGGTGGCACCGGTCCTGGGCAAACAGCTCCACAAAATCCAAATCTGGGCAGGCACGTCAGTCAAAGCATGGAGCCAAGCTTCAGTCAAAGTATTAGGAGGCAAGAAGAGCGCACTCACCGAACGCCGGCCCAACAATCACGAGAAGACGATTACGAGCTAGGAAGGGCGCAGAGGGATTATGACTATAACTCCCCATTCGTAAGTAATTTAATTGGCATTCATGGAAATTTAGCTAATTCTCCCTAGGGAAACAACGCCGAACCGGCACTCACAGACCGCGAGGCGATGGAAACGGAGCTTATCCGAGCACTCATCTCATCATATTTCAACATCGTCCGCGAGTCCATTGCGGATCAAGTTCCAAAGGCGGTCATGCATCTCCTAGTCAACCACTCTAAGGATGTAGTACAGAACCGGTTGGTCAGCGAACTTTATAAGGAGGAACTCTTCGGAGAGCTCCTATATGAAGATGATGCCGTGAAGAAGGAGCGTGAGAAGTGCGAGAAGCTGCTTAAGACTTATAGGGAGGCGGCTAAGATCGTTGGTGAGGTTGGGATATAAGGTGATGGGGACTTACTAGAATCGGCGCACACTTGTACTGGATGAGGGCGAGGGATAGTTACAATCCACTCTGTAGTATATTGTATTGGTGTAGCTTCCTGCCTCTTTGGACTTTTCACAAACTCTACTATTGCTACTTAGGGCTTAGAATCTTCAGTTAGGTAAAAGGCAATGTGTATACTTAACGGACTTGATTTACTCCTAGCCGCTTGATGGCACGAGATATGTTAGTGAGCCTGTGAAGCGTTGTTGATAGCTAATACTCGATTAACGGCCTAGTCACATCTCAACAGGTCACTTCCATCACGTTTCTACCACTCACCTCGCGCGGGGGCAGAACAACCCAACCCAGCCTATCCTATAATACACCAAAATAACAAAGGAGTAGGCAATTCGAAACGGACGGGCCGAACCGTTTTGCCTTTTTGGAGCTTGGCTTTTATCTAATCTATCCTAAGAGTCGATTAAAACGTTGTTTGTTGTTTTGTTTATTTTGAAAACGAGAGCTTGGCTACCCTGGCTAAGCGAAATTCAAAAAGGGGGTCCTCTCAAAGCCCATCCACCTATCCCCGTTTACATATATATATCCAGGGGGATTTCGAACAGTTCCGAAATACTATCGAAATTGCTTATCAGAACGTCATCAACCTCACCGCTCGTGTTTTCGACGCCTCCGGTCGCTCAGGGCCAAATACGGTCCTGTTAATCAGCAATGTGCACGAACGCCACAACCTTATCGCATTGGTACCTTAGTGGTAGATATCTTAGCAGATGGCGATCACATTATTCGGATCCACCAATCGGAGATATCAGCCCTCCTGCATAAAAGACAAAGGCAGCCCATCACTGATGGCGACGGCGGCTTAAATATAACGTCAAGCACACCCACCAAAACACGGGTCTGGAACGTCTGGCAATTATCCTCCTTCAATTGACAGATTGAATAGGACTCTGTCGATTTTAATATCATAGGATCGCGGGATATTCCACAGATAGAGGCACATAGCTCCAGGATGTCCACAACGCCAACCACAACAGCAGGAGGGACCGAGCAACATCATCATCGCGGCCGCCGACTACGAAACTTTCTCCTCCCCGATGGCCGGGAAGTCCACATCACGCGCTCCCCCGAAGAAGCTGAATCCCTCCGCCAACGGCTCACAGCAGTGCGCAAACCAGACGAGCCCTTTGACTTAGTTATCAATGGTTCGCCTGAGCATCTTGAAGCACTACGAAAAGCACACAGCCACCACGAGACACGGCGCGAAGCCCTCAAACAGAAACATGGTGAGGCATTTGATGAGTTTGAGAATGTTAGAGCTCAGTTAGATGCGCTGGGAGGTGAGTTGCATATGCTCACGGATCATGCTGTGGCCTTAGATGCGAATTTTAGCAAGTATGGGTATAGTGCTCATCTGAGGACGTACGGTGACGGGCCCCCTGCGAGCCCAGGGAGTAGTGTTAGCGGTTTCCATGATTCGGATCATGAGAAAAAGGATTGGGAGAAGGAGAGGACAAATGGGACGGCTATGAAGATTTATAAGAAGGTACGATATGGGTTTTTGATATTATATATACAAGCAAACTGGACCCGAATGTTTGGATTTGATGAGATTCATCTTGACTGATTAGTGCTAACATGCCTATAGCCAACTGTCCGGCAATATTTTCATAAGGGCCTGCTATGGAGAGCTTCCGAAACTACAGAAGTAGCTTCATTTGAGCTATTCGTTGACCTACTATATGTTGGCATCCTAGCCATCAATGGAGATCATGCTTCCGAGGAGCCAACCGGTTCTGAACTCCTCAAATTCTCCATTACTTTTATTATGAGTTGGAAGATTTGGAGTGATATGACCGTCATTGTGAGCTGGTTTGAGATCGATGATATTGTCCAAAGGCTCTGTGTTTTGTTTACTATGGCATGTCTTTTAGGGTATGTAGCTCGACTCTCATCCTATCTCTTAATGATTAGTGAAGGGATTTCCGTTTCCTCTCGCAGCGGGCGTCTCAACTCCAAGGATTTCGATTAACAAGGATATAGACTCACAACGAACATGCTCGACGCTTTCCATGACACATACACTCAGCTAGTGGCATTCTACCTCGCAGCGCGCCTCTTCATGAGCGCCTATTTTATTATGCTCACTTGTCTCGTCCCCATGGTTAGGGGTATGATGATTGCCCAAGTGATCCTCATAGTTATCCCCAGCATCCTGTGGATAGTTAGCACGCACATTGAGATGCCACAGCGTCTTGCTGTCATCTGGATAGCAATATTTCTTGATCTGTACGGCCCTTCGTTCATCGTCCTCCTTGTCCGATATTCAAAAGGGATTTCGAGACCTCTTGGCGAGTGGGTAGACAGGGTGTTTGAGTTCTACCCAGCTGTCAATATCGAGCACAAGGTCGAGAGGACAAACGCATTCGTGACGCTAGTGTTTGGTTATTCTGTTGTCGCCATCATCTACCAAAGCGCGGCCCCCTTTGGGCTGAATACTTTCTACGGTAAAGCCGTCTTGGGCTTAATACAAGCATTCTGTTTCAATTGGATATATTTTGAGCTTGATGGAGCGGATCTTTTTAATCATGCTATCCGGCGGCGGGCCATCAGTGGTAAGTTTCCCATATCCGCACCCTTTGAAAATATATCATGCTAAAGAGCTCCAGCGTTGCTATGGGGAGCCGCACACTTACCATTCGTCATGTCCTACGTCCTTGGAGCGGCAGCCCTCTCAAAGCTTGTCGTAGCCACCGACCTCCATGACGCACATTTGGAAGACTTGACAGATGCATATATAGAAAAATCTGATCATGAGATCCCAATCGGCCTGCGCTGGTTCTATTGTGTCGGCATGGGACTGGCAATGTTTTGCATGGGTACGATGTCCCCTTCCATCTCCCTTCCTATACCCTCACTAACATCACATTCCTAGGAATAATCTCCATATGTCACATACACAAAGACAGTCCCCGCGGTGGTCGAGTCCGGATCCGGAAACGATACCGCATGGTCAACCGGTTCGGGGTTTGCATCGTGCTCTTCTGTCTCCCCCTAGCTGAGTCACTTAACTCTCTCCAGCTTATCTCTATCGTCACAGGGACAATTGTCTGGGTTTTGCTGCTTGAGCTCTGGGGTGTGAGTTGCCCCGAAGATAGTCTCTTTGGGGAGAGAAGAAAGTGCCGGTATACTGCGGAGTGTAAAGTTAGCAAAAGAGATTTAGAGACAGCGGTTAAGGAGGGGCATGTTATTAAGGTTGCGGAGTTGGGGGATGAGGAGAGGTCGAGAGAGTATGAGTTCTCTTGATTATCTATATCTATACTATACTCGTACGGGAACGAGCCTAGCCCAGGCAGAATCGTACGCTTACGGCCCGCAAGCTCGTTGGAAATTTGGGAATAAATTTGAATCAGAATGACAAGTAGTGAGATAGAATACAAGAAGTCTTGCTAGACCTCGGGACTATATAGAATCCCAATTCAAAGGTTTCCAACTACTCAATCGAGTCTACGTCGCTTCGCCCTATGATCTCCTAATGTCCTTAAATCCTCGGACTCCATTGCACGCTCAGTAGCGTTCGTAGGAAGACTTTAATGTCTGTCAGTATCCTTTTCAAGTTAAATTAACGTACAAACACTTACTAGATACCAAGCTGTTCCGCTCTAAGTCGTGGGCGCTTCGTTGTTCTAGAAAGACATCCGCTTCGTCAATGAGGGCGATCGCATTCCATTTTGTCGCTAGCTCTAGGGCAGAGGAAAGATTGTTTTCTACACAATCTGTTCCAACACCCAGCTCACCACAGCTCACTGTGTAGAGGGGTCGTTTCGTATAGTCCGCAACGCTTTCTACTCTTGTTTAGCAATGTCATCCCTTAAACACAGAAATGTTATCTCTACGGACCTGCAGTAAGTGTCTTGCCAACCCCCGGAACACCGTGGAGTAGGAATATCATTCCCTTTCCTTTGCCCTTGATTACATCGTCAAATGCAACTCGTTGATCAGAATGAATGTTAACAAGGGAAAGTATCATGTCCTTCTGATCCTACGGAAGGAGCAAGCTCTCGAATGCCCTCGAATTGAAGTCTACCTCCCTAGTCTAGTCGACATGAAAGTAACACCATCTCTTCTCAGCAAGCGCAAATCCAGGTATGAGATGGTTGCAAATTATAAGCTCGTCGTTAGATAGTCTCAAGTGATCGTCGCCTTTGGTATTAATTGGCTTGGACTGTGAACTGAAATTCGGTTTATGAGAGGGCCTTTCGGACGTGAAAGTTTTGGCATCAAGCATGATCCTACTTTTAACCTGCTAAATATTAACATATCACTATTCTCAAGAATGAAGGCGGCATACTGGAACAGACTGAAACGGAAATTCATCATCTTCTCCCAGAAAAGTCTTGTTCCTTGTATGTGAGAGTGCTTCTGCGACGCCATCGTAGCCTAGATAATGGACTCCACGCAGGGCGATGAACTTGCGTCCCCTGGCAATCATCGCGGCGGTAATTTCGTGTTTGTTTGGGTGATACTGCAAAGGGAACGCTCTGAGGTGTTTGAGTGGGATGTGGCCTTGATATGGGTCGATGTAGCTGGTGACCTTGGTGTGTCCAAAGTCCGACCCGTCATAATCTATTTCTTCGAGGCTGAGTGCCCATCTTGATTTCCGACAATGTGGGTTGAAGCATTCGCATCTGTCCATGAATAGGAATCGATAGACTCTGTCAACGCCGTTCGACTTCAGGTAGATGTGATCACCGGGCCGAAATGCCATCCATAAGTTGAGGAATGGCAAGCCGGGTTCGATGTTTGGCGATTCCATCAAGTTGTAGTAGCTGGATACCTCATCTCGAAGGGCATCGTACATGTATCGAAGAGCAAATATGAGATGTTTGACGGCTTCCTGGTCCTTGAGAGTGCCTCCGTACATTCCGAGTTCCTGTCGGTAATGGAAAAGACATTTTGGAATACCACGAATGGTCACTTTGTTGGCGTGCAAGTTGACCCCTGGATACAGCGGGATAACTTTTCGTAAAGCAGCTTTCACATGAGGTGAGCGTATCTCCAGTGAGGTATAGTCTAAGACTTTGTCATGATCGTAGTATCGGGTCAAGGCGAGGGCCGAGTCGTGATCTCTTGGCCGATTTGCTACCACTTGCTTCTTCTTGCCAGCCGCCAGCCGAATTCGTTCGCCTTTGGCATTGTATCGTGCATCATAAGTTGTAAGCTCGCACTTCAACCCAGGAGGATCGACTGAGTCGTCAATTTCTGCTCCGACAAAAGCAAAGGGGTCCACATCATCGCCTTGGGAACTAGAATAGTCATCCGAGTCTGAGTCCATTACGGTTCTGTGAGATAACAGAAATTTGTAATACTTGTAATCCTGTTGACAAGCTCTCGAGTTTGGTCCACAGCATCAAATCTGTGCAATTCGATTCTAGAGCGTTTGAGACATTCCCGCGTATATATCTTGTTCAGCTTTAAGACGTTTTCAAATTATCGGGGTGCAAGATCTTAAAGTAGCAACCAACAAGGCCGTTGGTGGAGGCATGGAAGTCTGAGACAAGGCTTCCAGCGGTTGTGGAAACCTTGACATCTCACAAGGGATGACGCCTCAACGCCCGGTTGACACGAATTGTCCCACACCGCCTCGCACACGGCACGATGGCCAATACCTGTTTGACCGATGCTGTGATATAGCCAGACACCGTAGTGGACTTCGTGGCAAATTGAACAATAATATTTCGAGAATATCGTGCTATTTTACACACTCGCCCAATTAGGCAATCCTAGGTGAACACCTGAACTTGTCCCCATCCACACAAAAATGAATAAAGCCAAACTCTAACCTGCTAACCTCAATTCTCCCCAAATTTATAGTAGTTTAATCGGCTACATATCCCACGCTCGAGCCGGAGCGTTGACTTTCGGACTGATTGTGGCTAACTGATCTGGTCTCTGGAAGAGCAACGGCCTTAATGCCATGGAAAGGCTGGCTCCGCATAGCTTCCGCTTCCCAACGTTGCATTGCCGCGTTGGGAGCCGCATCTACGGTTGAATACTGAGCCTGCCCCATGGTGCCTGTGGAGGGGAACTTGTCATACTTGAAGCCCATCCAATCGCGATGAATAGGAATGAATCCAGGGCCGCTGGGTCCTTGATGATCTTGTCCGGTAGTGACAACTTTTGCTTCCTGTGGGCTCATTAGTGGACTATTCGCACACCCAGTGCTTGAACGCACCTTGGTGTTCTGGGGCTTCTTGCAGTCGCTGACACCCTGTGGCTTGATTGGCTTCGTAGGCATGACCGTCGGAGTGGCGGCTGGATGAACAATTGTTAGAAAGACTCTAGTCAAAGATCACATGCGAAGTTAGGACTATACGTACATTCAGTATTTGACAAGAGATTTTTATTTATTCGTCTTCAACACTCTAGCGGTACGCCCCAATCCACTGTACACTTAATTGTTGCTGTTCCTCTGAAGGACGGGAACATCTTTATATAATAAAAAGTGACACTTTTACCATTTTGGAACTTTGGGAGGACTTTTTGCATGCTCGGACTAGTTGAGCAGCAACATGGTTCCTTCGGCCCTGACAAACCCATTTTCGTCCACGTAGCACAAGTAGCGACCAAGTGAGCGCGTGGAAACTTCCGGGGGCCTTTCAAGGGCCTTTGGATAGTAAACTTTGTGAGCTTATAACTCCGGAGTGGAGGTTGCTTTTCGGAAAGCAGGTCTCAATCTGTAGCGTCTGATTGACCCCGGACTCAGACCCTAGAAGGGACTTTGGTGGCGAACTTTCGATGCTTGAGGCGAGACGAAAAGACCGAACAGCCAACATGCTGCACCGCCATGATATGTTGCATCCACATTGTCGGATTCAAACTAGCTAGGGTGGCGATAAATCTAGACGTTTAAATAAATGGCGGGCATGCAGGAGCAGGCCGTGGCGTTGGCGAGCGGGAACTTTTGGGGAACTTCTGGAAGGCTCGGGGATCTTTGGGCTTTGCAGCGTTCACTGGAAACACACGACGCACACCACTGGAAACGGATGATTCTGACATTACTCCGTACTTATAAAGGGGAATGTAACTCTGCCTTGATTCAGCCCACCACCGTCATGAATTACGTAGGTGGTTTATGCAGCATTACTAGGACTCAGCCTGCGTGAGGCTGTCACTGTGCCTGGACGGTGAGCCAGAAACGAAAGCCGCAAAAGGCAAAAAAAGCAACAATGTCAACCTAAAACGAATCGGCAGTCGCAGTCTTTCCTTCGAAACAGCTACAATTGTAGTTCCTTCCTAAGTCCATATGGATTCAAACCAGAATAATCAGTTCCGCACTGGGGAAGACTGGCCTCGAAACCCACACTATGATTCTGCCTTTCCCACTGCCCCAGAATCTTATCCGTGGAACAATGTCACGGGAGATTATTCTCATGCTTTCGACTGCGAAAATCCAGCTCCTAACTTTCCAAACAATTCAACTACCCAACTTCCGGTTGAGTCTCATCAAGAAAATGCTGCATTTCCTACACTCCCTCCACCCACACTCTTCAATTCCTTGGGCTTAAATATCGATGGAAACTTTGCACTGCCATCGGCCACTCTAGTGGTAAACGATGCTCCTCCTCCAAATGGAGACCTAGCGCAATTGCAAGCGTCTATGGAGCGACGAAGCAAACGTCGCACCCGCTACAACCTAGCAGATTGGGACGGTCATAAACCACAAATCAAGAAGCTTTATATCGAGGAAGATAGATCCCTGGAGGATACGATGAAAATCATGTCTGAAGATTTTAGATTTCATCCTTCGTGAGTTATAACAGATCAAAACATATAAGTTAGGGACATAGGAATTGACTATCGCAGTAAAAACTGTACAAAGAGGAGATCAAGGAATGGCGCTGGCCAAAATACCTTCCCAGCTCCCATGTTAATTGGATGAAGACAAAAAAAGATAGAAGAATGCTCTTGGAGAAGAAGAGGACCGAATTCAGAGTTGGCGAGACATTCTGGAGCGCGGAGAAAGTAGAAAAGAGCGCGAAGAGAGCCAAACTGTCAGAAAATGATAGCTTAGGTATAGGTAAGAACTCCCAATGCCTTATTTGATACAACTAACAATGCGTAGGTGTGGAAACCCCTGCTGGAATTGACTATTCCACCCCATTCACTGTGACATTCTCTCCCAAGATGTCGAAAGCACCGGCTGCCAAGTGGACCCCAACAGATGTGGCGAGTGCGGATGTATCACGTCACAACGACAATCTGTATTTGGTCTGGAATGGCCATACGAAGGCTGAATTTGAGGCCATGTTCAGACAGGCACATGAACTGGACCGCAGCGGAAAAGTCGAGGATGCCGAAGCCAAATTCCGCGAGGTATTGGAGGATTTCGAGCATGTACTCTCACCAACCCACGACGAAACGAATGCTGTAGCCTATCATCTCGCAGAATTCTTGGCGAATCAAGCCCGAATGACTGAAGCAGATACCGTCCTTAATTGGATGGGTGAGAAGCATTTTGAGAACTGGGGCATGTCACACAAGAAAACGGCAGTGCATCTACTACATGTATCGGACATGTATCACAGTTGGTCTCGATCAGAAGATGCAATCAGCCTACTTTCCAGGGCCATGGCCAGATACGAAAAAGCGCTCAAATCAAATACTGAAAATGATAATAATGAAGATTCTGATGCTTCGATAGTGGTAGAGCTGACCCGAAATACGTCGAGCAGAAACCTCCGACCAAGACGTTCTAGTACAATCATTGAGCTGAATGATGATAACCCAGGCGATCCTTGGTCCGTTGAGTATCAACTTGGCTTGGCAATGGCTCAAGTCAAAGTCAATGACGAAATATCGAACCTTCTCAAAATCTCATTGACAAGTGCGAGGAACACCCCAAAGAATTGGCTGTGCAAATTCTCGACATGAGAGCCACACTTGTGGAGCACTACCAAAGACTTGGAGAGAGCGAAAAGACAGAGAAGGCCCTCCAGGAAGCTGCATCAAGCTTCTGGAAGGTCTTGAAGCCGGATTTCAAGAAGACATCGTCAATTCTCGAAGCGGCAGGAAAGTTTGCCGAACTGCATGTCAAGGCAGGTGATCTGATACTAGCGAGAGTATGTTCCTCAAGATCGAGCCAGAGGCAGTCGAGAGCTTTGGGGAGGATGGCGACAGTACTGTTGATATTCTAACTGCAATCGGCGTCTTCTATCAAGAGCAAGGGAGATTGGATGACGCAGAGCCACGCTTTGAGCAGGCATTATCCGCCTCTATGACGGCATATGGGTTGGATAGTGAGGTCACAGTGAGACTAGAGACCGCGTTGAAGAAGAAAGGCTATGTACTGCACTGTCCAAACTGTGAGGACTTTGAGACGAAACTGAGGAAGCGATCGACATGCCGGCGAGTTAATCCAAGCCCGGAGAGTAGGAGGCGGTATTTCTTAACTGACCCATGGCATCCCTATTTGTAGTTGAGAATGAATTGTAACATTTAAATAATAAACATTGAGGTTGAGAGAAACCAGTTCGGGCAAAAGGAATTTAACACTTTAAGATTGTCATTCAGGCTTTTCTTTTGAGGCCACCATGTAAGAAATTCGCTGTGCGCGACTCGCTTCAGCGCCAGACCTCTCCCCCCAAACATCTCAAACCAACAACATATCCTCTCAATGCTTCCATTCTACAACCTCAACAGAAAACATGGCGCCACATGATGAAGACAAAGATATCAATGAGTAGCTTCCTACCTGCGAACCATATATAGTCCTCGGTATCGACAAGGCCGTGGCTGCAGAGGGGGACCAAGTCCGCATGCCGCAGTACGTACACGTATCAAATTTCAAGGCTGTACTTATTGTACAAGAATACTTTCCATTCAAGAATTCTTTCTATAAAGATGTTATGCTTCGTGTCTCCTTCCAATGTAAATATCTTCACTTTCTTTCGACTATAGATCTGATCCCCCATCATTGCTTTGAACAACCATTTTACAACCCCCCGATTTGTAAATAAGGTAGGCTTGCCGTATAGGCGTTTACGTATTTAGGTGTTGTTAGTTATGTGATTTATTGTCGTTATACCCTATATAGACTATCACTTCAACCTGTTTAGATATACCGCACTTTAGGTGACTTGATGTTCTAGCGCTCATAATATCATAATATACATATTTTAGGGCGAGCTATGAAAATGTTTTCCAATTTTTTGCTTCCCGCTCTTGCTATCTAATGATAAGATAGATAATACCCAAGATGCTTATCTAATTGTGTTATAGTCCTCGTGATGATATTGTATGAAATACTGGTGTAGTACAGTACCTTGCACAGCTGAAGATGGGCTTGGAGAACAATACGTAATACGGAGAAAGTCTTGGAAGTGTGGCTGAACCGTGTTGACGGAGGGGCATCAGAAGTTGCACAGCCTCGCAGGCGCTTTCACAGCCCCTCCGACCACCCATCAACAGCCAAAATAAAACCTCAACCTCGACCTCCTCTCATCCCTAAATCGCAATAACCACTCCATTCAAACCATGACGGGACCATCAACGTAATATTCCCCTCTGAGTCCAACTCCCACGGCTAAGCTAACATGACTGTTCTACAGACCAGGCCAAGAAGGGCCTTCGTTCGCACCACCCCCATTACCTGAGGGATGGATCGCACAATGGGACGGCATGTCGCGCAAATACTACTTCGTGCAGCTTTCCACAGGCGCCTCACAATGGGAAACTCCGACACAGGCAGCGCCCTTAGGCCCGACGCCGCAAGCGACTCCGCAGGGCGGATTAGAGCATCCATATGGCACGCCGGGAAGCCAAGGCAATCCTCAGGGCCATGAGGATCTGGATATCATCCAGAATGCCGATGGGACGCAGAGTATTAGACATCCGGATGGGACACTGGAGCCGTATACTGGGGAGAGGGGTATTGGGGTATGTTGCCCTTATTATCTTTGTTGCTAGGAGGACGAAATGAAATTCGGGCTGAGAGAGGATGCTTGCTGACTTGTGCTATTGCGGAATAGAGTTTTGCGATGAATGCGTTACTCGGTGGCGGGAAGAAACAGAGCTCTGGTGGTGGATTGGGAGGACTGGCCAGCTCCTTATTGGGAGGAGGCTCATCTAGTCATAGCCAGGGTAGTTCCGGCGGTGGTGCTGGTAAGATCGTGGGCGCCTTAGCTGGCAATTTATTCGGTGGTGGCAAGAAGCCCGATCAGCAGCAACAGCAAAACCAGTCTGGTAATTTTTCTGGAGCTCAGCATAATCAACAAAGTCAGGGCGGTTTGATGGGAAGCCTGGGTGGAATGTTCGGTCATGGTTCTTCAGTAAGTTTACTTATGCGTTCTATATCGGTATGTTATGGTACTGACTATAGAGCAGCAGCAACAGCAAGGAGGTAACGAATATGGCTACTCTTCAGGTAATAACCAACAGGGTGGATATTCTGGGTCGGCTCCTCCGTCATCCTATCAACCAAGCGGTACTGCTCATACGTCTTATAACCCGCCACCGCAATCAAAGCCTTCCCAACCACACCAGAACACGCCCTCGTCGCAGTCATATGGCGGCTCCCAACCGTCATATGGAGCACCTTCGAATCAACAACCACCATACGGAGGACATCAAACTTCCTCGCAACCAGCCTACGGAGCATCGCATAGCCAGCAACAATCATCTTATGGCGGACCTGACCACAAAGATTCATACGGATCATCGAAGCCACCTCAATCTCAGCAATATCCGCCTCCACCGCAATCCCAGTCCTACGGTCAAGGTCCCCAATCTCAGCAATATCCACCTCCTCCGCAATCACAGTCCTATGGTCAAGGCCCCCAATCTCAGCAATACCCGCCTCCTCCACAGTCCCAACAACAGTACCCTCCACCTCCCCAGTCTCAACAGTACCCTCCACCCCAATCTCATTCTCAGCAATACCCGCCTCCTCCACAGTCCCAACAATACCCTCCTCCTCCTCCAAATTATGGTCAAGGTGGGCCACCTCAACACTCAGGAAACCTTCCTAAGCCGGAGCATAGCCATTTCAAAGGTGCGCACAAAGCCTCCCATGCTGGAGGTTTGTTTGGCGACAGTGAAAGTCCAAATGCTTCGGGAGGCCCTCCTGTACCAATGGGTTCGCATCCTACCCATGGCCAAGGCGGTCCACCACCCCAAGGGGGGTATGGGGCTCCTCCAGGTGGGTATGGTGGCCAACAGCAGAGATGGTAATGTCATAAATCTCTTGTTGATGTTGATTTTGGCCATCGTTGCTTCTACGGTCCGCTTTCAATTAGATGGAAATTCCCCAAGAATATATCGACGTATTCTTTGTAGTCATAATTCGAGATTATTTTTCATGATTCAAGAGTTCCATGGTAGCACCGTCTAGTTTGATCGTAGACCAGATTAACTCTCCTTTTTATCCGTGCTCGTACCTTCGCGAGCAATCTCAACAAGCCATCTGCTGATATACTTCGAGAGGTACCAGCTTCCAATGGCGAGTAGGAGGATGTATCCAGCAGTAGGGACCAAGGACCGAGGAAATACATTGAATATGAATGGATCCAGGATGATATCGACGAAGACCGGCGGCACATGGGTCATGAGGGTCTTATTCGTAGTATAGTAATCGGCAGCTGCGAGCACCTCTAGGAGCAATACCGAAGAGTCATCAATGCTGCCTCTTCCATAGATGCTCGGCTTTTCGTCTACAACATCCGTCAGTCCAAGCTGGCGGGTTTCCGAGTACTGCGCCACGGACGCGATCAATTCGGGAGTCCCGAAAACTTTAGGTAGCTCGTAGGTGTTGAGTCGGAAGGCGGTTGGTTGCTGATCACAATCGTTACATTAGCTTTTGAGCAGCAGGCTTTGGGAGTTATCCACTTGCAGTAGCCGCCCAGCAAACCCGCACTTCATATCTTTGACCTCGTTTTAGTTGATGCAGGAGGAACCATGATGGGTGCCCGTGCTTGGAGGTATTAGTTGGAAATTCGGCTTGGATATGCGTGCGGAGGGAGGAGTGTTGGGGTTGTGGTGAAAGCTCTTGAAGCCGGAGAGCCTCAAGTGTTGGATGTTCAACTGGGACGTGGATACTGCTTGGGCCGAGGAATATCGCCTTCTCGGTGTTGGCAAAGACAGTGTGGATTTGGAGGGCAAATAGAACAGCGAAGAGCCACATGCTGAGAGGCGATTTATTAGATGTAGATACCATTGTGAATGCCGAGTTACTTTGTAATGGTGAAGATTGGCATTACCTGATACAGAAACTGGCATCAACCAGTGCTTTTGGACGGTTGTAAGCTGGGAGTCTTGTGGGGTGACGGAGCTCGGTCCCTAATTGCCACATCCGGCTAGCGTGACACGCATACGCGCTCTATTTGTTGTTTTGGGATGTTTATTTTATGTCAGCGGTTGTTTATTTATTACCTTATTATGCACGGGCAGGCACCACCCACTATGTACACCGCGCCTGCACAAGCACAACTAGCGAAATCTCAAACCCATTATTCCCCTGTCCTCTTCCCTCCCCACTATCATCTCCAATTATTGTCAAGACCTCATTGACAACCTCGAGTTAACTCCCACTCTTGCTCCCATCTTGCCATACATATCCCTCACATCCAAGGACCGCGTTAACAAACGCCCAACATGAGAGAAGTCATTAGCATCAACGGTACGTGAGCTCCCAACGCGCCGCCACACCGCTCCGTCCCGTCGCCGTCGCTGTGCTCAACCCCTTCAAACGCAAAAGTTTATACTGATGGTTCTGCTCTTGAATAGTCGGCCAGGCCGGTTGCCAGATTGCAAACTCCTGCTGGGAGGTAAGCTTCCATATCAGATCGGCCATGGGGCTGTCCTGCAGCGTCTTCAGGAGAGGACCATGACTGACATGACTTTCTCGAATATAGCTCTACTGCCTTGAGCATGGTATTCAGGTATGTTTATATTCGCCTTATATGGCTGGGCCATGCCTACTGCTTCTAACCACTGCTAACTCTATCGCCCGTCACTAGCCTGATGGATATCTGACCGAAGAGCGCAAAGCTGCCGACCCTGATCAGGGGTTCAGCACCTTCTTCTCTGAGACCGGTGAGCTTAATTTACTTTTATATTTATGAGGCGATAACTAAACCATCCCCGCGTCATAGGCCAAGGCAAATATGTCCCCCGAACCATCTATGCCGATCTCGAGCCCAACGTTGTTGATGAAGTCCGCACCGGTCAATATCGGAGTCTGTTCCACCCGGAGATGATGATCACTGGCAAGGAGGATGCCTCAAACAACTATGCCCGCGGTCACTACACTGTCGGAAAGGAGTTGATCGACCAGGTCTTGGACAAGGTTCGCCGTCTTGCCGATAACTGCTCTGGCCTCCAGGGCTTCCTCGTCTTCCACTCCTTCGGTGGCGGAACTGGCTCTGGTTTCGGTGCCCTCCTTATGGAGCGTCTGTCCGTTGATTTCAGTAAGAAGGTGAAGCTCGAGTTCTGCGTTTATCCCGCACCACAGACCGCTACCTCCGTCGTGGAGCCCTACAACTCGATCCTTACCACCCACACCACTCTTGAACACTCCGACTGCTCGTTCATGGTCGACAATGAGGCCATTTATGATATTTGCCGGAAGAACCTCGGTCTGGAGCGACCTAACTATGAGAACTTGAACCGTCTGATTGCTCAAGGTAGGCTACATCGTTTTATGAAATGAAATACGCTAACTCGGTATGCAGTTGTCTCCTCCATCACTGCCTCGCTCCGTTTCGATGGTTCCCTCAACGTCGATTTGAACGAGTTCCAAACCAACTTGGTCCCATATCCTCGCATCCACTTCCCTCTCGTGGCCTACTCCCCTGTCGTTTCCGCGGCCAAGGCATCCCATGAGTCCAACACCGTCCAAGAAATCTCCATGTCCTGCTTTGAGCCAAACAACCAGATGGTGAAGTGCGATCCCCGTAACGGAAAGTATATGGCAACTTGCTTGCTGTATCGTGGAGATGTTGTTCCCAAGGACGTCAACTCTGCCGTTGCCACCCTGAAGACCAAGAGCACTATTCAATTCGTTGACTGGTGCCCAACTGGCTTCAAGATTGGTATCTGCTACCAGCCACCTCAAATGGTTCCCAACGGCGACTTGGCCAAGGTTAACCGTGCTGTGTAAGTCCACCTCCTTCCTTGATTACTTGTATCTACTAACACCATTAAGCTGCATGTTGTCCAACACAACTGCTATTGCCGAAGCTTGGTCCGCCCTTTCACACAAGTTCGACCTCATGTACTCCAAGCGTGCCTTCGTCCACTGGTATGTCGGTGAGGGTATGGAGGAAGGCGAGTTCTCCGAGGCTCGTGAGGATCTTGCCGCTTTGGAGCGTGATTATGAGGAAGTCGCAACTGATTCGATGGAAGGTGATGAGGGTGCGGAGGCTGAGTACTAGGTCATCCCTCGAGTGGCTAAGTGATATGTTTATCTCTTGCGGATTACATACTCGATGGGCTAGATTTGGAACTTGATTCATCACCATGCGTTCGGAGTGATTGGAGCCTCTCATGTTCAGCGGGGGTTCATGGAGCCGACTTCTTGTCTTTTCTCTTTTATTCGTTGTGAGTCCATTTGTTGGAGGTTATCTCGCCTCAAATTCAGAATGGTACCCAATGGCACCTTTGTAATTCAGATACACAATTGCAAATCAACGTCCATACATAATAAGCAACCTTTGGTTTTAGCCTACTGTGACATATTATCCACGTCGGGTTTCTCTGGCGATGTATGCTGGAGGAAATGGGTTCCTCGGGTGCCCCCGTTTCCTTCTACGTAACACATTGAAGTTCTGGTATTTGAGGCTTTCCCTACATCCCAAACCGTTTTAGACAGCCCCATTATCAAGTCTTTTCAGACCCCCTCCAGAATCCACTAAATCTACAGGTTATAACCGTGACCCATCATTATTCCGTAAATGCCCCAATATAGCACCTAACCGCCTCAGCGCCTTCGGAGTCTCATCCATTGGTTTCTGCTCATCCCTCATTTCCTCAACCTCCTTCCGCGCTTCCTTCACCAACGGCAACAACTCTCCCCAGACCTCATCAGTATACCGCGTCAGCACACCCTCCCATTGCTCACGCCAGTGTTCTCTCGCCTGCAGAGCCTCGTCCTGAGTTTCCAAGCCCGACATCTCTAAGGCAGGGGCTAGATTAAGTGGATGGTCGGCAGATATCTCAACGTGCTGCTGCGAAGGCTCAGGAGGAAATATCTCGTTCATTAGGGTGCGGATTTGAGAGATTTGCTCGTGGGAAAGTCCCCAATTGGGTGGGGATTCGTCTTCCAATGAAGGAAGTGAGAATTGTTCCTCCATGAGAAAATCGGGGGCTGATAATATGGCTAGGACTTCTTCGCCATCCCGAAGTTGCTGCTCCTGCACTGTCGTCCCAACATCATGGTTGTTTTGCAAATTGCTGGTTAGCGGAGGGTGTTGTGATCTACTCCATGCATCTACTAAAGCATTATGGTTCTCATCCCAGTTAGGTTTAAGAGCATCATCTCCACCAAGGCCGGTAATTTTCTCTTCAGAAAGAGAAGAAGGCGTAAAAGAATCAATCCCATCCAGAAATGAAGAAAACTCCTGCTCGGATAGGGAAGTGTGGGCTTCGCTGTCGCCTACTCCTCGAAAACCCCCTTCCCGCAGATGACTCGGCTGCTGCTGGGCTCGCGAACTTTCAGCCCATGCTGAACTTCCGCTTCCGCTTCCCCCGGGGATGTTGGAAGACGATGATGTTTTGTTTCCACCTGGGAGGGCAGAGCGCGCTGTGGCGTGCAGTTCATTCCTGGTTGGAGCTCCGGTGAAAGCGCTGCGGGAGAGGGTGCTTGCCGAGGCTGTGATCCGAGAGAGCAGTGAGGGATCTTGATCTTGTGATGGTGGTCCGTTGGGTGGTAGGTTGTCATTGTCTGTGGGCTTTTGGGGGCCTTTTCCTTTGTCTTTTGAGGAGCTCATGGTGTTGTGTGCTCTCTGGATATCTTCTTCTTTTCTTGGCTGCGCAGCCAACAATGGTGATCCAACTAGATAATTGAACAATTTCAGCTCAATTTGATAAGAGACGTTTATTCATCGATAGCGTATTTTGGAGGTATACTTGGTTATATAAAATTGATAGTATATTTTGGCATGTGAATGTGTTTGATAGAAAGACGTGATTTAACCACGGAAGTCCCGTTTTAGTCTCGGGACCTGAGCAGCGGGCCGCTTTAATCTGAGCCGAGGGTGGGCGGCATTTAGGGGAAATCAGAATTCTTAGAACCAAATAATTTACGACCTTCCAGTCACTTCATAACAAAACACAAAATAAAAATTCTAAAGCCACCGAATTGTTTTGTAACTAGATGTTGTAGTGTGGACGAAACATATGGTATTAAAATTAGCATGATCCGCAAATTCTGACACTCTGGTCTCGTTCTAGCCCCCTTACAAGCTTTCGGAAGAGAGCTGTCTATAATTCTACTACGGCTACCTAGCTAGGTTAGTTCATAGTTCCGAGCCTCGTGTGTAGGTGATTGATCTTCTCGCAAGCCTCATCCGCGATAATATATCGTTATCCAAACCCCGGCAACTCCTGGCAATGAGAAGCCAGCATAGATATTTCCATCGTCATTTCGTCATTTTCGTAGACCATAGAGTGGAAAGGATATGAGAAAGCTAAACTCTTCGCATTTCAAAGCTTTGATAATGCGCCGGCGATGTTCTCGACTTCTTCTAGCAATGGATTTGGCCATGGCTTGCGTATATTTGGAAGTTTATTCAACTATTATAGACGCACACTAGAAAGTGTCCACAATCGTAGGGCAGTCGAATTTTAATACCCGTTATGTCGGCAACACCACAAAATTCAATTGAAACCCAAATTTCTAGGAGTTATAAAGCTGTTTGTAAATAAAAGTGACGTCAGGTAGGTACGAATTCTAACACCCCCTAGTGGGTGGTGGAATACCACTTACCTCAGAAGTCAAAGTAAATGCACTAGGATGCTCACCTGTCACCTATTTGACATAACTATTTTGTGTCTCTTCTCCACTCTAGGTTTTGCGTTGTAGTGACTTTGGAATTGGATGAATCTGGAGATGTTGATGACGTAGATAGCGTAAATAACAAGATTTGATGACTAGTCATCTAATTTGGCATGGTGTCTTTTATTGAGCCCTAAAAAGACTAAAAATATAACTAAGAACTAGACTAGACCCGCACTAACTATAACCATCTATATCAAGCATTTCTACCCTTCGTTTTAGCTGCCCAAGTGTTTTGGGAACCCGCTAGCTTAAAGAAACCGTCGAGAGTAAACGCGAAATTGGGAATAGAGGCAAAACAAACAATTAAAAAATATGTATCACAAGGAATCTGTGATGAGAGGAGCGAGGTGGGAGGTGGGAGTCTCGACCTTTTGGTGGCAGGGGGTTTGGACGAGATGCGCAGCTTAAGACGTAGAGAAACTGATCAAACTCACTACTGTACCCGACGGGTACAGGCCATCCGGCTTGTTTTTTAAAAGCACATTTCGCTATTTTGACATATTAACAAGGTATGTCATAGCTCAAGTTTAATACCTAAGGTAGGTAGGTATGCTATCACGTATTATCTACATATTTATCTGTAGAATATATCAAGATAAAAGAGATAAGAAAGTATAACTTCAGGTAGATAATACGTAAATCGTCAAAACCGATGTGTCAAGTACTCGAGTATTGTGATCTGGCATAGTTCTTCCAACGGAGCCCCCTTTACTCGGGGTTTCTAACATATCCCGTGGCTATTAGCTTGATGCCTACCGCTTTGAGTTCAATGTTGTCGGTATTGGGGAGACGACTGATGGCATAGAGGATATGGGATATAGTTATTTAGAGTGGTGTGCTTGATGCTATGCCTTTTAACGTTATAGAGAGTTCGGATTCGACAGATACCTCGTTGATAACGGTCGAAGGTAGATTGTCTCTCCTTTTTTCTGTGGCACCTCGTACAAGACTTTGTCACTCACCTCGTCCTCGCTCTTCAAAAGGATTTGGCCCATTTCGATAATTGTTACTGGTCCCCAAGCTAATTCATTACCTTGACGAATTCCAAGTCTAATATCCCTACCTCTAGAACAATAGGATGGCTTGGTGCTTCGTTTAACTCAATTATATTAACGCGCGTAAATGAATTAGCTTCTTTCAATCTAGGAAGCCCAAATATATTTGCTCGTAACCAGTGCAACGGATGATCTTGTCCCTAGTTAAGATCTTTTTCTCCCCTTCGGTCGCGACTTCAATAGTCCTGTTCCCCACAAACCTCACATTACTCTAAACAAGCCCCACTCCCACCTGCTTAAACATATCGAATGCATAGCTATCAGTCCTTCGACCATCTCCCACTTCTCACCTTAGCTTCTAATAATTGAACATTCCGGGCGCCCATCGCAGAAGGCAATCCATAAGGACTGCCTTGTGAGGCAAGATGCACGACATTAGCGAAATTCCGGGTAGGCAGGCAACATTCGGGAATGCCCCCCGAACCAACAGCGCTCGACGAGAGCACGGCTCTTGTCGACTTTGGAGCGTAGAGTCTAGGCAGCATATTTGCTTACCTCGCCGCTCACGAGCACGAAAACATCAACAAGGATTTAGGAAGTAGCTTAGTCGACATTTTCAGAAACGTAGAGATTGCGTAAATCCTTCAAAAGGACGGAATTGACTCCTTGGATCTTAGGGATCCTTCGTAATAATTACACAATAATATAAGGCTTGCAGTGGCCACTTAGAAACTGCTTTGCATACAAACTTGGCATTTTGCAACGATGAGGTCACTGCCTATTTGTGGAAGCGCACGACTGGCGGCAGTGGAAACATTCAAAGCGGACTAAAACAGAATATAGAGAGTATATGCCGCGCCAAATCAAAGCCTAGCCATGCTATATCCACCAAGTATGATTGGTGATCCAGGCGCGGCCAGATAACAGGTGGTGTCGCGTTGTGCAGAGCAGGGTAAAGACGCCTTACCATATATGACCGCATCCCTGGGTACAGGCTTAATGGGATAATCCGGCTTGTCTGGTAAGTACAGTAGTATTGAATACTATATAGTCTTTCGATGAGACGTCTCGAGTGGATGAAGGCCAAAACAGAAATTAAAGACGATGTAATGTTCAAGAAGCAGACAGCAATAGAGTAGGCAAATACCCCGTATGTGACTTGCCCATAGAACAGGCTACCACGGTTCAACGGTCGTCGATCTCCCTATAGAGCTACCTGTGTTGTTGATGGTTGAATGACGCGTGCAGGGCCACGCCATACAATAAATGCCCTGTTTGCCAGCAGTCAGATGAAAATGCGACAGTGCGACAGCAAACATTCGGAGATTTGAACGACGTGTAAATGAAAATAGCTTAAACAACCCATTGATCGTTCCTAGAAATAAAGGGTTGGTGCGGAATGAAAGTTCAAAGCATAGCATATAGATGTTCTGTGCAGAAAGAAGACGAGGTTGTCATCGAAGGCGAAATTCGATCCAGTGAAATGTTGCTGCTGCTCTCGTCACTCGCCAAGCAGCAAAACCCCACGACCGTCCCTCGTCTCTCACATCTCGCACCTCAACCCTGACCTTTGACCGTGACCACCGAGTTGTCGTTCCATCCTCACTACAACCCAACCCAATACAACAACAGCACAACGCAAACAACATACAACCCAGCCCCAGAACCCCCATCACTCCAATATCCTTCGTCCAGCGACTCTTGTCAATCCCTTATCTTCCCACAGATCCCCCGCCGCGCCGCCGGAGCTTGCACTCCCACCTCACCACTGCCCACCTGGTTTCAACATTGACCCTTGCAAGCTACCTCAGCCTTTCACCTTCCAGCGCGATCAAGCTCAGAGCGCTATCTTCCCTAACGATCAAGCTTCTCGTGTGCGCGCCCGCGGCGTGGATATCTTGTTCTCCACACGGGTCTCGTTCAAGAGTCTAGCAAGATGGTAGACGCTGAGCCGAACTCTCCTACTTGGAAGTTCACACAGTTAGTCACTCCCCATTCTGCTTTGATGCGCGGAGCGGTTACATCTTTGGGGCGTGGCCCAATGTAATCTGCTTTACCAGACACGCCTTCACTATAGCTAATTTGCTGTCACATTGTTAACAAACTAACTTTTGATCAGATGTTTTGGTGATAAGGGAGATGTGGAGGATATCACAGAGGGTTGGTTATTCTCCGCCAGACGTCCGCACAAAGAGCTTTCTTTGGCAGATCAGATGCAAAACCACAGTGCACATGCTATAATCATAGGACAAGGCTGACGCCGTGATTTTAGCCGATATAATATCCACCGTGGAGTTCGATCATACTGGAAATTATCTTGCCACGGGAGACAAGGGAGGAAGAGTGGTTTTATTTGAGAGAAATGAGACGGTGCGTACAATGAAGCGGATGGCCTGGACCATAATGAAGGGCATGGAGGGACCAAGACCAAAATACTGACCTGATGCGAAGAAAAAAACTTGCGAGTACAAATTCCACACCGAGTTCCAATCCCACGAGCCCGAATTCGACTACCTCAAGTCCCTCGAAATTGAAGAGAAAATAAACAAGATTAAATGGTGCCGACGACAAAATGCTTCTCATTACCTCCTTTCCACCAACGACAAGACGATCAAGTTATGGAAGGTGTTTGAGAAGTCCTTGAAGGTGGTGGCTGAGAACAATCTATCCCATGATTTGACGCCTGGAAGCGTTGGAGGCGGTGGAGGCGTCCGGCCTATTGCGAATGCCCATTTTAGCAGTGCTCACGACCTTAAACTACCCCGCCTCACACACCATGACACCGTTGTCGCGGCTGTACCTCGTCGAACCTATGCCAATGCTCATGCGTATCACATCAACAGCATTTCAGTGAACAGCGATGGGGAGACTTTCGTTAGCAGTGACGATCTGCGGATCAATCTATGGAACTTGAACATTCAGGACCAGAGCTTCAATATCGTGGACATCAAACCTGCCAACATGGAGGAGTTAACAGAGGTTATCACCGCCGCAGAATTCCACCCCCAAAGCTGTAACTGGTTCATGTATGCCAGCTCAAAAGGAACAATCAAGCTCGCAGATATGAGAGAGAGCGCTCTGTGTGACCAGCACGCAAAGCGTAAGTGCTTTTATTCTCCACGGGTAGACCTTAACTGCTAACGTATCTTGCAGAGTTCGAGCAGGAGGAAGACCCTACCGCAAGATCATTCTTCTCAGAAATCATCTCCTCTATTTCTGACGTGCGGTTCTCCCATGATGGAAGGTACATTCTATCACGTGACTATCTCACAGTGAAGATTTGGGATGTCAATATGGAACGACAACCGGTGAAGACGATCCCAATACACGAACACCTGCGGCCTCGTCTCTGCGATACATATGAGAACGATAGCATCTTTGATAAGTTCGAAGTTGTCTTCTCAGGAGATGCGAAGAATGTCATGACGGGCAGTTACAACAACAACTTCATGATCTATCCTTCAGACCCTGATAAAGACCTCGAGGTGGTCTTGCAAGCCGATAAGTCAGCATTTAAGGCCAAGAAGGTCGGCGTGCCTACCCCCATCAACGCATCCACAAGCCCCACGGCGACAAATGGCAAGAAGGCGGGCAACTCGAGAGCTGGCAGCCCTGCGGCAGGAGGGGTTGGACAAGGTGGTAGAATGCGAAAGGAAACCGATGCCGACCAGATTGACTTTAACAAGAAGATCCTACACATGAGCTGGCATCCATTCGAAGACAGCATTGCCATCGCAGCGACCAATAACGTATGTATCCTGACACCGAGTTTAGTGTAGAATTGCTGCTGATCAGGTTTTAGCTTTTCGTCTTTTCCGCATTGTAGAAAGCGATTCTGCCAGATCTGGGTTCTATCGGCGCTTCAGTGCGTGGCAAGGTACAGCATTCACAAATCCGTTAATCCCAGGATTCGCAGCCCCCCTCAATTGCCCCGAGATTTTGCAGTCATGAGAAACGAAAACACAACATCATTATGATAGATAGATCGGCCACATGCACTGCGAAGGGGGTCGTAGTCAGTGTGAATAATCGGAGGATGGGTAGTCGTCTTAGCTGGCTGAAGGGTCCTGGTATTTTCTCCAGTAGCTGGGGGCAGTCGAGAGATAGGCCAGCAAACACATTATGGTATCGTTGTCACAGCTCGGGGGAATCTTTTCAGCGATCACTTAGGTAGACTAGCCACCTCGCAGATGAATAATGCAAATAAATTCGAGCATGCGGGAACCGTGTATGCCTATGTGAACCAAATCGATGCTATTTTATCAAGGATGCTCTCTGCTTAACAGTTGTTGTCTTTACTTAGTTGAAAACAGGTTGGAATTAGCTACGAAATCTAGATGGCAGGTTACAAGATAGTTCTCTTTAGGAATAGGAAATCCAGAAGTAATTCTAGTCTCCTGTCTTCTATAGTAGCGTCAAATAGCCCACTCCCATCCCACTCCCATCCCACTCCTATGTATCCCCGTATCCCACTTCCACGACCATTCGAGTAGTGAGCAGTCCATCCTTGGCGCATCATCCCTAGGAATACAGTACGAGATCCGTGGATGGCCTGTAACGGGGTACTGTCAGGCCTGCGCTGCTCTCCAGAACCCACTGGCACTCTCGTACTGCGTGAATACCCTCGCTGGCCCATCCTTACGGCACCGGCCACGGGCGACAAAACAAGCACAGAGCCAGCCCAGAAGGCCCCAAACGCCGGGATTTGTGCCTGAAACTAGAAGCTTTTTGGTCTGATGTTTTCCGCCACTCCCGCGCCGCAGCTTGTCACGATTGCCGAAGCCCTGCGAGGAGCGCAGAGCGCGGCGCTGATAGGGTCGAGGACCAGAATCCTTCAGCTGGCTGGCGCACTGGCTCCGCGGTACTTTACTACAGACTTGTGACTTTGGATGCGCCGCAGTGGAGGAACTCCGGACACTCTAACGGTCTGACCTCTGACCTCTGGACTCTGGAATGATCAATTGCCCATTTTTTGCTTGCCCTATCCACTGCCCACTGTTCCTTGCTGGCCTCCTCGCGGCACTTAGTGTGTGATCCCACACCTGGATCGATCTACTGTGTTTAAGTAAGTGCCATGTGCCGATCCTCCTTGTCCATGTCCATTTGTCCAGTCAGCACCGGGAGCATGAACGAGAGAGAGCGTGCTTTCCGGTGAACAACGTGTTAATTCGCAAATTCGAATCCTGCCTGCTCCGCCGGGTCTGCCGGCCCCTATATCTTCGCGCTGCCCTTGCTTGGGGAAGATCCCACAAAAACCAAGCAACCAGATGATGGCGAGGAAACGCAGAGCTGACTCCAGCAGCACCCAGCCCATCGTCAGCCCTATGACCTCCACTCCTCGTCGACGATCAACCCTCCGAGACCTGCAAAGCGCGCCAAGTGATGGAGGTGTAGTAGTCCCGAAGGTCATCAATGCTGCGCCGTCCTTGGAAAAAGCAGAGATGTATGGCATAGACGACCCGCGCCCGGCTTCCTCGAGGATGTTGGCTATGGCGGGCCGCATTTTTATCGAGACCATTCCGCAATGGCTCGCGGTGGGAGCGATGCTGGGCTTGATCTTTGGCGGCTGCTGCTCAAATGTGAGTAGAGTGCCCTTGCCCTTGCCCTGACGCACATAGCGTGGCTGTGGAGGAAAGGAGGGACGCTCATAATATTTTTGCAGGTTTTTGCGCTGGAAGCTATTGTGAAGTAAGTCAACGTGGCTGGATCTACTTGCAGGTCAATCAAGATGCTAATAGCTACGCGTCAGAGTCGAGCCAGACAGCGGTATGGACAAGCGAAGGATGGTGACCGCCTGCTATAACATAAAGCTGACGTCTACAGGGACGCTGTTGACTTTTGTCCAATTCCTCTTCGTTGCTACCACAGGATACATCTCCCAATTCGATCGAACTCGACCTCCGCTATTCCTCAAGCCGAACCGTGTCCCTATCCGCCGTTGGATGTTCAACATCCTTCTATTTTTTACGATTAATGTCTTGAATAATCATGCATTCAGTTACAATATATCGGTCCCGATACATATCATTCTTCGATCTGGGGGCAGTATCACAACACTCGCTGCGGGCTATCTATGGGGGAAGCGGTTCTCGAGGATACAAGTGCTGGCAGTCACCCTCTTGACGGTTGGGGTTGTGATTGCGGCGTGGTCGGACCAGCAATCAAAAGTACGGTACAATGATACGGTTAAAGATGTAGCTAATACCTATGGCAGAAGGACGTTCAGATATCGCAAGACCTCCCGCCCTTCAGCACCGGACTTGCCATACTATTTTTCGCCCAGGTGCTCTCAGCTATCATGGGCTTATACACAGAAGAGACATATAAAGAATATGGTCCTCACTGGAAGGAGAACCTCTTCTACTCGCACTTATTGGCATTGCCTCTATTTATCCCATTCATCCCCTCGATGCATAGGAAACTCCTGAAACTAGCTGCCTCTCGGCCGTTAGGATTACCATTCCAAGATTCATATGAAAATCTACCAATGGAGTTGCGAAAAGGGCTAGACCGAATATATATACCGAGCCAGCTCGCATATATGGTCACCAATGTACTGACGCAGTATGCTTGTATCCGGGGAGTCAACCTGCTTGCCTCGGCGGCATCAGCACTCACCGTCACAATTGTTCTGAATGTACGGAAGTTGGTGAGCTTGTTATTGAGTATCTGGCTCTTTGGGAACAGGCTTTCACCAGGGACCTTGATTGGAGCATTTATAGTATTCTTCGCCGGCGGAATGTATGGATTAGAAGGGTCCAAGAGTTCCGGACGAGCTAGACATAGGGCAGCCACTGTTACCACCAATGGTAAAATAGGACAGAATTGATATGTCAGATATCTAAAACCAACCGGTACAGTGTCTTATGCGGACTTGTTCAGTTATTCCCATACCTTTGTAGAGCGCTGCATTAATGTAGCGAAGTGAAATGTGATTGGAGTTGTCTAATGCAGGAACAAGGTTGGCCACTGCGGCTTACGGCGGCACAAAGATCCGCGTATCTCTTTATTACTTATCTATCATCATCTGGCATCTCCAAGAAAGCTTAACTGCATTATTGCATCGCATTATTGAATCACGATGGTTTACCCGTATGTCGACAATATCGATGATGAGTCGGACACAGGTATGCTGCCAGAGCCTGCTATGCCGTCATCAGATGACGGAAGCCCAGAGACTACGAGCCCTGATAATGCGGACGATGGAATGCTCCTTCGTGATGTCCAGGAGAAGACAGCTTACTACGACCACGCCGCAGAGAAGCAAGTGAGCCAGGAAGAGGCAAAGTTATTTTATCAACGGATTCAATTCGATGCACAGAAGACTGGAGGAAACAATTGGGAGAACTCCCAGAACTCCCCACAGGAGAGCCCGGCTTTGCTACCAAGGGCCCACACCAACGGGCTCGACGGACAAGCATCAATCCGACGGTCAGACAGTACTAATTCAATAAAGAATGGGCAAAGGGCCCCCCAAAGGTTTGCAGATGAGTTACGTCCCCAGAATAACCATTTATAGCTGACACTTGCGCAGCGCCACCAAATACAAACCTACTCTTCCCATCGGCCTGGCAGATCCCGCCAAACCCCCCGAGAGCAATACTATACAAGAGCCAGGTATAGCACTGGCTCCAGGGAGTCCTGCCGCATTGAATCGAACTGAACCATTACTTCGCGCCGATCGAGCTGCCAGAGACCATGCAGCACACCCACATCTGCCTCACGAACCTAAGCCGTTGCTGGAGACGGAGGGTATACATGGAGCTGGTGCTGGTATAGGCATCGGGAATGGTGCCGGTGGATTTGCCGATAATGATTCTCATATCACATCAGAACTAAGCACCATATACTCGAACGTCCGAAAGATCCTTGACATCCGGCACAAGTACATGCGGTTGTCGATGCAACAAAATGGCGACAATCCAAAGGACGATCCCAACTGGAACATCTACCCGCCACCCCCAGAACCAGCTTGGTATGAGGAGAAGGACCGTTCTAATAGTGGCTTTGGAGCTGGCAAGGCAAGTCAAAGTACAAGTGTGTCAAATAGCGTGATTCTTGAGAAACCTCAGAGCAAAGTGAACGACAATGTTAGATCTTTCAGCTCCACAAGCCTGTATCAGGCACCTCAGAGTCCTCATAGTTCCAAAGCTCACAAAAATAAACGGAAACTTGGCCAGGACATCGGTGAAGGCTTCGACATGGAAGATGTTTTCCCTCTGCCAGGTCCCAGCGAGATGACCTTTCGGCTGGATGGAAATGGCGTATACCAGGTATATGAGAACTCCAAGTCAGATGAAGTCGATAGCCCAGTCATGAACATACCCACAATCCGAGAGTACTACATGGATTTGGAAGAGATTCTCAACATTTCTTCTGACGGGCCGAGTAAAAGCTTCGCATTCCGCCGGCTGCAATATCTGGAAGGCAAATTCAATCTCTATGTGCTTCTGAATGAATACCAAGAAATGGCAGACAGCAAGAGGGTTCCTCATCGAGACTTTTACAATGTCAGAAAGGTCGACACTCACGTTCATCACTCTGCCTGTATGAATCAGAAGCATCTCCTGCGTTTTATCAAAAGCAAGATGAAGAAATGCCCCGATGAGGTAGTGATGTACAGAGATGGGAAGCATCTTACCCTGGAGGAAGTCTTCCAGAGTATCAATTTAACAGCGTATGATCTCAGTATTGACACGCTCGATATGCATGCTCACACCGACTCGTTCCACCGATTCGACAAATTCAATCTTAAATACAATCCAATCGGGGAATCACGTTTGAGAACAATCTTCCTCAAGACCGATAATTTCATTAATGGTAGATACCTAGCGGAGATCACCAAGGAGGTGATTTCCGACCTAGAGTCAAGTAAATACCAGATGGCAGAGTGGCGTATCTCGGTCTACGGGAGAAGTCTTGACGAATGGGACAAGCTAGCCGCTTGGGTTGTCGACAACAAACTGTTTTCGCACAATGTCCGCTGGTTGATTCAAGTTCCCCGGCTGTTTGACGTTTACAAGTCCAGCGGTTTAATGGAGAACTTTGAGCAAGTCATCGTAAATTTGTTCCAGCCTCTTTTCGAGGTTACCAAAGACCCGAACAGCCACCCGAAACTACACATTTTCCTTCAGAGAGTCATCGGCTTCGATAGCGTTGATGATGAAAGCAAACCAGAGCGCAGACTCTATAAAAAGTTTCCCGTACCCAATGTCTGGGATTCGAAACAAAATCCTCCATACAGTTATTGGATCTACTATCTGTTCTCCAATATGTCGTCTTTGAACGTGTGGCGGAAGCAGAGAGGCTTCAATACATTCGTTCTGAGGCCTCATTGCGGTGAGGCGGGTGATACAGACCATCTCGCTGCGGCAGTCCTCTGTTGTCATAGCATCAGTCACGGTCTACTGCTCCGCAAGGTTCCGTTACTTCAATACATATTCTACCTCGAGCAAATCGGCGTAGCAATGTCTCCACTCAGTAACAACGCACTATTTCTAGCCTATGAACGAAACCCGTTTCTACAATATTTCAAACGAGGCTTGAACGTTTCCTTATCGACAGATGATCCTCTTCAGTTTGCCTTCACGAAAGAGCCCCTTATCGAGGAGTATTCCGTTGCTGCCCAAATCTATAAACTTAACGCGGTAGATATGTGCGAGCTGGCAAAGAATTCGGTATTGCAGAGTGGATACGAGCATACCATTAAACAGAGATGGCTAGGACCTGCTTACTACCTCCCTGGTGTCAGGGGCAATGCAATGGCGAAGAGCAATGTTCCTAACATTCGTGAAGGATATAGGCATGAGACTCTACTTCAGGAGCTTGCAATGTGAGTGCTTCGGCTGATGAGTATGTTCGAGCAACACCAACTGACAATAATAGGATTGAACGGTATACGGGCCATTCAACACCAATCGCCGAAATTCATAACAAAAACGAACCAGGTCCCTATAAAGTACCAGAAGGTCCAACTTCACCGATATCTATGACGAATAATATGAGAGCTTCGCCGAGCATAAAGTCAGCCGAGTCCCTAGCTTACCAGCAATCCCCTGCCCAAGCTGCTCGAATCCCGACCTCGCAGTCGCAGGTCCAACTAGATTCACAACAGAGCAGCCACGTCAACCGTAGTCCGTTGCAGCATGCTAAAACATGGGACAGAGGGAGTTCTGTCTCGCTGCCCCATGCTGGTGCATTGTCAAGAGAATCCTCATGGCCTGTAGAGGGGTTCGCTGATCTACACCTATCTGGAAACGAGCCTAGGATCTTTCCCGGATTGGTCAGTAGAACGCAGAGGCGGGACAGTGTAGCGAAGAAGAATGGTACGGGTGAGGCGGGCGAATATGGTGGCGTAGGTGTATTGTCTAAGCAGGGCGGAAGGAGGAATTCGATACGAGGGGTTGATGGTGCTGTGGAAGAGGAGTTTGAGAGTGACGAGGAGTCAAATTAGATTGTATGGTTTTACGATGAGCAGTAAATGAGTTTCTTGGGGTTGGGAAAGATGAATAGCGTAATATTCCGTGCCTTATTTGACATTGGAGAGATAACGTTGGTTAAATTGGCGGTTGGGATTGTATCAATAACAGCGTGGGCAGGAACTAGAATTGATATCCTATAGAATTACCGTGCTTGTGCTTGTGCCCGTATAGATTGTGCCACTCTTGGTGTTACTAGGTATGTATTTTAGGAATTGACTTTTGAGGTTATCAGTATCCTTGCTATAAACTTGCCCAATAGATCATCAACTGCAATTTCGATCGGCAGTTACCTTTCCCGAAGCTCTACAGAATTCCCCCGTGGGAAGGACAAAACAATAGGCTAAACCACAAGGAGAAATTCGGCACGACTTCAACACCTTTTTTTTAATCTTCTGTACAACAAAAGCCAGGCATCTTCACAGGCTTCCCAAGTTCATCCTCGGGCACGTCTCATTATTCTTTGTTTCTTTTCCCACGCCTGCGCATATACTTCGAATTCCATGCATTGACCGGGAAAGATATTATCCGCCAGTTCGCCGTTAGGTATCGATATAATTATCTCATATCACTCCTAATTAGAGCGGAGGGTTAAAAAACAACAAAACTTCACGATGAGTCAAAGGCCGTCGAGTCAACTCTCGGAAATCGACAATGATCAAAAGTGGGGACTGACAGAACAACCACCACATGAAGACATTCTACCATCAACCCCCTCTCCAGTCGCAGAGGAAGCAGCTGCAGTTTGTGAATCTAATCATGGCGATGATAATAGAGATTTAGAGCGCCGGCTGGTGAGGAAGATTGATCTGCGATTATGCACGATTGCGGGGATGCTTTGCAGTTTGAATTTGTTGGATAGTGGGATTATTTCGAGTGCGAGTGTGACGACGATTTTTGAGGACTTGGGGCTTGGGGTAGGGAATAGATATGTGAGTCTTCGGGAGTTTTCTTGTGCTTGTTTTGTTTTTGTTATTTGTTTTGCTGTGGATCATAAATGAGGCATATAGTAAAGATGGGAACATGAGGTACCACCAATGACATTGGCTGAGGAAAACTTACGCGTTCTAGAATTTGGGTTTCGTGGAGGGTGTGTTGGATCTATACATCTCAAATGTATTAAGAATTATAAAGGGTAGCTTGGGAGTTTTGAAATATTGCTAGGGAAAGATTAGTAGTGTCTCGATTAATGTCCATAGCGAGTATATCTAGTTTGAGTGGGAGGCGAGAGAAGTTGGAAGGTGATTCTTAAGGGTAGGGCTGATATAAATAATAGTCGGTAGCTATCCTGGTATATACAGTTGCGAGCGTCGCATTTCAGTTACCTGCTACGATTGCAGTGCGGATTTTTGGGCCCAGACTGGTGTTCTCGATCATTACTGTGGGGTTTGGATTGGTCACTATGGTGAGGATCTTAATTCTAGTGAAGTACCTAAGGTTAGTTTTCTAATTGTGGATATCTAGTGTACGGCGTTCATCACCAACTGGCAGCAAATGGTGGGGTTGAGAGTGCTGTTGGGTATAATGCAAAGTTCTATATTTCCCGGACTCAGCTACCTGATCAGCACTTGGTATACCCGGAAAGAACAGCAACTACGCTTTGCCTTCTTGCAATCCGGCGAGGTAATTATCCTTGGTCTTGGGGGATTCCTGAATTTCGGGTTGAACCACCTTAATGGTCGGGGCGGACTTAAAGGTTGGCAATGGATGTTCCTTGTGCAAGGTCTTATTGCTATTGGTAAGTTATCCTCGCTAGAAGGGTGACTTGTAATGTGTTTTGTGAGCTGATATTTTGAAAAATAGTTATCGGTTTCATCACCTACCTCTGGATCGTCGACTTCCCAGAAAACTCCCATAAGAGCTTCCGCTTCCTCTCCGCTGAAGAACAAGCCTTTGCAGAAAACCGAATCACAGAAGACAGAGATGACGTGCAAGCCGATCCATTCTCCTGGCGGGAATGTCTCATACATTTTCTTGATCCGAAACTCTACTTGTTCGCCATGCTGTTCTTCTGCTTGAATCTGGTATCCACGTCGTTGTCGTATTTCCTACCGATTATCCTGCAAGCGGGGATGGGATTTTCCACGGACAAGGCGATTCTTCTCTCTGCTCCGCCGTACTTTTACGCTGTTATTCCAGTCATTATATCATCCATTGTCGGCGATCGATATCAGCTGAGAGGCTTGGTAATTACTTTCAACTGCCTCTGCACGATTGCTGGGTTTGGTATGCTGGGCTTCTCTGAGCAAGTCACGGTCCGGTATGTGGGAACATATCTTGCCACTGGGGCCTATATTAGCAATGTGAGTATCTGATTCCACAAGATAACGTATTGTTCTGGTAGACTTGCCACGACGCAATACACCCTTTCCAAGTAGCTGATGAAATATCCCTGAGATTGAGGTCCGCTGACAGCTTGATGATCTAGTGGGCCGCAATGACCGCATATCAAACATCAAACATTGCTACGCAATGGAAGCGCGTGACATTTTCTGGGACCATCGTAGCTTGCAATGGACTTGGCGGAATAGCGGGAAGCTTTATTGTGAGACAGCAAGAGGCGCCTAGGTATATGACTGCCATATGGATCAGTATAGGATCGCACATCGTGATTATCTGTATAGTTGCAGTTTTCTCGGTGTATTTCTGGGTTGCCAATTCACAGCAGAAGAATGGGAAGAAGATATTAGAGAGCAAGATAGATTTTAGATATACATATTGAGACGAGAACAAGGGGGATAATGAGTGGTTGAAGACGCCTGATACACTCTGTGCCGGGACTTCACAACCACACATAACCACGGTAGAATCGACCATTGACACAGGAGCATTGTCATTCAGCCACAGCAGGATCCCATGGCATACTTTGCCAGGTTTATTCAGTTGATGTTATTCACAGAAGACGGTTTCTGTGGCGAGGCCAACAACACAGAACTAGCGCTTTGAGCATACATGCTACCACAGCAGCAGGGCAACTTTCCCCTCTGCAACTTTGCAGCTCTTGCATACTTGTATATATAACAGAAACCCATGTTATTATCTGCTCCTCTCTCTCTTCATCGTCCCCTGATCATTTAGTGACGTTATTCGTAGTTGATAGATCGACTGGGCACGCTAGCCGAAGTTTAGACGGACCGGTGGCTGGCGCACCAAGACCCAGGCCCTTCACCCTCTCACACGTCTCTCCTCGCTCGACGCTCACTCATCACTCAGTCTGGTGGACCAGCCAAGCTGATATTACCTCAGTATTGTCGCAGATCACCACTACCACAACGCCCGCCACAGCCACGACAGCTTCGACTTTGCGCAGTATCCTTAAGCCAGCGCCAGCCTTTGTGCTCTTGTTGCTTCCGCCTTTCCACGTTCACGAACCAAATCCAGAAGCTCCCTATTCCCCTGGCGGCAGCCCGATCCTGACCTTGGCCTCAACCTGGGCTTGAACAGGCCGAAATTGCATGGGCCCATCCTACCTGGGTTTCGAAGGAAGAATTTGTGTTGAGTCCCTAGAAACGAGGAGAGGCTGTGGTGCTACGAACTGAAAGGGCGAAGATGGGTTTCCTCGGGATCTACAAGGCTATCTACGACTATACGCCCCAAGGAGAGTCGGAGCTCACGATCGCTGAGGGGGATATATTGTATGTGCTAGAGAAGAGCGGAGAGGATGATTGGTGGCGCGCGAAGAAGAGGGCGACGGGCGAGGATGAGGACGAACCAGAGGGATTGATTCCTAATAATTACATTCAAGAGGTATGCTACATATTTCTGCCGTGCGCGTCTTGATCTTGAGGGACCGGTCACCAGGAAGTCCCTCATTTCCCTAGAGCTTGACTTGTTTGCTGTTAATTAGATGTGCACGGCCAAGTAATAGGGAGATGTTGCTAATGAGAATGCAAGGCCGAACCTATAAGCCACGCCCGCGCGCTATACGACTACACCAGACAGACAGACGAGGAGCTCTCATTCTCTGAAGATGCCCAGCTGGAAGTGTTTGATACATCGGATCCAGATTGGATATTGGTTGGGCTTGATGGGGAGTATGGATTTGCGCCGGCGAACTATATCGAAGTGCAAGACGAAAAGGAACAGGAGAAAGTGCTAGTTGCACAACCCCGCCCTCCAATCCTTCCAAGACGGCCGGCTCAGGCTGAAGCTGAGGATGAACCGGAGACGCCAGAATCGCCTATTAGTCCAGTTCAAAGCCCAGCCGCTGCTCTAGCAAACGTCCTTACTCAGAGAAAGTTATCTGCCCCGGCAGCTAGACCAACACCACCTCAGTATACCCCTGAGGCTTCAGACGAGGATGAACCACCGACTCCAACACTGCCTGCCAGACCTGTCTCTCAGGCGAGAGTTCCTGATCGCATCGATGTTCAGGCTGCAAGATCGGCACCACACCATGGCGTGTCGGCATCTCCACCATACAACAGAGCTACCCATCGAGGCATCGATGAGGAGGTTGCACAACCCTCCCCCCAGGGCTTCCACATGTATAATATCAACGAGATGGTGTCGGTCATGGGCAAGCGCAAGAAAATGCCAACCACTTTGGGAATCAATATGGGAACTGGTGTAATACTGATAGCCCCTGAAAAGACTCGGGATGGGCCGGAGCAGAAGTGGACGGCAGAGAAGATGCAGCATTACTCATTAGAAGGCAAACATGTCTTCCTTGAGTTGGTCCGACCAAGCAAGAGCGTAGATTTTCACGCAGGCGCGAAAGATACAGCAGAAGAGATAGTCAGCGCCCTTGGAGAGCTTGCAGGTGCTGTTAGGGCTGGAGGATTACAGGATGAAATAATGGCCGGCTCTGGTCAAGCCCAAAAGAAAGGACAAATTCTTTATGACTTTATGGCGCAAGGAGACGACGAAGTTACGGTCGCAGTTGGTGATGAAGTCATTATAATTGACGACACGAGGAGTGAAGAATGGTGGCAAGTACGGCGCCTTAAGACAGGGAAGGAGGGAGTTGTTCCGAGCAGTTATATTGAGATTACTGGAACCATCAGTGTCCCTAGTATGAGTGGCCTCAATGCTGGCCGGTCGGGCGTCGACCAGAACCGATTTGAGGAGGAGCGTCTCGCGAAAGAATCTCTGAAAGCAGCTCGGAGAGAGGAGGATTCGCGAGGGTCAGAGGTAGGCCCTGGCATGCGTTTACCCGAAAGGGGCAGTAGTTTGTCGGCGATTGACAATACTCCACAACAGAGAAGTAGACGAGAAAGTGGCCGAAATGATAGCAGCGCATCCCGCTCTTCAAAATCTAGTGAGTATACCTGCACCTGACTTATGATTGCATACTAATGGCTTCCAAGAACCCGATCCCACAAAAGTCCGAACCTGGACCGACCGGTCGAAATCCTTCAGCGTCGACGCTCAATTCTTGGCTTTGAAAGATGGCAAAATCAATCTACACAAAATGAATGGTGTCAAGATTGCTGTTCCAGTTGTCAAGATGTCTGTTGAAGACTTGGAATATGTCGAGCGGATCACAGGAGTATCGCTAGACGAGGACAAACCATTATCAGATATCAAAAAACAACGATCAAGACAGCAGGCTGACTCTCGTAGTTCAGGCTCTCAACATGTGGGCGCTACCATCGAACGTTCGCAGAAGCCCGAGTACGATTGGTTCCAATTCTTCCTCTCATGCGATGTTAACGTGGGGCTTTGCGAGAGGTATGCCCAAGCTTTCCAAAAGGATTCCATGGACGAGAGCGTCTTGCCTGATATCGATGCTACCATACTCCGAACCCTTGGTTTACGTGAGGGTGATATAATAAAGGTGATGAAGGCGCTCGACAAGAAGTTCGCTCGTTCCGGAGGAAAGAGGGGTGTTAGCTTTGGAGGTGAGGAAGTTATCGGCGCTGATGGCGATGGCGGTGGGCTCTTCTCTGGCCCTGGTGGTACTTTGAGGAATAATACTCGCAAAGGGCGCCCTGCGCCTGCGGTTCAGACCCCCTCTTCTGTGGATCCAAACGCCTTTTCTCAGGATGCTAAAGATAAGGACAAACCCACCCATGAAGGTGTCGCTACCCCGATCGCCTCTGCGCCTATACCCGCTCAGAAGGATGTAGCTAGAAGCGGATTCGACGATGATGCTTGGGATGTAAAGCCATCGAAGCAACAACCCCAGCCACCTTCGAGTCAATCAGTTAGCCAACCTTCTCAAGCTCCGACAGTCTCAGCACCTGCTCAGGTGCCCGCATTAACTAGTTCTATGCAGGAAATTTCTCTCCTGTCTCAGCCATTAGAGCCTACAAAAGCTCAACCTCTTCCTCAAGTCACTCAAGCACCGGCACCGCAACCTCAACCCCAAGCCCAAGGACCACCACCAGTCACACCATCGGTTTTCGCCGGTATTGGAAACCAGCAGACAGGACTTCCACAACAACAGACTGGCGCTAATATGCAATTCAACCCTCAGATGCCTTTACAGCAGGGCATAGCTCGTCCTCCTCCTGGGCAATTCCAGCCGCAAACTCAGGGCGGACTCATGATTCCCGCTCCCCCAAGTCGACCATTGTCAGCACCCCAGGTAAACCAGCAGAGCGCATTCTCAATACCTCCACTCCAAGCCCAGACCACCGGAATGCAAACTTCTGCAGGCTTCCAATCTCAAATAGCTCCACCTGGCCAGAGTTTGAACGATTTAAGGATGATGACTGGTTACAACGGCCAGCAAAATATGCCACAGAACAACATGGGCATGATGAACCAGCCACAAAATTTTAACCAGTTCAACAACCCCCAAGTACCTAATGGGTTCCAATACCCAATGCAGACGGGCATGCCCCAGCAAAACTTCATGAACAATGGAGCAGGACCATTTGCTGATCCACGGCCCCAGCAATTCTCTCCAGCCCAGCAGCAGCCAACTGGATTTCAAAGCTCATTTGGGCAACCTCAGCAACAATTCCCACAACCTACTGGAGTCAATTCCTTCTTACCTCCCCCATTGCAACCCACACCCACAGGTATGCAACAGCAGAACGGATTCCAATCTTCTTTTAGCCCGCCGCCGGTTCCCCCAATACCCCAACAAAACACTGCTATGCCTTTGGTCCCTCAAAAGACGGGACCTCCTCCACCTGTCAGGTTCGGGGTTTCGGGCGATACCAAGAAGCTTATGCCTCAAGCTACAGGGCGTAGAGCAAACTTGGCACACGCTAGTAAGTAACCCCTTTTACTATTCCGGCCATGAATAACCAGTTTCTAACGTATTATTTTGCAGCTCCCCAAAACCCATTTGGTTTTTAGAGCACGAGATGTGTACATTCCTCGCACATTAGCGGTTCTCTTCTCTGTAGAATAGGCATAGCTATGCATTGAGATGTTTATAATCTTTACCCTTTTATTACATGATGTATCGACGATCACTTTGTTCTTAATCAGTAAATGAACCTTCCAATGGCTATGTTTCTGTGATGTTCCGATGCCTTTTCCTAGGGGAGATACCTTAAGCCTGTAGATTGAGTGGCCCAATCAAGAAACCTAATTCTTTGGGGGTTGGGTAATGGTTCCCCACCGGCCTGTGTTGATCTCGGTGAGAGAATCATTGGTTTGTTTACTACGAGCAATAGCCGTTTCAGCTACCAATAGTGATAATAATAGATGGCATGGTTACGGGAAATGAAGATAATATCCCAGAAGACCCCGTATCTCGACTACTCCAGGTCTCTTCTATGTTTTGGCTCTGATAATGTCAGGGTAATTATTGTGGAACGTAGTGCCCTTGCTTGATTAACGAGGGATACTAGCATAGGTACTTTGGACTAACTTTTAAGATTATATGTCATTAATATAGCAAAATATAAGGGTATCTACAGCTAGTTTTGCAATCTCTATCGCTCCGTTGGTCGGTCGGTCCGATTCTGGAAAAAATGAAAAAGACAGGCCTAGTGCGTACACATAGACGGTGCTCATCCAAGCCCGTACGCCGAAAAAGACAGAACACCCGCTCAAACCCATATAGTGATCCGTGAACTCCAACCCGCTTCAATTCGCTTGATCAAAAATTATACGTCGGCGTAGTAGGAACATGTCCCCGAGAGACAGTGGACCCTTGGGAGCCTGGATGCGGGGGATCGCTCCGATTTGGCTCATGGGTCACGGTAGGGCTGTTGGCCCGCTGTACTGCGCGGATCTTGTCGTTTGCGTAGAGCTGGTCGATCTGTGATCGTCCTGTGGGGGAGTCGAATTGGTAGAGCGGTTGGAGACCAGGTGTTTTCCGTTTTAGGAAAACATAGCGGTTGACCCACCATCTAGGAAGTATTAGCACTCATGACTAGCTTAGGAGATATCCCGAAGAGGTGAACTTACGGTAGTGCTTGGGTGAGTTGGTAGTGCATATGTGTGCGGGTTGGAACAGCAAAAACGTAATCCAACTCTTCGAGAGTGCGCTGCTTAGTTTCAGGCACCCAAAGGAAGATCATGCAGAATGCAATGACGTTCAGCCCGGCATAAAAGAGAAAAGCACCCTGTGGACTTCGTCAGCTAAGGTACAATAAAATCAGATCTGGCAGCAACATACCAAAATACCCATGGCATCCTTCATTTTGGGCAATGTAATACTGAGGATAGCCGCCCAGAGAAGATTAACAGCAACGGCCCATCCCATGCCGACTTCACGATGTGATAAAGGAAATACTTCAGCAGAGTATGTGAATGGTACAGGTCCCTCGCCTGGACTGTAGAAAATTCCAAAAACGTAAATAAACAAGGCCATAAGTCCAAGATGAGCTTTGCTTTCAGTCGGGATGAGGGAGGAAAGGCCGACGGCCAGCAAGCTCCATGCCATGTTAGGAAAAGTAAACAAGAGCAGGCTACGTCGTCCGTAGGTGTCGATAGTCCATATAGCAGGCCAAGCAAACACAAAGTTGACCAATCCAAACCCAAAACTCGCAATTAGAGCCTGATGAGGCGTGGCTCCCGCGTCGACAAACACAGTCGATGAGTAGAATGCAATGACGTTAATTCCACACATTTGTTGAGCCATCATAACGGTAAATGCGGCAAGAGTGGCACGTCGTAAGCGCGGGATAGTAAAGAGCTCGATAAATCTATTCATGTATGTGTTCCGTCCAATAATCTGAGCCTCTAGCTCTAGTTGTGAGTGGATGTAGTAGAGATCGCGTGCTGCTTGGATAGGGTTGTTCCGAAGCCGGAGAAGCGAGTTATAGGCTTTATGATATAGGCCTTTCTTCATGTACCAGCGAGGAGACTCGGGGCACAGGTAGACAAGGATAACAAGGGGGACAGCTGGAATAAATGCCGATCCAAGTTGGAGACGCCAGGCGATGTCCCCGACTTCAGCTACGACCAGATTGGCGCAGAACCCGAGGAAGATGCCGAAAGCGGTCCACATTTGCCAGCTCATGACCACTGTGTAAAGTCAGCCTGTGAGTTCAAGTAACTTCAAAGCATAATGCTATAAAGAAACATTTATCCTCGGAAGGTAATACTGACATGCGCCGCGAATAGCCGCTGGTGAGTTCTCAGCAGCGTATATTGGTACTGTGCTTGCCTTTGCACCCATCCCAAGACCCAAGATAATTCGGCAGATGAATAGTTGCGGCCAGGTATGCGTGAAAGCAGATCCAATGACAGACCATAAGCAGAAATTTCCAGATACAAATATCGTCCCTCGTCGGCCTAAGTAATGATTTAACGGATCAGACAGCCAGCACCCAAGGATGGCAGACCCAATATAGGGAGCTGCATTGACTAAGCCGACCAGCAGGACATCTCGAGTTGAGTTCGTGTGGATGCCCATGTATTTCGGAAACGTCAAGTTCGCTCCGTTAGAACCTATGAATTATTAGCGGTTTGTCAAGCGGAATATAAAGACCCAAGAAAATCGAATAGGAGATCCTTTGAATCGCAAAACGCTACAGTCTGCGACCCAAGCTCACGGCTAATAGGATTTTAGGAGCTGGAAGAACTGCCGCCCCGAATTTCAGTGCGATTGGACGATCCAGGCCAACAAAGGCACCCGCCTCGTCCTCTCAATGCTCCTGCTTCCTCACTCGAGTGGTGCACTTCCTGCAGTATTTTGCATTCTAAACATTATCGCAGGAGAACTTCGTACCCGTTTGATCCCATCCCTGGACAGCTGCACCAATTGAACAGCATACGATCGTAAAATAGAGCGCCTTGGGTTGCCTCCACTTGTGCAGTACTTCGTTTCTTAACGCTTCCACCTCCTCGTCGCTGAGTCTTTCCGGGCCATCGATATCCTCGTAATTCGTCGGGTCCCTTGCCACCAGCGCGCCTTTCCTCAGCAATGGAATGATATCTCCGAGGCCTTTCTCGTTCGCGAAATCGTCCACTTCGTGCAAGAGCAGCTGTTGTGGAATTCCGGCAAGCGGGTTCTGTATTCTGTGGCACCGCTGTTAGCGACCATACCCAGGACGATATTTGGCGCCGATACACACTTTGCCTCGAGGTTCGCATTCAAGTTGACTTGAGTCGGTTGGGACTCCTTGATCTCGTCCATCCTATATTTCTCATTAGAGGACTGGGGCCTGTAGCAGCGTTAGTGGAGATCGCATGGCAGACGAAGGGTGCAAAGCGGCGGCGAACCTTTCAGCGGACGCTTCGCTGTTCCGCAGACGAGGCCCATCCACCCTCCCGCCAATCCTCGAGCCAGCCATGATCGACTGTTGGGTTGAGGGCGACTTCGATGCCGATTATCTGGATGAGGTGTGAGAAGCCGACCGACTTCAGCGACGGCCAGGATGTCGCGTGGGGAGGACGCTGATGACGGGGGAGTGAAGCTTACTACTATAGTGCTGTGCGTGCAAGAATACGACGTATAGCCGTTACAGTAGGAAGGTGTCTGTATATGGGGTCCCCAAGGTTGCGGCTTGCAAGGGTGACTGGGTCCAAGACTCCCAAGTTTCGATTTCAAGGTGGGCTCATCGGTTCTTCGCACGCAGTTTGGACTTGGTTTGGACTGAGAAAGCCCCTCCAGCGCGGCTGGGCGATGGGGTTCTGGAGAGGAGGTGCTTCTAGGAGCGGAGATGATGTGCGGTGCAGCTCCAGGCCTGCTCTGTATGGGTACTCTCGCGGTACAGTACAGTACCAAAGCCCCCAAGCCGATCTACTTGCTTGCAGTCCCAGAACCCACAGGATTGGATGTTCCGGTTCCGATAGAGTTCCTTGGTAGGCAATGCAAGGAAGGGCTCAAGGGTTCAAGGGTTCAGCAGTTCAGCAGTTCAACAGCGCACAAGTCCAGAAGACAAATTGCAACTGCGTGGTGCTTGTTGGTTTGGCAACCGTTGACAACATGAATGGCATTGAATGGCATTGAATGGTCGTCGTTTTCCCGTCTAGACCTCCACAGGTACTTCATTCACAGTGCACACCTCGTACTATACACCTTGGCCTTAAGGACACCGGTACAGTAGGCTTGGAGACTTGGACGCAGCAAGCAGTTCTTGTAATCTGCGCCGCAGCCACCAAAATCTTTGCAGCGTAGCACGGGGTAGTAGTCGTAGCAGTGCCCACCAAGAGTCTCGAGCTTGTTGAACAACAGAACGGCACGGCCTCGACGGCGTGGCCCCAAGAGTCTTGGGACCTCCCAAGACAGTGGCAAAACCACTGCTAGTGACAGAGGGTGGCAGGGAGGCATGGCACCAGCGGAAACCACGATCAAACAGCGCCAACAATTCGCCCATATCGCCCATATCATAGTCGTGCCATTATTCAGGCCCGTGGCAACCCTGAGCCCCTGGCCCCAGTGGCCACTCGTCACAAATAAACATGAAGGTTGAAAGCCACGACCCTTGGCGCATATCACCAATCTCAACTCTCTCCGTAACATCGTCTGCTCAATCATCACAGTATGCCGGGGAGCCGAGAGTTACCGAGCTTCCGAGACGGGGTTGTTTGAACTTGTTTCTGAGTCTTTCTGTGTCCAATTCACAGGTCGAGGTAACTTAGATTGCTCAACTGTTGTATTTTGGGCATAAAGACGATCTGATAATAGACTTGTGCATTGTACATGTACCTTGCAACGTGCCACTCACCTTTGGAGTGCACCGCCCCTCTCCGCGGTAATCTGGCCCTGTTCCGGGAGCGAGGGAGCAGCGGAGCAGTAGCGGCCCCTTAGCATCTTTAGCATCATAGCTAAAAGTGGTGTAATAATAATAATAATGGGGTCGGATGGGAATGAGTTGGGCCCCACCTCTCAAGTAGCACAGACGCCATGGCGGGGATTTCCTAGCATTGTTTGTATTTTGAGAGTCAGTTATTCCAACTCCACAAGTAAAGGTATTCGTAGGAATCACGCCAACGAGCAACAAATGCTTCATGCTCAGTAACTCAGCAGTACGGAGTACATGTGAGTTCCGACCTGAATAGCCTCTACATGGCCTTGCAAGCACAAGCCCTGCAAGCTGTCAGATCTCGCGCCCAATCCATGTACAAAGTAACATTCCATGGAGATCACATGTTCTTCTTCTTCCCCGCCATTCTATTGATGCACCAAGATTCTCCGCTCCGCTTTTACTCGTAGCGTCTGTTCCAATGTCTATAAGATCTCCAGCTTCTTAGTCCTAAGCGGAGCTGTCGGCAATAAGGCTTTTTCATCGAGCGCCGCCAGAGAAACAATGCTCTTCTCCCGTGAGACATTTTTGGAAACAAGGCCCGTCAACGTACAGAGTACTTCGTAGACAGCGAGATTGGTGCGCGTGGACGAGGCTCAATAAGTCGATATGCGCAAGCCACCACATTGGTTCCACAGAGCGCCCAAAAGCCAGAATTCGGAATCCAGTACTCAGGGTGTATTAGTCGGAATTCCAGGAACTGTATTATCCGCTCAGCGCCATACATTTTCGAGGGCATTCAGAAGGCGGGTATTGGATGGGAGTGATTAGACGGGAGGGAGGAAGGGCATATTCAGTACAAGCAAACCACTCTGATGCTTGAGGCGTCCTTAGTTCCCGGCTGCCTTGCGAGGCAGCAATATCTGTTCCCTGCGCAGCTGTGCTCTCTGCAATTATGGTTGGAGGTGAGCAGACTTGATGGTGGGTGGTGTGCTGGCGGGTGCATGGCAGTGCCTGTCTCGCCCGTGGCCAGCAAAAACGGACGCCAGAATACTTCGTATCTTCCAACACATTTGAGACATTCAAGCCCATTCACAACCGTATATCACCAGTAACTGCATCACATTGTTGGAATTTTGAGTCGCACAAGGCGGGATTTCATTCTGCCCGTGGCTGACTTGAACCGTTATTGTCTTCGTACTTCGTACAACTTCCGGAACTTGCCTATACTTTGAATACTTCGTACACAGCACCCTCCATGATTAATCCCACTAGCAACCTCAACATTCCAAGTAAATGTTACACCTCAGCAGCACCCGAGAATTGATTCGAGACCACCAAAGCGTCTAGAACACCCCTTCTAAGCTTCGCTACCTTCGCGTCTCTTTCCCGTATCTGCTGCCGAAGATCCAGATATCTCTTCTTCCATGATTCCTCCGTCGGCTCCGGTCCGTGATTTAAGGCTGCCGATTGAATCTCGTGATGTATGCTGGCTCGGATCGTAAAGCTACCCTCGATCGAGCCGAATCTCATTTTCCAGTAACATTCGTAGTGAGAAACCGAACCCTGCTCAAGCCGGGTCATCCTTAGCCGAGTCATCAACGGCCCTCCTGCCAGGGCTGACAGATTGATCAAGAATGTTTCCGTGCTGCTGGACTCGGCTTGTAGGTTCTTGATAACCTCTTTGCAGATCTTATCTGCCTCGTCAGTGGTACATCTTTCAATACTTGCTCCGGATGCATCAATCCACTCTGCAGCTAAGATTTCACATATGAAATGGCTCTCTAAGGCATCCATATTCGTGCGGTCGGTGTCATCGTTGTGCCGGAATGCAAAGCTAACGAAATGCTGAAAATTCGGATCCTGATCATTACTAAAGTACTCCATGAGGGATGTGACCTGTTGGCTGCCCGGTGTTTGGTCCTGGTGCATATTTGCAGCATCATGTCCATTAAACAGAACAGGTGGAGGAGGAGGTGGTGGTGGTGTTGCTAACCTTACCGGTCCACCTTGCCGTTGCGGAACTTGAAGTTGCAGTCGACTAGGCCTACCGTTTGAAATCTGCGGATTTGGCACTGCGGTGTCTGCGAAGAAACGAGGCACTTCAGAATTATCCACTACAGGGGTAGCTGTTGGTGTGTTATCGTGAAGACTAATTGTCGGTACATCTCTGGATGTTGGGTTGACTGGAAACGTCGAGAAAGGCCCATCAGTAACGGAGCGAGTGCTCGAAGGTCTACCTCTCAGTTTCCCTGAAGATGTCCCGCCACTGCTCGGCCAAGCTGACGAGACGGCGGGGCCATGTCGACGTCGAGATCGGCTCTTCGGTGTAATCGCCGATTGAGGTTCATTTGAATCGTTCCACATCATCCTTCGGGTAGACGGCGTAATAGCGGATTGTGGATACGCTGATAGAGGGGTTTGTGTGGTATCAGGGCCATTCCAGCGGAAGTTGCTGGGCAAAGACCCTCTGATTTCAGTTGCAGACCATGGAGCTATCCTATCTTGGAAACTTTGAGCAAAACCTGGATGAGCTGATGCGGGTGTAGCGGAGTCTCCAATGATTGAAGCCCTAGCCATCATAAAGTCTTCAGATAGGCCAGGCGAAGACTCCAGGCGGGGACGCTGAGCTGGTGACTTTCCAGTATCGCTTTCATTATCTCTGTCCTCGGCTTTGCGCCGACCACGTTTGGGCCTGGTCTCTGGTAGTAGTGCACGAAGAGCCAAGTCTTCCTCTGGAACCACTCCATCACGCCCAAGTTCACCGTTGGGGTCACCGGGAGATGGGACCTGAGTCCAATATACGTGAGGCTTACTTAAAAGGTACTCGAAAAATGCATCGACGTGCATTGCATGCATCCAACGCTGCGGAGTTTCAGTGTCATATTACCAAAGCGAGACCAACAACCTCAAGAATTTATCCATGAGAACCTTTCTGGATGGAGAAAATAGAATCAATGAGACTATATGAACCGGCCTCTTACCTTTAACCTCACTGCATACTGTTGAACTTTTTGAGCGCTCTGTCCCCTATCCAGCGCTGGCGGCTCGACTCCCAAATCAATTGCAAGCTGAGCCCATGTTTTGATTTCCTTTCGTTCCAGTTTTGATATTAGTTCGAAGAGGGTGTATGTGCTGAATGATTTGCCATCACTTTTTGGGGGTGCTCTGAAGGTTTTTCTGAGTTCGGATGCATCTGTGTCTAATGCAACGGCCGGGTTGCAGTGCATTATGAAGTTGACATAGGCATCATCAAAATTGTCGTCCGTAACCTCCCGCGAGGGGAGAACTCGCGTTTCCAGACGCGCCCCATCTATCAAGGGGGTTGGAGGACCACCATCCTCTGCAGGCACGGTTTGTTGCGCTCCAAAAGCGATGTCTTCTCGGGTATCGGCCTGGCGCGTCTCTATGACTTGAGCAGATATAAAAGGTTGCTCTGGTAGATGTTTTGGAGTTTCAGAAATGGTGGTCGGGATCTGTAACCTGGGAGGCATAACGTAGAGTAGGCTGTCGGCCAAAGGAAAGACAGAGCAGGAGAATTAGAATTCAATACACGGAAGTGAGATACATTCGTTATGGATAGAAACGTAGGCACGCGTTCAGATTTTCGACTCGGTCAAAGAGAATGTATAGATGAAACAACTTTCGAGAAGCAGAACGAACAGCAGAAAACCAGCTTCCCTAAACCTGACCCCTCGCAAAGATTACAAGCCAGACAACAGAGATACTAGAAATATAACAACTAAAACATCATGCTTGGAAACGATATCTGGGTATATGGGTGCAAAACGAGGCGGCGGATGGTGACAGTAATAGTTGCTAATTGAGGGACGTTTCTTCCAAAAGAAGGAAAGTTGAAGGGTTGAAGACACCTAATTAATAAGGATCGCTAATAATAGCTGTGGCTGGGGTTAGCAGTCACGTGCCGGTGAAACACACGTGATTACCCCACACCTCCCTTCCCTTTCACGCGCTTTCGTAACAAACAACCGAAGTCACAAGCACCTCGGCAGTAGGTTAAGATTATCGGGACTAGTATATTCACCTCGGAGATGCGGTTGATATGCGCATATACACCACAGACACTACTCCCGATTCTTTTTCCTACTTAATTAAATGGTTCCAGCTCTTCAAAGTTTATACACTCCGTGATAGATCAATACTCTCTTTTGGTTACAGACGAAATTTACAATGGCAGCCCAACAATCCGATAACGTAGCCCATGCCCTGAGTGGTGCGGGAGGGGGGATCTTATCCATGGCCCTGACGTATGGAAACCCTCAATTATTTAGTAGTTTTTGACTGACCGTTGGTGGCTTATAGATATCCCCTCATCACCCTTTCCACCCGCGCACAGGTTGAAGCAAAACGTGCCGACTCCAACTTCCTCGACACCGTGAAGCGTATCATTGAGCGGGAAGGAGTGACAGGTCTCTATGCAGGACTTGATTCAGCACTCTTCGGCATTAGCGTCACCAATTTCGTATATTACTATTGGTACGAATGGACTCGCGCTGGATTCGAGAAGGCGGCCATCAAGGCGGGCCGAGCTTCAAAGAAGCTGACAACGGTTGAGTCGATGATTGCTGGCGCCCTTGCCGGATCTGCCACCGTCATGCTCACGAACCCTATTTGGGTCATCAATACTCGCATGACTACAAGAAAGCGGAGCGAGGATACTGATGACAAGAGCGTCTTGCCTGGGGCCCCGCCTGCTAAAGTGCCATCAACGGTTGGCACCCTCCTTGCTCTGCTTAAGGAGGAGGGCCCACAGGCCCTGTTCTCTGGTGTCGTACCAGCTTTGGTGCTGGTCATCAACCCCATCCTGCAATATACCATCTTCGAGCAGTTGAAGAATTCAATGGAGAAGAAGAAGAGGATTACACCTACCGTTGCGTTCCTACTGGGCGCATTGGGCAAGTTGTTCGCGACCAGCATCACTTACCCATATATCACGGTTAAGAGCCAGATGCATGTAGCTGGACGCGATGGCGGCAAGGAGAATATGCTTGATTCGATGAGGAGGATTATTAAGGATGAGGGATATGTTGGTCTGTACAAGGGTATGTTATTATTTCCCCCGTGTCTCTGCCGTTGTCTAACAAGCTCCTAGGTATTGGACCAAAGGTTTCACAGAGTGTGTTGACTGCTGCATTTTTGTTCGCCTTCAAGGATGTTCTGTATGAACAGACAATCAAGCTCCGCAGAAAGGTGGCAGCATAGGCCCTGTTTAAATACAAAGGTTGGTGTGGTGTGGTGATATGTGATATGTATAATGTATGGGTGTGAATGGGTTATGCATATGAGGTTTGGGGATAGATGGCGTTAGTTTGCCTACGGGCTGGCTTAGAGGGATATCAGATTGCATCCCCGAGATCTTGGAAATACCAACTGAAGTTAAGTGTTCTGAAACTAGAAGTACGCTGGCCGAATGGCCCACCGAAATGAAATTGTTAAGATTATATAGTCTCAATACTCCCCTAGCAACGATCCCAACTTCTTACTATGAGAACTGTGATGATAGCTAATGATCTGGATTTAATGTATTCCTTCTTTGTTATTGAGGTCAAGGCTGATAGCCCTTCCGAGGCTCATGGTCCTTCCGAGGCTCATGGTCCTTCCGAGGCTGGGAGTTTGTGGGTAGCGGCAAATCAATGTCTCGGAGGCTCTGCATAATGTATCAATCTTGCTGAACGCCTCCATCACCAGCTAAGACAGTGCAAGAGCGATAAGGCCTGGCCAATTAACATTGCCGCGTTTGGCATCGCTATGAACGTCATGGAAGCGCTGCTCTACTTCTCATAGCAACATAATGAGACCTACTATAAGCAGAAGGACAATGATTTCTTACCTTGCAACCCTGGCGATTATATGGAATTCAGCAAGTACGTCCTGAGCAACATCGGCTGGGGCAAAAGGTAAACGGCTAGAAGATATTCCTTCCCGTAAGGATTCCCCAGCAGATATCGTTCTAGGAAAGAAGAAGATCATCAAGATCATCGAAAAATACTGCACCAACAAGGAACAGTTGAGCCTTACAAACCATTTCTCGCTATTCCCGGAGAGGTGGACAATTCAAAGAGCAGTGGGACGATCGGAATTCCGGTCTTCCTCTCCCTTGAAGGACTTCTGGTTTGTTCCGCAGACAGGGACGATATAATACGAAATATTATTTCCTTTATCAATTATTGTTCGTCTGTCAATCATCCAACTTTTGTCAATCATTCTATCAATCATTGGACATCCAGTAATCATCTGTCCCCTAGTGCAAGACCGCCGGGTTATGCATCCTCAACCCCCCCCGGAAAAACCGTCAAGCTAGAACCTATGCTATGGGGACCTAGCCTTGATTTTTCAATAGATTTCCTCTCCAATTTCAGTGACTTCCTTTGTCACTATTTCGAACATGTAGTCAAGGTCAAACCTTGAAGCTACAGTTTAACACTTGTAATACAGAGGCTCCAAGACAGTGATAGGTCGCTACCACCAACCCCAAGTCCGGGAAGGGCCATCGTCCTTTAATAAACCACTATAATTCTAGCACAGGTAAGGATATGTAGTGCTACAGGTGTTGCGCTAGCGACAATCTAGTTTCGCGACTTGTAAGGAAAGTTAAGGAGCGCATGTAATTTTTAACAGTTTTATAGCGCTTTTCTATAGTTCCGGTGTTTTAAATTTTCTCACTGAATCAATATAGACCATGAAAATTTATTAAGACTTTTAAGTAATAGATAGATATCCACCACGAGTTCTCGTCTATTACCTTTTTTCTCAAACTTTATACAAATAAGACTTCCCCAACTACACTTCTTTCCCCTTCCTACTATTCCAAAGCCTTCCCTCACACCCGTTACTCGGTTTGCGTTTTGTTTAAAGAAGTCATCGAAAAGAATTTTACTAATCTTACACGTTAGGTACCGCAATATTTACTTCAAAAACGATGGGTTTCCAAGTTGATGCTCCTGCGAGGTTTCAAATGGATATGGAAGAGAGTTTTGCCATCAGACCGGTTGTGGATAGGGGTTTCTCGGGTGGCCTAGTGAGGGAAGTCCTTGCAGGTTCAGCTCGTTGCATTTAATATGGCTATACTATGCTAAAACAAAAGTATCTCGAGCATTCACTTCAACGCTGGCAGCGTGTTACTCGTAACCCAACCATCATACTCGGAATTACTTGTCTTTGCCATTGTCAAATTATGAACCCAAGATCCATGCACCTCATGCATGTGAAAAGATGAGGTGTTACTCGCCGGGTTGTCAACTGGGACTGATGAGTACGCGAATGCCAGGCTAGTATCATTCCCTCCATCAACAGCAATCTCACTGTCAAAGAGAGTCCAGCGAGTGCACCCCTTGCAGCGCACAGTGAGAGTCCAATGTGTACTGTTGACTCCTGTCCCCTTCAAGTATGTATACTCCGCACCATCATAAGTGTTCGGAACGACACCGTAAATTCTATTGGAGTTGTCAGTATGCCGCTATCCAAAACCACAGAGCTCGAGCAGGTAATCATACGATGCTGCGCGCGATGAGACGACAACTCCCGTTCCATTTGGCCAGGCGACCGTGAGAGGGTCGGCTGTCATGTGTCCTCCCCAAGCTAACCCGGCCCAGTTATACTTGACGGGCGAGACGATCTCGAGGATAGCGTCTGATGTTGTCGAGTTATTAGGAAGAGCAACGCGATAGTATATACCGTCGCTGTTTACGTATGATGAATAGCATATTCCGGTTAACTCCTCGCAATAGCGAGTGGAATTTTGGCCAACGACTAATATCACGGTTAGTAGACCAAGGGGAGGTATCAAGAAGCTACTGACCGATATTTGCTAAAGCCGAAAGGGCTGCAGCACGTTTAAGAAGCCCAATCATTGAGCAATAGCACAAATGTAAAACTAAAAGGCAGTAGTGAGGTGGAGTACTTGGGGAATTTCCAATTCTTCTCTTGGCAGACTGATCCAACTATCGTCAGTTTAATAGCCACCTATCCCTTTAATTCACAGCGAAGTATATTATATCTGATATACATTTCCCAGTAGCCCGGATATCCCGGAGATATGATTATCTTGTTAATTATAAAAGCTTGATTTATTATTTAGGCAATATCGGTTGTTTTTGGCAAAGATAGAAACTGATGAACAAGGAGTTTGGTCCTCGTCACTCATCGAGGTCGACCACATTTATTACCTGGAGAGCCCAACACATTTATATTAAATGATGTAACTGTTACCAAAATACCACCATAATTTAAAAGCTTGTCGTATTAACCCTTACATTCAATTTGATTTCGTGGTCAGGTTGATGGGTACAGCTGATCTATTTTCCTTAATGCTAGAATCCGAATACCCATTTACAATTTCGTGTGCGTCTTGTTTAAACTCGGAAAAAGTCACAACGCCCTGACTTTCCGAGTCGAACTGGAGCATTGTACAAGGGCGTATTCCCCGGGCAACTGCCGTACCTGCCGGGCCATGGCATGGCATCCCCAGACATGCAATTACAAGGTTCCCCTCTCGATCTCGGAGATCTCATCCGCTGAGCTGGCAATCGGCCAATAAGTACTGTTATATTATTAAGGCAATATAAATATGAGTGCGAAGTAACAAGATCATGTTTTATATAGGTACCTTACTCCGTACGCAGTAAATGATAATACGGTTAGCCGGGTCGCTTCAACGACGCAGCTCTGAATGCGCATAGAGCAGGATATAGTGGATGGATTGATACATGTGCTGCTCTTGAGATTTGTACACTTCGCCGTGGGAGGATGCTGCTCATTGCATTGAGGACTGGTGTTAGGTGTCCAGCTCGGAGCTGGAGAACGTTTGTTCGGGGTAGGTGACCGCTTCGAGGACGCCAGCTACTTTCGACCTCTAGACAACCTTTGTTCTCTTCAACATTTTTCCAGTACTGGTATAATGTCTGCAAACGCTCGTTCATTACAGACGGACCATCTTCTTACTACATCTCCTAGTAGCAGATACCAGTACAAGCGTTTCTCGGACAATCGTTCCTTCGGCTTCTATGTCTTTTCCCTCCGACAGATGACGGCCACATCGCGTGCAGTCTTATCATTGCGGAATTCCCCTTCCATCAGTCTCCTCTTCCATACGAAGCGATATCTTATGTCTGGGGCGATCCAAATGCCAGGGAAGACATCATTTGCGATGGAAAGCCGCTTTCGATAACCGTAAGCCTCACTGCTGCTCTTTGGAGGGTTCGTTTGCCGCATTCCCCGCGTTTCCTATGGGTAGATGGAATATGCTCGTATCTTGATCGACGCCGAACGAAATACGTGGAAACTTGAGGTTTGGACCTCTGTTTTCCGAGGTGTGCGCTAGAAGGGATGGTGGGCCAACCGCCCAAAATACTCATCCGCCTGAAACTCAGACTTTACCACAACAACGTTAAAAAATAGGGAAAAGAGGTCGAGAATGCTGATCTACGCCCCAATTTTAGTTATCCTAGAAATGTTGAGCCTTTTTCAAAGTGGTCATAAAATTCTAAAAACTTCCTAGCTTATAAAAAATACTCTGAATATCCGGAATATAACGTTAGTTCTGCCAAACTGTGGTATAGTTGTGGTCAAATTACGGTTTAACCGGTTGAGTAGTCTAAGTACCTTGCTGGGGAGTGAACATTTCGCACCCTACGACACGTGACTAATTATTAGGCCACGATTTAGTGAACTTTGCTAATTTGAGACCCTTAATCCTCTTGTAATGCGCACAAACCCTCCATTGGAACCTTTCAACTTCTCCTTTATCTCAAAAGCGGTTGCGTCGCTCTACCAACAAGCAGTCGACTCTAAAATACGCCCTCAGAATGTCTCGCAATCTTATTAGCAGCATCCTCCATAGTATCGCGGTTGCCTTTAGTCCCCAAGTAACCGCCTCTAACACCCTTAATCCTATTCACCTTGCACTAGAGGTTACTGGATCCAATCACACATATTATATATACCCGACCGATACGGCTTCTTCTCGCCTGGTCCTCCCCGCCTTCAGGTGTACCAGGGTTTCTTATTTATCGCTCTATTCATTATGGTTGTCTGTTCGATCTTCTGTGGAGCCTCTGTTATTTTTCTTGTCTCGTTAAGACCTGATCACATGCCGATTTGGAAAGCAGTAGTATTCATGGCAATACCTGCGGGTGGTACTGTGGCTATGATTTGGGTTACAGAGTGTTTTAGTAAACGTCGAACAGGAGACTATGACTGGGGGGACTGGAAGCTGAGGAAAGATTGATTTCTGGTCGTTTGGCGAGCGGTTTGGTTCCCCGGCATTAATATGCCTTGTACGAGTTAATTCGATCCTCGCATGAACTTTACAGGCGGTCGCTAGTACGTCGCTTTCGGTTTGGCACTCGAAATCGTCTTCAACGAGCATTCTCCGCGAGCTGTGGTCACATTCTTCCGGTCGACATCCTCTCTCTCTCTATCACCAACATCTCTACGCCAAAACCCCGCCCCCACACATCTCAGCTGGTATTGCATTACGGTTGACAGTCCTTTGACTATGGTTTACATGATGGAGCGCGATAGCGTACCTATAGCGTACCGCATCACATTGGTAGAACCGTTAGAGCTATAGGGGGAGAAAATATCGACCTCTACGGCAGTGGCCCTAGCGGAGCGCGATTTATTTGACCCCTTTTCTATGTTCTATCCACAAGTACAAGCCTCCAAAGCCCCTGCCTAGCTATGCTCGAGTCTGTCTTTCCACTTGTATATATCGTCTCTTCTCTCTTATTAGATTATGCTAGCAGGTGGACGCGCAAGGCTTTTAAGTCGCTAACCCTAGTATTAGAGCGGTTATTCCCCTTTGCAACCAAATATTTTCCTAGCAAGTATCTTATCCGTAATACGGGTGGCGTGTTCTAAATCTTTCTTCTTTTAGCTTTCTATTCTTCTATCTAATTCCTGCCTAACTATTCTCGTAGCCTCTATAAGCGAATATCTTCGTGGTTGTGGTTGTGACACTGCCTCCTCGCCCAAAGTATTGTAAGCGAGAGTACCAACGTTCCTTCCTCAAGACGTAAAGGCGTAAAGTACCAATGCGGCTGCCTTCTTTCTTCTACTATAGTCCTGCTTCTCTTTCTTTCTTCTCTTTCTTTTCTTTTCTTTCCCCCCTAACTCGAACAGACCCCATATCTACGAAGATGCCGCTCCTCACCTCCCTGGTTCAATTCATGGACCTTAAACACCTTCTCTTATGGTTAATCTTTGCCACTGGTGCAATGGATCTGCTGCTGGGGATTGCGTCGACTCTTCGGGGTTGGCGTCCTCACCGGTGGGTACTCTGCCTCCCTTAATGCCCGGCACAACTCCTTATCAACCGCTTACTGCCCAAGAAGCATGCTATATTACAGCCTTGCTAACCTTCGAGTCTGACAGATTTCAATGCGGACGCGATCATTGCATGGTTCTTAAGCATAATTGTGATACTGCCAATGAACTTAGCAAAAATCTACGTACAGGCCAGATGGTAGGTAGTCCGTGGACAGGTGATATGCTCGTCCAGTCTCTAACCCTCACGGGAAGGAGTTCTCCTTCTGGCTGTAATGGTCCGATGGAGCCCGACTCCCAACCTTTATCGGAAGGGATTTCGAACCGCAGGCTGTAATGGTCTGAGGGAAGGGCTTCGGCCTGCAGCGCCGGACTGGGTGGCATATAAGTTCGGGTGTGAGTGAGCCTGTATTCGTAGCCGAAGATGCTGAGTACACAGTGACCCCAACTGCTGGGATGGGCTTGGCTGCGGGCTGTAATGGTCCTATGTCGCAAAACATGTTGACTCCTTTGGGCTTGTGGGCTTCTTGTGGGCACGTTGACTTGTCGTGGGCTCGTTGACTTCTTGTGGGCTTGTGGACTTGTGGGCTCGTTGGCTTCTTGTGGGCTTGTTCTACGTCGTCGACCTGTGAACCTTTTCATTTTTTTTTCATTTTGATCATAGCCTTGCTGCTGTGCCAAGAAGAAGAAACATTGAACTCGTGGGCTCTTGGGGGCATAGCAGACCTAAGGATCTGTCGAGAAGGTGACTTGTTATCAACCCTCGAGTACCGACTCAGTCTGCATCTATGTTGATCGACACCGAACGAAAGACTGCAGAAACTTGAGGCTTGGACCTCTGTTTTCTGAGGGGGTTTCGTTTTGCTTTAGTCAGATCAGGAAAATTGATCCGATCCCCATGCATATATACCCTCTCTCGTTGACGTGCTAAGCTCATAGAGATCCTGATGCCCATTTGCAAGACTTGGTATTGCAATAGTAGTAGAGGATAGAAGGACCTGTGGTACTACTAATGTAAGCTTGAAGGTAACTCAAAATTATAAAGGAACTCGCCGCGTATTCGATGGTCTATCTAACCCCTTATGGACGATAGATATTCCACATAAATTCCGGATACAACACACTCATACCATACGCCTGCTGCCCACCCATACTAAACTCGATATACGCAAACGATTTCTTCACACCAAGAATCTGACATAATGCATATGGCAAACGAATATTATCTTCGTATGTTGTACGGGGAAAGTTCGGATCGTTGAAAGGCGCAGGTGTGTTACTGGGTAACGAGGATTCGCTGCCGCCGAGGAGAGAGGTGAGTATTAGGAAGAGGACGTATCCTGAAGGGGAGGAGAGGGGTGTTGGTAGGTGGGTGAAAGAGTAAAAGAAGGAAAGAGTGTCTTGGAGACGGCCGTTGAAGCAGATTGAGAGCAGAGTGCGGGGTTTGAGGGTTGCCGATGGTACTGAAGGCGAGTTTTGGTGAAAAAGTGAGGCCCGCGGGTTGTGAGTAGAGTTAGACGGCTATTTATTGTTGGAAGAACTGTGTTACAGGCATTTTGGGTACCAGTGGTAAAGTGTTCCTTGGACTGTGGTGGGCGATGGAAAGCAAACAGTTCCCTATTTGTAATTTCAACCACCCACTGCTGGGCAGAGAGAATGCGTAGTGGAGTATTCTTTCAAGAGATAATCCGTCTACCTCTGTGTTTCAAGAAAACTGTTATTTATCATAGGCAAGAGGTTGGGGCTGGGAAGCACGGGGGCCGTAAGCCGACCATCCTCCAGAGTGGGGAACTTCCCACGATTGGTTCACTTCCTTCAAGTGCTCAAATGACTGTTCCTCAGATCCATTTGAGGAGGCGGATTTGGGGGCCTGATTAGGACAACCGTACACGGTGAAATTTTGCCAATTAAAAGATATCCAACACCACAGCAATGCAACTCTAAGTCTCCCACCCCTTCCCTTCTTATTCCCCGATTTCGAATCCTCTCACCTCACCTTAAACAACATCTCCCAATCCCAAAAACCCTTACAACCCCTGCATAGTCTGCTGCCTAACAATCTCATCCTTCCCCCAAAGCAGAGGGGAAGTAGGGGATGAAGACGGAGGAGGGTGCTGGGTTGGGTGAGAGAAGAAGGGATTAGAGAGGTGGGGAACAGAGTTAGAAGGATGACAGTGGGGTGGGTGAGGATGCAGAGGGCGAGGACGAAGCGGTAAATATGCTTTGCGTTGCTGAGGTAAGAGGCTCCTCGTCGTGTTGAACGCCAGGAATGCGGGACTTTTGGGAAGATGCGTGTTGCTATGTAGTTGATAGTGATGCAGAGAGTGTAGTGGATTGCGACGGTGAGGAGAGGGAATGTTTGCCAGAGGGCGATGAGAAGCTGACGGGTTTCGGAACTGACAGTGTCTGGTGCTGGCAGAGCCATGAGAATGGAGGGGACGATATAGCCCAATGTTATTTGGGCGGGGAGTATTCATAGGTCTAAGGAGGGGACGAGCAGGGCGCTATTGGCGTGTGTCCCTGGGAATGGTTTCGAGACTGGTGAGGTGATTAGGTGGACGAATTGCCATGGTGGTGTTGTGATGGTGTGCGAGATATTTGTATAATGAATCCGACGAGTCCAATGCTATTGCGGACATTAGTAGATGCCATGTTGTCTCAATAAAGCTAATGGAAGTCACTCACAAGCTCACTGCCTTCCCTTTATTCCCCAATCTCATACTCTCCATCACCATCAACGTGTAAACGGCCTAAACTGACCAAACCCCTAGATCGTAAACAGGTTCAGCGTAGGGTACTCCTTGTTCACGACGGGCGCAAAGAAAGCAACCAAAACCTCCAGCAGACGATCCAAAACCCCGACCCTCGTACGCCTCATCAAAAGCAAGTCCTGTGACCCAGGAAATTTAGGCCCACTTTCAGCGAATACCACCTTTAGGAGATCGAACGTGCCATTGCTGCCTGCCAACGTCCATGCTCCGTAAGCGCCATTGAGTGACAGAAGTAGTAACAGCGTTTAGACGATTGTACGGAGTGAGAAGTGCCACAGGCGGCTGAGTGTGACAATTCAGATATGTCGAAGAGCTTTTTGAAGAGGCTTTTGACACGGCTGAAGCGACGGAGGAATTGACAGACTGCGTTTGAAGTATTAGCTCTCTATTCATCACAGCGAAGGAATAATTACCCGCAAAGTCATCGCGGGAGCAAAAGAATGCAAGCTGGTGATCGTACGTCTATGGTCATGTGAATAAGTATATTTGTTGCATGTCGCGAGCCACATCAAGCTTTAATTGTGCTCACAACAGTCCAGGGACGGTTAGTTGGCCAGGAGCGCTATCCCAAAAGGCGGACTCCACGCTGAGGCAACCTTCCTGCGACTCTATGAACCCCAGATTTCTATGGGTACTGGGTCATGCGCCTTAGGTGAAATTTGGTCCCCGCTAAGAAGCCCAGCTTGAAATCTCATCCAGGACAACTACCTGGCTTCCAGACCGTCGCAGGATTCCCTTAGTCAACAAGAGGGAATCCGCCGTGGGACATTAGTAATGGCCTGGTTCAGATCTAGGGGATCCTGGAGTATGAATGTTCCATTTAAGGACGGGTCATCACCTATAAGACAGCAGCTTCGTGCTCATCTCAACATAGCATTAGCAATACAGCGTTTGTCTTGATAATACTGTAACGACTCCACTTCCAAGTGAATACTAGTTTGCGACACCTCTCGTATCTAAACCCACCTAGGTAACTATCAACCTACTTTCTCCAAGGCTCAGACCCTTGGAACCAACCAGATCGTTACAGTATATGTAGATGCATTTACTTTGTTTAGACGCTGGATTCGGGGACCAAAGAAAAAGGCAACGTACGGAACGCGTAAATCAACGAGAATATCGCGAGAGGCAAAGGAATCTGTACAGAGGATGTTGTTAGTTCCTCGGCGGCTTGATGCATTCCTCTGCACAGTTACCAGAACGGATATCGACATATCTGCAAGTATAAGCTCCTACATGACGCTTCCCATAAAATGCGTGATCAAGGCTGGAAAAATAGGTCTTCAACTGAGCTTATATAATTTTCAGCGTTCTTTGATGCAGCTACACGAAAACTGATGTGATATAATACACTTAAGCCTCCGAATAGGTATGAGACCCATGCGTTTGTAGTCATACAGTCATCCGCCCATTAAAAGCGGCGCAAAAAAATCACATGCCACTCTCTTGGCCAGCAACCATAACTTTTGAAATCTATGCAAATCTTTGGCTATGATAGATAGCGTCTCGCGGTCAAACGGTTTAGTTGCCGGTAATCTTGCCGAGCAGACTTCCGGTCTTGCTTGAGCTCTTGCTTTGCTCGAAAACTCCGAGGAGTTGCTTCCAAACTTGCCCAGGCTTTTGGCTGGCATCAATTCCCTTCCAGATACCAGTTGTCTGGTAATATCCAACGACAGGTGAGGTCTGCTGGTGATATGTGACGAGTCGCTTCTTGAGAGCCTCGGCGTTGTCATCGGATCGCTGAACCAGTGGCTCGCCAGTAACGTCGTCCTTCATGCTCTCCTTGGGAGGGTTGAAAATCTTGTGGTAGGATCGGCCAGACGCTGGGTGGACCAAACGACCTGTTATCCGCGATACAAGGAGTCCATCGTCGATTTGAAGCTCTACAGCGTGTTGTAGGGGCTTATTCTTCTCTACCAACATCTGATCCAACCGTTGTGCTTGAACGACTGTACGTGGGAACCCGTCGAGAATGAAGCTATTACTGCATGTTAGCTGGGCTACGGAACGCGAAATTCATCAAGCAAACATACCCTCCTTGGCATTCCTTGTTGGTCTCAAGTTCAGCCTTGATCATGCCAATAACGATCTCGTCGCTGACGAGTCCTCCTTGGTCCATGATCTTCTTCGCTTCCTTGCCCAAAGGTGTCTTCTTTGCGACTTGTGACCGAAGCATATCGCCGGTGGCCTTTTTCAACAATCAGAAATGCTTAATATATATAGCAAAATTTAAAAGGTACTATACCAAATGACAGCACGAAAATCGCTCCTTGATCTTGGGCGCTTGAGTTCCTTTGCCTGCATAGATTCAGATTAGCCGATGCCCGATAATAATTGCAGCAATCCGAAAGCCATTGATTTCTACATACCTGCGCCAGGAGGACCCATCAGTACCATCCGGACCCCCTCATCCTCCGTAGGTTGCGTGTGGTTTTTGGTATGGCGGATGTCGTCTTCGAGACGTTTTATTCTCGATTCAAGCCGATCGATGGAATCGACCAGCCTTTGCGCCAGCTCGTCGCCAATTGGAGCCATTTTAAACTGAGGATTTCTTCAACAACCTGACCAAGGTGGGGGATGAGCCGGTGGTGTGGAAACACGAGGTTATCGGGGGCGAAGAGGTGGACGTGATTCGCGACAAAGTTGGAAGTGTTGAGGGTGTCCAGACGCTTGAAGTACAGTTGTAGCTTGAGAAGCTCGGTTGCTTGGGCGTCGGGAATTGTGCCGGGCCGAACAGCCAGAAATTTCAAGATCACTTCCTGTAGGCCGAGATTTGCACGTGGAGCTCCTATGACCTCGATTTTTGAATATTTTGAAACGGCCACTGGATTAGAAATATATGACAATATTATATTTACAACCTCTGTACTAGAATTCTCTGCACCTAACCTCACTTGCCGATAGGATTTATTAAAATAGATCTGCACGTGATTTGGTGATACGCTATGCCTAATCGGTAAGCTTAAGCTGGCCGCGAAAGTCGCCGCAGCCTTGAACAACATAACAGCTCCCCAAGACCAAGATCACCCTCCAACTTCTCCAATTTCTCCATAACCCCTCGATCTGCCCGCTCCAGTATCACCATATCATGCCTGCCACTACAGCTGAGACGCTGTCCCTTGTTACCAGAAACGTTTCTGTTGCGCCTCTCGTTCTTCTTTCCGCCGCAGATCACTATGGACGCTCAGCTAAGGGCACGCGGAAACGAGTGGTTGGCGTTTTATTAGGACAGAACGATGGGAAGAACGTCCGCGTATCAAACAGCTTTGCTGGTATGCCATGAATGCTTGATTATTCGGCGGTCCCCTTGCTAATTATGTTTCAATAGTACCATTTGAGGAAGACGATAAGGATCCATCCGTATGGTTTCTGGATCACAACTATGTCGAATCGATGAACGATATGTTTAAGAAGATCAATGCGCGGGAAAAGTTAATAGGATGGTATCATTCTGGCCCCAAGCTACGAGCTTCGGATTTGGAAATCAACGAGCTGTTCAAGAGATACACACCGAACCCACTACTGGTCATCATCGATGTTCAACCGAAGGAGGCGGGGGTACCAACAGATGCATATTTTGCGGTGGAGGAAATCAAAGATGTAAGTAGTATTGGAGGCCGATTTGTATTGACTTGCCCCGTCTGACTGAGTTAGGATGGCACCACCACATCTAAAACATTCGTGCACACACCCTCGATCATCGAAGCTGAGGAGGCAGAGGAGATTGGTGTCGAGCATTTACTGAGGGATATCCGGGATGTAGCAGTTGGGACGCTGTCAACAAGAATCACATCACAACTCCAGTCGCTTCAAGGTCTACATCTACGATTACGAGACATTGGCCAATATCTACAAAAGGTGCTGGACGGGACCCTGCCCGTTAACCATGCAATCTTAGGCAACCTCCAAGACGTGTTCAATCTCCTACCAAATCTCTCCACACCCAAAACCTCATCACATATCCCCAACGGCGCCGACGCCCCCCTCACGAACGATAGCGAATTATCCCACGCTATGAGCATCAAGACCAACGACCAACTGATGGCCATCTACCTCAGCAGCTTGATTCGAGCCATCACCGCTTTCCACGACCTAATCGAGAACAAGATCCAAAACCGACAGCAGCAGGAAGAGAAAGAGGCCAAGAAAGACGAGGCCAAGGACGAGAAGAACAAGAAGTCGACTGGTCCAAATGGCGCTAATGGCGAAGCAAAGGAGGGCAAGGAGGCAGAAAAAGAGAAAGAAGACAAGGATAAAAAGAAGTGATGAGACATAATGCTTTGTGGCGTCAGTAAGGCGAGGAGGGTGTTTATGGAGCATCAGAGCGGCATTTGCTTGTTTTCAGATCTTGAAATACATCGTGCCAGTGTACCATAGCCTTTAAACGTGTAGCTCAATAGAAGCAAATGCAGGGTGTACTTTCATTTCAGTTCATACCATAGGCTACAACGCCGTGCCCTTAACCCTCCTATGCAATATAGCAGACTCATCCCAAACGCCCCTTATCCCCCAACTAAACAATATATCATTAATAAAACGCCTTCTCCCTGAAAAAACAAATCACCATTCCCCTACCCCTCTCCCCCCAACCCAGCCATCTCCTCCCTCCCCACCCTCCTAACCTTCACAAAACCCCCCATCACACCCCCCCACCGCTCAACCAACACGCAAGCCAGCAAATGCTTACACACCGGCACACCATCCCCATCCCTACCAAACCCCAGCCCGCCAAACTCCCACTCCTCGCCAGCGCCTTCAATATCATCATCATCATCATCAGATCCTCCATGGTCCTTAGAATTTGCCGTGAGCACCCAAGGAGCAGAACCGGCCGAGGACGTAGCTGAGAAGGCACTAAATGCAAAAGCTGCACAGCTGCAGTTCCATGCGTGCAGATGCACGGTGTATGATTCTGCGGAGGAGGTAGTGGCGGTGGTGGTGGTGGCGGTGGATGAGAAGCGTGATTTGTGGTGGGATTGCGAGGATTGGACTTTATATAGGCTTGACTTTGAAGATTCTTCCAGATGTGCTTGTACTGGATCCCCATCTATATCTTCAGCTCGGTCTTTTGATCCTTCCTCAGCTACATAAACAACCTTCGTAACTAAACCCCTATCTAGCAAGTCTAGTGCTTGAAGCAACATCCCAGGCGGGAATAAGACATGAAGCGTAGTGAGTAGAGCGCGGTGAGATGGCGGAAGGGCTTTTAGGGGGTTTGATGATTCGGTGCTGGGGGGTGGTTGGTGAGGGGTGGTTAGGGTGTTGAATATGGAGGTTATGAGGTGGCGGGGCGTGGGGAGAGTTGTCATTGTGATTGAGAGTTGTGCTGGGGGAGAAGATGGTGGTGAGGCGTGGAAAAGTGGTTTATATGGCTTTTGGTTTTATATTTCATGTTTGAAGGAAGGTTTGGGTGATGAGTGCTTGGAGGGAGGAGGATGTGGAAGATGATGGTTCGGTTGAGGGCATGTTGATAAACAGCCGAAGTATTTGGTTCTGAATGTTTTCAAGGGGAGGAAACCACTTAAGAATAGAGAACTTACTTTCTAGAATGGTATAACGGAATGAAGAAACATCACGTGGTACTCTGTTGTAAAGTTCCAACTAATTTTAAGTCTATGTCTTACCGTACAAGGGTTCTATATATCATACAACTTTCTCATCATCTCATATCATATCATACAATCAAACCCATTCCCTCGGCTCCCTTAAGACATCAACCAGTCTCTGCTCCCTACTCCCCTTCTCAGGCTCATGCATATACCTCCATCCGGCCGTTAGAGGCAAGCTCATCAAAATGCTCTCCACCCGGGCATTAGGAGTATTCAAGCCAAAAGAGGTACCCCTGTCATGCACAAGGTTAAACTCCACATATCTACCGCGACGCAGCTGCTGCCATAGTTTCTCCTGTTCCGTGAACGGCATATCCTTCCTCTTTGTGATAATGGGGATGTATGAGGGCAGGAAGGCTTTTAGGGCGGTTTGTATAAAGGAGAATGCATCTTCTTGACCCTTCTCGTGTTCGTCGAGGTCGTCGAAGAAGATGCCACCAACGCCCCGACATTCGTTCCGGTGCTTGTTGTAGAAATATTTATCGCACCACTTCTTGAAGCGGGGATAGTAGGACTTGTCGTGCTTGTCGCAGGCGTCCTTGATGGTCTTGTGGAAATGAATGGCATCTTCGTCAAAGAGGTAGCAGGGCGTGAGATCCGTGCCGCCTCCAAACCACCAAGCATTCACGGTTCCGTCTGGGTTCTCCGTCTCGAAATAGCGGTAGTTGAGGTGGACTGTGGGTGCCATGGGGTTATGCGGATGGAGAACCATGCTGAGCCCGGTGGCGAAGAAATCTAGGGAGGTGACATCGGGATCGATGGCCTTGTGATTGACTCTCATCTTCTCGATGGCCGGCCGAGGGAGGGTTCCATAGACGACGCTGATATTCACGCCGGCTTTCTCGAAAACATTCCCGTCCTGCAAAACGCTGGAGATGCCACCGCCACCACTTTCCCGCGTCCAGGTATCAATCTGGAACTTCTTGCCATCAATCTCCTCTAGTTCTTTCACGATCTGCTTTTGCTGCTCTTTTATAAAGCGCTCCATCCGTAGGCGCATCGGCGAGTTCTCTGTGATGCCGTTCTCGTGCTTCGCTAGCTTGTCCCGCTCTGCAATCGAGGGCGCCTCCAGCTTCGTTGGGGTACCAGTCGCCTGTGGAGGGAAACCGTTAGCCTAGGCATTCATATACGCTTATTGTGGAGGTTGACGTTACCATGGAGTAAACCATGGCTCCAATGAATACTACGCCAAAGGCGAGTCTTGTTTTTGGAGCCCAGACACCCTTGGGCGCATCGTGAGGATTGGGGGGTCTCCTGTTGCTAAGAGCCCTTTGCTGCCGTGCTGGTAGCTGCGGGAGGGATATGTGCCTGGGCCGACATTTTGACAAGGCTGATATGCGAAGACGAGGCCGGATTGAAGAAGCCATGATGATCGATTTGCGGGACAGCGAGTGTCCAGGGAAATGGAAGGAGAAAGGAATTGCAGGTATTAAAAGGACAGCCTCAAGGTTTTACAACATAGGCATGAGGCCACAAACGCAGGAATAACCTGATGCACCAGCCAACAAGGAGGGAGTGGTTACGAATTCGAATTGGAGCCGACAGATCGTGCCACTTTCTGGTGTGTTCGGATTGCCAGAAGAATAATCATCCAAAACACCCTGGTAAACTACCTTAGTAACTACCTAACTAACAACTTGGCCCTGGACTTGGAGAATCGGGATCGGAGTGAGGATCGGACTCTTCCTATTGGTGCGGGGGGGTTTGGTGCCGTGGCCACTCACGTGGGGAGTGGGTAGAGGGATGGTCACGTGTCATAGCTCTGCCTTTGGGACATTTTACAGTGAGTGAACATGGAAATGGAAGGGAGGAGAGAGTCACCTATGGGCACCTGATATATATGATATATGATATATGATATATGCCAGAAGGAACAGAACAGAGAACCCGATCATGCCCCCCATATTCACTATTCTATTCAATCTTCATCCTGCTCCGCCGTGCCAATAATATGAATCATCTCACCACCCAGATCACTGCTGACCCCGCCACGTGATGCCCGTGATATGCAGGGACAAACAGTCACACACCGCCTTTGGCTCGCAAGCCACGCCGACCTTCTAAGCCACACACCGCCGCCCCGAGTCACAGCTGCTTACAGTACGGAGGACTCCAGGCGTCTGATTAGGCCTCCAGCGTCCCAGCGTCCCATTACAAAGGCATCGAGGTACGACATACCTTACGTCCTCCCCAACCCAAACACCGACCTCGCCATCCATCATCATCATCATCACCCTCACCCTCACCCTCATCTCCTAACCTCTACATCATCCCACCAGCAAACAAGCAGAATAACCACTTCTCGCCCTCTTATCACCACCACCCCATCCTCCACCATGCGATCCAAATTCAAGGACGAGCACCCGTTCGAGAAGCGTAAGGCTGAAGCCGAGCGCATCGTAAGTCCCCCCCACCACCTCCAGCAGCAGCATCATCATCCCCCATCCCCCCCATCGCCATCTACCCTATTTCTAACAAAACTCCCCTCGCAAACAGCGCCAAAAATACTCAGACCGCATCCCCGTCATCTGCGAAAAGGTCGAGAAATCCGACATCGCCACCATCGACAAGAAGAAGTACCTGGTGCCCGCCGACCTCACCGTCGGCCAGTTCGTCTACGTAATCCGGAAGCGCATCAAGCTGTCCCCCGAGAAGGCCATCTTCATCTTCGTCGACGAGGTACTACCTCCGACCGCCGCGCTGATGAGCTCCATTTACGAAGAGCACAAGGACGAGGATGGGTATGTTGTCTCCCCTTTCCTTCCCTTCCCTTCTTCCCCGCCGAGCATCGATAGCGATAAGAACCCCGTTTAGCGGGCGGTGATGCAAACGACGACACACAGCGAGGGAGTAGCGGTCAAGAACCAGAAACAAAAAGCTAACCAAAAACCCCCCTCTCAAAATAGATTCCTCTACATCTCCTACTCGGGCGAGAACACCTTCGGCGGCTTTGAAACCTCGTAAAGAATTTCCCGCAATCAATCAATCTATCCTTATTATCTCAGGCGTTTCGGACATCTCAGCAGCCCCCTCGCCGCACCGACGATCGATCGAACGAACGCTTTGCCCCTGTGCTTCCACGCCCTAGCTACCTTCCAAACCTCACGGTGCGACAAGTAGTGCATTATGGCAGTTTTTCTTACGTTTTATTCCCTCTTTTTTGGTTGCAGAATAGGGGAGATCGGTGAGTGGTATAATGGAGGGTTCGGTGATGTGATGGCAGGATTCCCGAAATGCTATCCTCGCGTCAAACTGGGCAAGGCGGATGGGGGCCGTGGGATTTAGCAGGAGCCGAGTTGCTTTTGATTTGACATCTTGAGGGTTTGGGAATAGGTACAATATGATGCTTTCTGCCATAGACAGAGATGATTACTCACTCACCTGTAAAGATGCTATGCACCGCTGGTGTAAAATGCGGTTTTCGATTGATATGGGACCTTTGATTGGTCCTGTAGTGACTACAAGTTCGTGATGAATTTGATAACCCCGACTGCACCACAAATCGCAATAGTACAGACGACTGTAACCCCGACGTAACAATATCTCTTCAGGACCCAAGTATTTCCTACCCCCTGCTTAAAACGTCCGATAACTAAACTGCCATCAACCCACCCAACTAGCTGCTTCCATTAAGCGTCAGTATCTTTCGCCACAACCTTTTCCCGTCGCGCGAGAGTTCCAAAGAAGGTGCTGATCTTCTTTCTCAAGCATTTCGTGCCACCCGAGTCGTTGCGAGACTCGCTCTCAACAGATGCAGGCTCGCATGAAGGGGCAGGAGGTGTTGACTCGGATGCCTTAGAAGAAACAGACCGGCGTTCTACGAACTCGATACGAAAGCCCTTGGCATCTTCCTCGGATATGTCCGGATCAGCAGATGGAGAATTCTTCAGTATGCTCTTGCTGGTGGTTGCTGAGGCTTTAGAAGTGATGGTGGTCAGGGACTTCTTGAGAGTTCGGGCATCATAGTTCCCATCAGCTCCTTGGCAATAGAACGTCGTGGCTGAGACTGAGTTTCTCCGGGGATGACTCCTTTCTAAACATACAGCCGAATCCGTACGACACATTCGGGGCCCAGCTGGATTGTATTCTCCGATCTCGAAGGGATTGGCTGTGATCTTGTCATCGACAATTCTCCCATCTTTACGAGCTTTGCCCGACTTCTCCCTAGGGGTCGGAGCTTTATAAGGGACTTCGGATACGTCGCCTAGAGCCTGCCGACTTATCGTGTGACGTCGAGGCGGAACATTCTCAATGCCGCTATCTACCTTGGAACCTTGAAGAGAGACATCATTATCAACAGCGATTGTGCTCAACGATGTGAGTGCTTCTCCGGTGCCTGGAGCCGAAACAGACACCTCTCGGGATCCGTGTTCAGAGCTGGTATTGTGAGGTTGATCATTATTCGCCTCATCGCAACTTTGGCTGGGAGAGGTGCGGTTTCGCAGTTCATCAGGTCTTGGCTTGCGAACCCTCAGCGGCTTCGCTTTGGCTCTTCTCACACCCTTGAACTTCGGTTTAACTGGCCTGCGACGTGTGGACTTCGTGGTATTCCAAAGTTCGTTCATCTGATTGACCCTATAAGCTTTGACAAAGTCATACTTCCCGGGAAGAGCTAGAGACAGGAATTTCTCCTGCTCTGCGTATGTGAGATTGAGGCTTGCGGCATCCATCAGAATGTGCCTCTGCAGGAGTTTGTAGCTATGGATGAACATATTTTGCTCTGTTTTGTCCATCCACTCAAAAGCATCCAGAAGGCGCCCCCTCAGCTCCCTCGGAGGTATCCCAGCATTGATTAAGGTTTTGTGTGCCGTAACCCACTGGTTTACAGCACGATGTGCTACGCGGAGCCTATTCTTCTCAAACCATGCTGGTTTTTGTTCTCCATGGGTGCAAACCAACGAGACAAACTCGGTTTCTGTTAGATTTGCAGGGTGGAGGAAAGATGTCGCTAGGACACGTTTGACACTCTCCCAGAACGAGCCTTGTTGAGTACGATATTGTTGGGCGGCTGTCAACGGATCAGGAATGGGGTCATCGACAACCTTAAAACTATCCGGGGTCGGATGGCAATCTGCAAGGGGATCGTGAGCTTGCTGGGTGTCGGTCTCGAGTTTAAGCATTTCCGGTGGAGTCACGGAGGGTTCGTCCGAGAATGGATTGTCGACGGAAGTAGCATTGGACAAAGACGAGCTCTTTCGGAAGTCTGCATTGCGGAGAACCCGGGCATCGATGCCAATCTGCTTAGGGGAAATTGACGTTAACAGCTCGGGATGATGGTTCGCAGGAGCAAATATCGAGTTCGAATTGTATGTAATTGAGATCGTATCATCCGAGGTTTTCTCGCTGGGTACAGCATTCTCAGCGCGGCACAAGTGGTAATCATATCCCCTCAATCCAATCGAAGCTTTGTGGCGTAGGTTGGCGATCCAAGAAGGCTGGGACTGCTTCGTGGTGGCCGAAGATTTGTTCGCAACGACGTCGAGGGGTGGCGCAGATGGTAGCTGGGAACTGTCGAAGGATCTCAAACACTCCATGGTCGACATACGCCGAAGAGGCATCGTAACTAATGAATATCTTTGCGTGCAGTAATATTCTATGCGCGGTTGTGGTAACGTATAGCCGGAGAATGAAATTCGATGTGATGGGGTAGAGTGAAGCTTCAAAAGCTGTCGAGCATAGAGGTGGCATCTTGTTCGAAAGAGGCCGTCCTTTCCCCAATTGGCTTGCTCCAAGGCATCTCAAGAGAAGCTCCTTCCACCACTGTGCTTGTCTTGTAGCTCTCTGTGGAAGTTCCTTCCACTATTGAGTAGCTTCAGCCTTTTTCGCTCCATCGGCCGTTCGGAACCCTATTCTCCTACACAACAGAAAATTTAGCTTCGAACACAATAATATCAGATAGCCCTTGGGAATTGCCATACCGAAGTCCTGCATCTATTGTTTCACTGGTACTGCGGCCCAGCTCCTTCTCTTCTCGATTGATGCGTGTTGCGGCTGCGGATAGGCCTATGAATAAAGCGAATATTGGATCCGCAACCTTAGAGATTAGATGAGCTGGGGCAGGCATTTTGAAGCTTGGTTTTTAACGGAAACAATCGAGTTGTCTCTTAATCGTACTGTTGCTGTTACGTTGAGGAATTTCAGATGTGGTTGTGTTTTCCTTTTCTACAAGTCCAAGCTCGAATTGCGGTGCGAAGCTCAAGCATTTAGATCACGTGATATGGCCCCTTTCCGCTGAGGGAGAACCATGAAAGGGTAAATGAGAGATTTTTCTGAGTTGAGGAGGTTCGTTTTGTATCGTAACAAGCTATGTACAAGAAGTACTTAATATCTATCTATTCTATGCAACGCCAATTTCCAGAAGCGCCTTTTCCACTACCATATACATGATTCTCCAGCACTTGGAACAACACTACTTAGACAGCGCAATATCGAAGGCCGGGATCAAGGTCTGGGCGAGCCAAAAAGAGAAGACCAATTTCGGGCCAGTCATCAGCAGCTATAAGGTGTTAGTTTAAGTGTTAGGAGGTAGAGGGAAGTCGGGGAGCATGCCTTGGGGACCAATCCCTTGAAGAAGCTAGTAATTCCCTCCTTCTTCATCATACTGCCCACAATTTGGAACCCGCTCTTGGGGTTGTCAAAGTTCCTATTTTGGATTCGGGTCTTGATAACATCTAGAGGGGCTGAGACGACGAGGGACGCCGAGGCACCTGCGATCGAGGCAACGAAATTCTGAAGCCATGTCGCCTTGTTGTAATCCGTTAGCCCGTAGAGGTATCCCTTGGTAAATGCTGATCCACCGAAGAGCTACGTAAAGTTAGTGACGCACTGCAAATGTTATGGATGTACCAACCGCGAATGATCCGGGGGCGTTTCTCGCAGCAGTCCAACCCCAACCACGATACAGCCCAAAACCCTCATCCCGCACAATCCTGACAACGCCTCGTCCGCGGAAAGCTTCGGGATTTGTTTGGCGTTTGATCTTAAGGACATCCAGGGGAAGGAGGACAATCTCGCCAATACCGATCAAACTAGGGTTTCTGTCAATAACTACTGAACAGTTTATGTCCGAAGGGTTTCGCGTACCTTCCTGCGCATGAATGCATCATTGCCTTTCCAGTTTTGGCACCGAATGTATTGTCGAAAGTGCTGCCGTGGTGTCTTTGGAGATAGTCTCGCATGAACGGTTGCCCGCCATACTTGTAGATTCGTTGGAGAACCTAAGCCGGAATCAGTACCCTTCTAACCAATGGATGTACACCTGAATTTGACCTTATATCCTGCAGCATATCCAAGTCCTGGGAATAAAGAGAAGAACTTCTTGCCAGCGGGCGCGGTAGCCTTCTCCTTGAAGATAACGGTATTCAACTGCGAGACGGAGGTAATCTATAAAATAATGAGCGATCGAATCATTATAGTACATTAGCACTTCATGAATTAATGGCCTACCTTTCCGTGGTTGCTCATCAAGCGCTTTGCAATCGTATCGACCTTCAATGGGTAAGTATGGCTTGTATCGTTCGGGGACAGGGTTCGAAGCATACTGGATGGAAGACGGCCAGTTCAGAAATGCCGGCAGAACCTGTACAAAGTCAGACATATGCCCCAGGTAAATCGCGATCGTATATGTGTAACGCGTACCTGATCCCAATAGTCTAGCCAAAGTAGACTCTTGCTTGATCTTCGTGGCCGAACCCTCGGCAGCTACGATTGGGGGAGACATGGCGGTGGGAGATGTGGGAATTGAGAGCAGTTTTAAAGGGAAATGGAGGAGGGGAGATGAATTAAGTCGATTAAGATCCCAGGACTTGAAGGGCTGCGCTTCCTAAGTATCAAAAGAGTGGTGATGTATAAGGAGATGTCGCGGTCCCTGTCCAAAAAAAATGTCTCGATGCGCAAACAGGTTCGGACTCGCAAAGTGTTGTGGTCCGAGCTCGGCCAATCCCCAAGTCTCCAAGAACCGCTGCAGGGGCCCCAGCGTAAGCTTCTGACATTGCAGAAAACAATGTCAGTAATACGTCCCGCCCTGACCTCTATGACTCTACTAAAAAAAAAATCGGCTTATTTTATATATATTATCAAGGAGATTTTATGTGATATGACTTAAAGGTGGGGATACTTCGTAGTGTTAGTACTGCTGGCAGTTGAAGTACCGGTACTAAAACCTACCCACCTTTGAGCAGGATTAACTTATGACACAAAACGTAGAATACAGTGATACTTTCAAGTGTACCTATACAAACATTTTTTGGGTACCTATTACAAGCTGAGAAGTTAGATTCAAGCTTGTCTAATTACCCCATGGGCAAACAAGCATATCTATGGTATCACAAAGCCATCCACCTGGCAGAAGTGTCCGTCCATCTCCGTTTGTTTTAACGCCATTGTCCAATATGCAGCAAATCCCACGCTAGCCCATGCAATTCGCTCACAGCCATAATATCATCTCAGAAGTCCGCCTGCACTGCGTTGTATGCTGCGCTAGTAATCCCGGAAAACACCAACCAATTGATCAAGTCTTCCGATTTGGCCAAGCAACTGTTCCTCCTTGCGTTGAATAGCTTGAAGTTCGTTCAACTGCGCGCCAGTCAAGTAGTCCTCTGGAGATTGATCTCTCAGATCTGAGCGTTCGGTTAGTTCGAGGATCGTATGTGCTTTTCGTCTCTCGATCTCTAACCGCTGAAGCATTCTGGACATTGACTTGTAGATCCGGTCCAGGAGAGCCATGGAAACCTGATCGGGATCGAAGTACCAAAGGAAAAGTGTCCGGGCGTTGTTGCCGCGACTGCTATCCTTCGGTACTTCTTGGATATCGACGACGCCCGCCATTTGCATCTCAGCCAGCTTTGTACGCATATCCCTTTGCTTAACAAGAGCCAAATTGGGCAGTTGCTTTTCATCCAGCTTCCCCAATTTCCTCATCATTCGAGCCAGCCGATGACCTAGTTCACCGAAATTCTCCAAGAGTAGCTGGTCTAGTTCGATCTCTTGCATTTTCTTGACGAGTGACTCAAAATCAACGCACCACTCGCCCAGTCCCCGGATACCGCACTTTTTAATGAAATGGCAGTCGTCCCCTGCTAATAACATAAGGTGGTTCTTGACTTGCATCATACGGTTGTCCTTGTCATCGGCGGAAATGGATTTTGGAGGCTTGTCTTGAAATGTTACTTTAGGTCGTTTCGCCTTTGACGGAGGAGAATCTGCGAATGGATCGTCGCTGTGGCCGTCCGAGTCATGGTCAGCCCCCGGTACCTTCCCATTTTCGGTCACACCACTTCGCTTGTCCGATGCATCTTCATCTTTGCCCAAGTTTCCTTTGGTATCAGCCTCCATTTCGCTAGCTCTGCGCTTCTTGCTTGATTGTGACTGTCCAGATGTGGCAGGCTCAGTATTGTCGTCGGAAGCTCTCCCGATACCTTCTCCAACTCTGATAGATCTACTAAGAGCAGCTGCAACTTCTATGGTCGAGACAGAAGGTCCATCCACCTCATCCTCAGCTTGAGGGTTATCAATCATCGGGTCCGGTCGACAACGTGGGATCTTGGCTTCTAACATGCTGAGAAGCTCTTCATAAACTTGGGAGGTGGTCTTTCCGATTCTGATTCTCGCCATTTCAACAAGCTGTTGGTTACGGAGTATGACCGTACATTTCTCGTAGTTGATTCGTAGAACCAAGTTCGGCTTATTGCAAGTCAGCACCCACATCATTTAACTCCAGAGCCTTGAGAAACCCACGTCAAGTCTAAAGCCATCATCTTCATGAACAGGATCACCGTTGACAGCACCGCTTCCATGGGATAGTCTTCTCCTCTTGGTCGCACCGTTCATATGCTCACCATTGAGCGGCCTCTTCTTGCCGTTAGGTTTCCAATCCCGACCATTGGCTCTCATGTCCTGAAGCTTATCGCGGATCCTGGACTTGAGCTCATCCTTTTGCTTGGGGCCTTTTGCGCTGCCTCCGTATGAATCGCGCATGATATCTTTCTCCAGCTGGTTGTATGTATCTGAAGGGCTTCTGAACATATCCGCAATGACACGCTCAATCAGCCCAGCCTCAAACAGCCGGAACAGTACAGTATGCAACTGGCCGGCAGAGACAGCATTGGATTTCGCATGTCCATTCATACCATTCACAGCAGGACGGTCAGAACCACTTCCGTTAACCTTGTCCTTCCCCTTTGACTCATATGCTTCTTCGAGGTCCGATATTTGGGTATGGCCCAACAGCAGTAGGTTGTGCACCACATCTCGCGCTAAGGGTCCATATTTGTCTTGCACAAATTCCATGATCTTGCCAGACCGGACCAATGCGTATGCGGCATCGTGATTTGCCTCATAATGGGTCAGGCCAGTATCTTTGTCGGAATTGTGGTAGACAAGGTTCTGCTGGACGAGGACTGCAAGGCCATGTCGTAGCTGCCGAGGTGTAAGACGTGTATGCTGCGATAATGCAGACACTGGTAATCTTCCCCGTCGTAGGAGGATGGTGAAAATTCGCTGGTTCCATGTCAGAATTGACCAACAGTTCACCTTACAGGGCCTGGGCAAAAACTTGGGGAGCTTCCGGAGAGGATAAGATGTTCAGGGACAGATAACGGCGGGAAACATACAGAGGCAAGTTCTCCATAGGTCTCGTTGACTAGAAGAGCGCAAAGCTCAACTGCGTTCTGCGACTATGAGCCAAGTTAGTGGCTGAAGCTCATCGGCGGAGGGATTATATTTTGTCTCAGGGCGCAATGTGACGAGAGAAACCTACCGGAGACATTTCCCTGCTGCTAGAGACTATTGCAAGACCTCTAGAGCTTCCACAGATGCTACCGGGGCGTCATTGGTGTTTGTGAAGTTGAAGTCTTGTCTTGGAGTTCCGCAGCAGAAATATTTCGTGGTGGGGAACGATCCAGGTGAATGACTGGCGCAGTATGGCACACCAGCAGGCGGGGGACAGAATTTGTCGCTTGTTAGCGAGGCTGCTGGAACTTCGGAGCCGTATTTTGAGCCCCCCTGCACAGCACCAGCGACATCCCGAAATCTTCCTCCAAGACCACAGTTAGAGCTTCATCCAACTTCACCATTCTCTAACCATTGCGACTCCTCACTCGCCAATCCCCTCCGAACAATGATCTCACGGTCGGCGATTGGACGAAACGCACAGCTTGCCCTCCGCAGGCAATGCTGTGCGAAGCCTACGGGCCGACGGGGCCTGGCTGCCGCGGCCTCTCCATCAACCTCCACCCGCTACGAGAATGAAGATGTGGCCGGCGTCAAGGTCGCCACCAGAGATGTCGCAGGTCCAACTACGAAGCTTGCCGTTGTGGTGAAGGCTGGAACTAGATACGAACCACTCCCGGGCCTGGCTTTCGGTCTGGAGCGGTTTGCATTCAAGGTTTGTAGCTCTCACATGGGGAAGGTCGTTCGATTTTAGCTACTTGAGCTGATCGCTTTGCACATCTCTAGAACACCGAAAAACGATCTTCCCTTCGAATTACAAGGGAGTCTGAGCTTCTCGGTGGCCAATTGAAGGCATACCATACGAGAGAGTCCCTGGTCATCGAGGCCAAATTCCTCCAGCAAGACCTTCCATATTTTGCGGAACTACTTGGGGAAGTCGTCTCGCAGACAAAATATACTAGTAAGCTAGCAGTTGGCAATTTCGATCCAATTGGTATCTGACGAGAAATCTACAGCTCATGAATACAAGGAGGAGATCATGGAGACCATGGCGCTGCGTCTACACGATAAGCATGCCGACGTCTCGCGAGTTGCTCTGGACTCAGCACATCATGTTGCATTCCACAGAGGTCTTGGGTCTGCCCTCTACCCAACTTCAGCAGATGTTGGGAGATACGTGAACGAAGAAACAATCGCCGCGTACGCTTCTGATGCATATGCCAAGTCCAACATCGCCGTTGTTGCCAATGGTGCCAGCCAGGCTGAATTGTCTAAATGGGTTGGCCAATTCTTCACTAGTGTCCGTGCTTCACCCCAAACACCGTTGTCGACCAAGGCAACGACATACTACGGTGGTGAGGAACGACTAGCTCACGGAGCTGGCAACTCATATGTTGTTGCGTTCCCTGGATCAAGCTCGTTCACTTCCGGCGCATCCTATAAGCCCGAAATCTCGGTTCTTGCGACCCTCCTCGGCGGTCAATCAACCATTAAGTGGTCTCCTGGATTCTCGCTGCTGTCCAAGGCTGCACTATCCTTCCCAGGAACAAACATTGCGACATCGCATTTTGCGTACTCCGATGCTGGCCTATTAACCATTCAATTTACTGGCGATGCAGTCGGTATTCGTGATGCATCGGCCGAGGCTATTAAAACCCTCAAGGCCATTGCCTCCGGCTCCATTAGCAAGGAAGACGTTACCAAGGCTGTTGCTCTTACAAAGTATAACGCATTAGAAGCGGCCGAGAGCCTTGATACTGGCCTGGTATTAACTGGCGCCGGTATCCTCCACAGCGGCAAGCCTTTCCAAATTGAGGAAGTTGGCAAGAGTTTCGACAGTGTGACTGCTGACAAGCTGAAATCGGTATGGCTATTCCTAAATCTCAGTTCTTTCTTTCTGTTTCTGTCCAAGCTAATACGTTTATACAGGCGGCCAAAGCTCTCTTGGATGGAAAATCGGCTGTTTCAGCTGTTGGAGACTTGCATGTGCTTCCTTATGCTGCTGAGATTGGACTCAACGTATAGATGTTTGGAGATTCCTGGCGAGACGGGGTGGGGTGTATCAACAGCTCCTAGAGTGTATTGTAGATATGGAAGAACTTTTTTTTGTACCCCAGTCATTTGACCAGCCGATTTAAATTGCCTACTTGACTACCTAAAGTAGGTGGGTTGTGAAGTCGTAAAAGTAACCGTTTGGACCAGAATTTTAGAGGCGACTCCGGGTGCGGCAATTTTATGTGATATCACGTGACTACCCTCGGCTTCTGGCCTTTCGCGGATGTCAATTTCAAACGAAGCTCACCAAGTCGACTCAGTCACATCACTACCAGCACAATCACTGTATCCCACCTCACAATCCAAACACAATGGCTCCCGCGTGGAAAGCAGCAGGTCTCACGTAAGTTTATGCCTTTTACAGCCTCCCGAGTGGCTGCAATTGAGGAACAATTTGCTGGCAAGGCCATACCCCGACTGACAAGCCGCGAATAGCTACAACAAATACCTCGAAGTCGCCGCCCGCGTGGTTCGGCGAAGCTTGAAAGATGACATTCGATTGGCAGCCGAGAGGAGAGGACAGACGGAGCTGAGATTTGCAAAGTGGACCGTGAGTGCCCCTTCAATAGATACTGGATCATAGGCGGAAGGGTTTGACTGACGGTTATTCTGGCACAGTCCGGCAAACAAGGCGACCTCACCAATGTCGCGGACGCAAATGCTGTGGCAATGGCAGAGGCTGGCACCCCAAAAACATCATAAACTCTAGGATACATGGGGAATTGAGGGGAGAAATGATCGGGACGAGACCGCAGGCTGCGTGAGCGGGAGGGTGCGACTTGTATATTGTATCATCTGTGGTTGAGGAGCTCAACTCAGCAATTGAAGACATCCTACCACCAGGGCTCTACTGTTCATGAATATGAGGCAATGTTGTAATGACCTATGCGCATCCCTTGGGTGACTTTGAGGAAAGCGCTTCCGGATCGCCTGCTCTCTTGATGTATCTGACTGCCAACCCTCAATCAATGGCATCCAACTTGTCTAGCCTGTCCAACTAGGCCATCCACCTAGCAAATAATGATACCCACAGGTCTAGAGACTCCGGAATATCTGTGCATCGCATAGTCCGGTTTCGCTATGGTACACTGTCTGCAAACCCCAAGGACTGATTAGGACATAGTAGCACAACATATTCTGGAAGCCTATCCCCTACTAGATTCCTACCGTAATGTATTATTCAGCCTCAATTGTTAGTTACCTAGCTGTTAGGGGTCATGAGCAGTAATAAACTTCCGTACATAGTATAAGCGTCGGTATCAGCTCAGATTCAGCTATTTTTCAAGCGAGAACTTCCGGCCTCGCCTCCACAACAACAAAAGTTCACGCGGCCACGATGATGCACAACGACAGCAACGGATTAGCATCCGATGATATTAGACAACGTAAGAAGAAATTATTAGAACTATCAATATGTGATATGGAGCTAATGGGTTTGGTTTAGAGATGGCAGACCTTGAGATCGAGGATGACCAAATTCCATCCCCAATGGCATTTGCTGGATGGCATTCCAAGCCACCTCCAGTACCTAAATTAAAGAGTGCCGGGGTGATTGCCATAGATATTACTGAGCAGTTCATAAATGCTGCCCAACGTAAGTCTTTGTTTGAATGGAATGAAACTTTTTCTTTTGATTAGCACGTGCTAATAATCTTTAGAGCTTGACGATGGGGAGCTTGTCAAAGACCCATTCTTCGCGCTCTTCGACTCGGTTGGCGCTTTAGAGGTAAGTAGATTAAGAGTTATCCAGAGACATAAGCGCTAAAACTGGTAGATTATGGACCCAAAAATGGATAGCGGTTACCTGGAACCTGGTGAAACCATGGAGGACGAATACGATTTTAGTCAGCCTCTACTTCCAGAAGAAATTATAGGGATTATTGACCAGCTTCTTTGCCATGAGGTATGGTGTGTCCTCCTAATTTAGAGATGGTACTTAGCTCATTTTATAGATGGCATGGCATATGGGCCATCCACTCGCCCAAACACTTTTCACCAGTCTATACGTCGATAGACTCTTAGACCCTTGTCCTACCAGCCTCTCACATTTATATTTTGATAGGAGTGAAAGCTGCGAAGATGAACCCTTGACCCTTCAGGTTCTCAAAGCCTATTGTCTCGGTCTCATCAAAACCTGCTGTTATGTAAACAACAGGGTTAAAGCGGAGCACTATTATGAGGTATACGTTACAGCTTTCCTTGTCTCCCATAAATGACGCTCATGTGTTTATCTAGGAGGAAGACTTTGTCACGCATACCTTCCACCGGAACTTGCTGGAAAATTTCGAAAACAATGACATCCTAACGCTCATTCAAGAATCTTTAGAGCAAATATCAAATTCCAATGACATTTTGCCAGAAGTGAAAGCTGCCCTAGAATGCCGGCTCCGATTTCGAGAAGCTTTCCTCACCACAGCTGAAATAGCAGAATCAAGAACATCCTCAGAAACTATCAAGACACAGTGGGAAAGTCTGCAAGCTTTGTTACCAACCCTCAAGTCATCTACCAAGCTAGGAAAGCCCGTTCCAGCATCTTTCAGTGTTAAGCTGCAGCGAAAATTGGCAAGCACTGTCCCGCCACGCCCTATTGTGCATATAAGCCTAGATACTGCTTATGACCACTTGGAAAGGCTCTGCCGGGATGGTTCAATAGCCGCTGAAGTTTTGAAATATTACGACAGCCATAGTCTCATGGTATGTTCGTCATGCTTCGACCCTGTCAGGACTAACAAGGCCATAGACTTTTGTATTTCTATTTCAAGCACGTAAACCGCAGCCATCGATTTACATTCGAACACTATTGCAGCACTATTTATTTGGAGATATGGTAATCTTGGGAACAATGTCTATCCGACAACTCCTGGATGATGACTTATCAAGCACTGTATTGCCCGCAAATAAGATTCTCGATCGGGCGAATGACGAGGTCGAACTTCCAAGTGATCCGCGATTCAAGATGGCCAATGATACCGAGGTTTTCCGATCTCGAGCGGCAGGTTCGTACTTGGATATTCTACGTACTATTTGTCAGAACAGATGCCGCATTCGCCGTACGTTAGCTCGTACCGTCGCAGATTTCGAGATACTTCAATTAGATTCCGAGGAGTTGGATATGGAACTTCGTCAGTATACCCAGGAGGAGCCGATCAGGGATCGCGAGATCTCGAGCGAGCCGATATATTCATTTCCATTGTCTTCATGGGCGTACTTCTACAAACTCCGTCAGATGGAATGGCTATTACAGATGGGCTTTGAACTCGAGATCTATCAACAAGATGAATTGGCCTCCATGTTCTGGTATCTGCAATATCTGGCCAAAACGCGCAGTCGACATCTTGAACGGATACGAGGATTCAACGTCCGAGGATTCAACGAGTCCAGGCGAAATCCCGCGGCCGTGGGCGAAAGGCACGCAGAATTCATCAATGCACTTGCTTTTATCAATTACTCCAGCCTGGAAGCTTCGGCCACATATGGATTCGCAGATGCCTTGTCCTGCCTATTTACTGTCCTTAGGCGGCTCTCGCTCATCCACTCACCTCCCCGGCCATATAGTAATGATCAACAGAGATACGAAGTCCGAATGAAGCCATTTCGTCTTGTTGGGCTTCCCGAACTCGTCCCATTTGACGAGCTGAAGCGGCAGGTAACACAGCCAGGGGAGACAACGTTGGATCTCTTGAAATATGCAGCAGAATCAGCTATGGCAGCTAAGAAGGCTTTTGAGGTCATGAGCAAATTGAGTGCAAGGGATGCCTTTTGCCAAGGCTCGTATGATAGCTGGCTTAAAAATATCAAGGATACCTTGAAGGCGTGTATTTTCACGGGTATTACGATTGCAACGGTCAAGAAGGCGGTTGAGACTACGGCGAAAAATGGGAAGGTCCAAATCAAGGTTGAGATCCCTGCGACTGGAAAGGGGTATCATGATTGGTGGGTTGTACCAAAGGTTATACCAGTTCTTTGATCCTATTCGTATACCACCCTGGCGAATTATTAATAGAACGAGGTTTGTTACCGGTAATTACAAAACATTAAATTAGCAGTACCGAAATGCAGATGATATCGTTTGCCATCACTTCTAATTATAGAGCGGCTGTGACTGTTGAAAAATCCTTTTTCCTGGAACGCAGTTGGCCAAGTTTATAGCTCTGCAACTCGCCCCGGTCGCAGTCAAATCTAAGAATTGAAATGTGAGACAGTTGATTATCTTCCTCGGCTTTATGTAATCTTGCAGTCCTTTTTCCTACAATATATTTTATATAGACACATCAAATTTTAGTTGGGGGAAAGGGAAAGGCTAAGAAGAAGTAACAGTATTTCACCTAGAATGAGGAATACTTTGCTCCAAAGTAGAGGCCTCATGAAAACGGTCCTAATAATTCTGATTAGATATAAATCCGTGTCCTTACCGCTACGATGTAGGAAACTGGGCTCATAGGCATAATATTTGGTTTTGAGATTCTATTTGTATCTATCCTAAGTCAGCCTTTCTTGATCCTACTATTACTTCATTTGCCACTTTGATTTCTACTGCACCTATACATTGTGGATACTAGCCGCTACGACGAACATAAAATCTTGTGAGAGAAGATGTATTGATATCTACGCCGACGACGAATGAAATAGATTAAGTGACGTAGATCATGCTTTTACTTATGTTAGCAAAGCTGAACAAGTGTCTTCCACCCTTAACAATGCCGTGACGGAATGTCTTATCTAGACATAAGATCCTCAAAAGCCCTATCGCGAGGTCCTCGGAGAATATGAAGCTGGACTGCACCGTAAGCCGATCAATAAGGTAGTTGAAAGGGCCTCTGGCATTTCTTTGCGATCCATTATCATTAGGTACTTTTCGGCTTATCAGACTAGAGCTGCTAGTGACAAATTCCGAGCGAGGTGCGTGGGTTTATGACGCGGGTTGTGGCAAGGTGTAGCAGGAGATCTTCGAGGTCCTACCTGACATAGCATACACTTGGGAATGGTTGCGCCTCAACCACAACTTCCTTGGAAGCTTGAGGTTCATTGACAATGTCGACGGGATATAGGGACTCCAAGTATGCTACAAGGGGCCCTATGACTCCTCATGGCTCGGCGGTGGCTAGCCGAGGAGGAGGCAAAAGCCATGTTCCAGATCAGCAAAGGAGATATGTCGGTGTTGACTAATGGGTGAAAATGGATGCGAGAATATGAAAGTAGAAACGGAGCACCTCTAAAACAATAATAAAAAGATGATGTGCTGTGGTGATCTTGGAAGTTGCTGCGTGTAGCGCAGTCCTCCTGCCTTTCGGCTTTAAAATACTTTGATTGGAGCGATGTTGACTCTGGTAGGTTGTATTTTAAAGTATAATCATTTAAAATTCTTGAATCTTATAGTCATATTTTTGCGTAATGTCCAACCACTGCGGTATTTTCGTCTGGAGGGCTGATTCTAGTGGCGCCATATATACCTACCTTAGGTATATATCACGTATATATGTGATCTTCCGGAGACTTTTGGTTCGGACAAAGAGTCTGGCCTCTGTTCCAGCCACATGGCTTGGAAGAAGTTAAGGCCTATGGAGAATATTTCTCAGAATCGATGATATGGAAGCGGTCCTTGTAAATCGTAAGTCCTCGGACACCTTGACGCAACCCTCCATTCCTCGAGTGTACGAGTTCAACGATGAGACCTCGCCGATGTTGTTCGGCGCTTCCCGGACCCTATTTCCCATTACTAACTCGACATGGGGCCAAATTATACCGGGCATGTCTATCCGTGGATCGTTAGCCAATACGCTTGAAGGTTTGGATACCATATCTCCTTCCCCACTCCACCTTCTCAAGGCTCGGCATTATGTCCCACATTGTCCCAAATATTGCCTTTTCTATCAAGGTTGTGTTGAAAGCGCTAGTAGCAAGAAAACTTGAAAACACTGGTGGTAAAGACCGTGGGGAAGGCTGAACCTCGCCCCCAATTTCGTTCTATGATGTGTGGTAATCCATCTGTTCGCCTAAGCTTCCGGCATCACGTTGAAATTAATCGTAATATACCTAGAGTTATGTGTGACTCGGTGGCAGGAGAGCGCCTTACGACGTCGATCTTAGCAAAAAAGGGCACAGGATTTGCAAAATTGAGAATATCATATCATGTTTCGCTATTTGTTCCCAAAGGTTGGGTAGGGTGGAGCAATACAAGCTTGATATCAACGCCTTACTTCATAGTCATTGGTTCCTTAGCTGGAAGCTACTAGTCGAGCAACCACTACCGTATTTTCATGCGGACTGCTTGCTAAGTACTGTATATGATAGGCAAGATGCAATGACTCTGTTCATTTCACTGTTGGCGTCCGCTGTCTTTCAATTGGTCGGCCATCAGCTCTCGACAACGGATCGAGAGCTCATCGGAAACGTAAGGCATTTGCTAACGGCCTCATTCCGAAGAACCTATCAAATTGACCTGTTGAAATGATAAACAAACTCCTATCTGTCCAGTTAACACCTAATATATTTCCTTTATGGCGCGGAGACGGGGGACCCTCCGCTCCCCCCCCGCATCCCGGAATTCTTGTCCTCCCCAACCTACCACTCACACACCACAACCTCCCGGCTACTATTAGATCCCCTGTAACGAAATTATTTTGGACAAAAGTTCTCCAAAATATCTGTCCGCTTTGGGTGGGAGCAGCTTTCTGTTGCACTTCGCAAGCGGAGGGAACGTCCGTCGTAGGAGATCGGGATCGAGGGCGTTGAAGGGAGTGAGTGGGTTGATTGGATAATGTTGAGACATGGGGTTCATATGGGCACTGGTAAGAGATTAGGGTTGCCTTTGGTGATAGATGGTGTACCAGTAATAACGTTTGATGTTTTGGTGATGAGAGTTCATGAGCTGTTGGACGGTTGCGAGTCCATTTGAAAAAGGGGCTAAACGGGACCTGTTGCCTTGCCCGAGAGCCCACAGTCGATGGTTGAGAATAACACAGCGTACGAAATATAACTTTTCTTTGCCCCAAGAAGACTTGCATTGCTGAGACAGGTTAAATTCATCATATGGTGGTTTGAAGGTAATTGCATGCGAACTTTCGCAGCTTCAAGAGGCAAAACTGTGCTGAATTACGATATATATGGGGTGCCATCTAACATAAAGGGGTATACGCAAGGGCCGGACCAGGTAGAAACCCCGCAACAAACATCTAATAACCCAACTCTATAACCAAAATGCTCTCACTTCCAATGCCAGAATGCCACTTTCTACAATCCTCGATCAACCATCCGTTAATCCAATGCTCCTCCCAATGCATACATCATTTCGTATAACCACAAGGCACCTTGCGTATCGCTACAAGACCCTTCCGCTATCGCCTCGGAATGGCATTGACCATCTGTCTCTGCTTATTCAACCAACTCTTTGGAGCATCTTGCCGGCGCTGTAGCACCACATGGTTGCTCTGTAGTCGACCGGTGATATCGTACCAGGCGCTGGCAATGAGGGCGTTCTCGCGAGTAAGGTTCTTGATCGTGGCCTCATTGGCAGCCTTCACATTATTCATCAGTTTTCAAAGATTCAAAACAAAGCGGCAAGCGCCCTTTTCATGGAGTATATAAATGACGGACAAAATTTCATAAACGTATTTGATTGGGTCACAATGAAAAGTTATATAAAATGAGTGACAATTCAGGAGCGGTACCTTTTGAGCATCTGGGCTGCTTTCTTCGGCAGTCTTGAGTTTTCGCTGGAGATCTTGGATAGCCGCCTCTTGCTTCTCGATTTGCTATTGAGGTTGTTAGTCTGAGCAACAGAAGTCTCCTTCATGTTTTAAGCAAGGAGAAGGCCCCCAGCGGCCATGTTGCTTGATAGGGGCTGGAGACATAGGTAGAGGGACAAGTCTTGGGGGAACGGGTGTAGGGCTTGGTCGGCCGAGGTTTGCAAACGCCGAAAGCTCCACGGCGAGCTGTGCTTCTTCAAGCCTCTCCAACACTGGTGGGAGTCTTTCTGAATCTAATAATGAGCGGGTGCGGGAGGGGGGTTTAGGGATGACTGGTGGCAGAGTCTTATGTCTAGAAGATTTTGGGCCTGAGAAAAACTGGGAAAAACTCCAACTGGAGGGGCGGTTGCCTGACGAGGAAGCCGGGCGTGAACTATGGCCGCTTCCCCTTGAGGAAGCTGGCGCTGTGCTTGCACGCCACTTTTGACTTACCTCTTTTGATTTTTGCAGCGCCGCATTGGTTGCTTCGTCTGGTTGAGTCTTATCTGCTCCCCGGCTAGTAGATGTTCCTTCCTGCAATTTAACGATTTCTTGTGTGAGTCTGTCTTTAGCCAGGAGTGCATCCAGTAGGTGCGATTTCTGCTGCTCGAAATCAGTTGACAGATTTCTCATTTTGCTCTGGCAGAGGAGCAAATCATTTTGAAGGGAGGAAGTGATGAGTTCATTCGCAGTTTTGAGTTCTTCCAAACCATCTATTTCTCCTTGATCGATTGCGCTCACTAATTTTATGTTAGCAGTAGTACTTAGATATAACGGAAACGTGGAAATACTTACGATCAGCTTTGGCAGCAAGAAGATCTCTTTCACGACTAGAGAGTTCTGCCTCCGTCTCGGCAAGTTTTGTTTTGATGAGCAACAGCTCTTGAACGGCCTCCATGTAGAGCCTTCGGGTTGCGGCAACGGCTTCGTCCCTATAAAACTCAGGCATGAATATCTGGAACGGACCAGTTTTCATTAATTCATCAACCAAGGGGACTAACTTTTCTGAATCGATTTTGCTAATCATAGCACCCAATTGATGTTGCCCAATTGCGTGCTTTTCTTGTAGATCTCGCAGATTCAATTCAAGTCTCTTTCGTACTCTGTCCGATTCTTCAAGATCAATCCGAAGGTTCACATTCGTAGTACCAGCCGAATTGCTCTTCAAAAGTTGAATTTCCGCCTTGAGCCTGGAGAGTTGGAGAGGATAGTTCACGTCGTCGGTTTGATCCAACTCGTCTCCAAGACTTAGGTGCAGAGTTGTTGCTGTTGCTGTAGGTGATGGTGGCGATAATGGACCTACCCCACCGGTTTTCAGTGACTCTTGCAAGTCTTCAATGAATCTTTCGTCGTGTGCTTTGCTTGCTAGAAGATTTTGGATTTGGGCGTCACGTTGCCGTAGATGCTCTTCAAGAATCTTCGTTTGGCCAGCTCGTTCGACGACGTTGAGCTCATAAGAGTGGAATCTCTGTTGATATTCGGCCAGTGTCATTTGCATCTTTGAGTTCTCCTCATGGACCTTGTCAAAGGTCTTTTGGTTCTCTTCTAGAACATCAATTCGACGGCGAAGATCAGTGTTGTCCTTTTCGACTCCACTTTGGGCCTCAAGCTTCTTTTGGAAGTGATCTAGGGTGTTGGCTTTCCTGGACAACGTGACATTTTCTGCCTTGAGTTCTTTTAAATGGTCCTCGAGATTGATAAGTCGCTCAGCAGACGGACGCAAAGATTGGAGTTCTCTCTCCTGCCTCTCTTTGGTGACTCGATCAGTTTCTGCTTGCTGCTCTTGGTTTGCGATTAGCTCATTAGCCTCCAGTAACTGGCCTTTTAAACTTTGTATGTACTCGGTTTGGTCACCACTTTGTGAGTTCTGTAGATCATCCAACTGACGGTCCACCTCATTACTATGTTCCAAAAGTTCATCGTGGCTCTGTTGCAAACGCTCAAATCGGGTTATAAAATCTGCGTGCTTCTTCTTCAACCCTTCGTGCTCGGCCAAAAGTGTAGCATGTTCGGCTTCTAGCGCAAGCTCTGGATCTTTTGCGACTGCCTGGTCGGGGCCAGCGTTGTTATCTGCCGGGCTTCTAGTGTTCCCCTCCGTCACACTTTGTATTATGTTTGCAACCTGGCTTTGTGTGTCTGGATCTAGATCGTTCGTAATTTTGGTAACATATTTTTCGTTATTTGAGCCCCTTACAGCTGCCAGTAAGAGAACAGTGAGTAGCTTGGCCATTTGTTCCACATCATCGTGCTCTGCCATAGCATTGAAATCGATATCGCTTTCCAGAGCAATAGGATCGAGATCGTCGCAGTGTTTGCGGATGTAACGGAACAGCGACTTGGAAACTGCCTCCAAGTTCTTCTTCTTGCCTAGCCATCTTGATGCGGTGCTATTTATTTCGAGATCGCGAACGGCGTATTTTGGATCGATGTCCTCTGCAAACATAGCAAATTAGTATTAGGAGGATCAAAGGAATGGGGTAACGGGGCCTTGATTACTTACCTAGCATTTTAGATGGGACAAAGCCATCGGTCAGGTTGGCGAGTGATTCGACCTCGTAGTCGAGGGGAAATGTGTTGACCTGTATAACATCATTAGCATGACTGTAGATTCGAAGGGAAATAAGGGGTAGAGTACCCATTTCAACAGAGCCGCCTGTTCAATCCGACTGTAAGGCATTTTTATGTTGCTTCAGCGTATCCGGTCCGCGATAGGCATTTAAACTAATATCGAAGGTGGAGTTCCGAGGGCAGGATATTTCTTGACTCGGATTTCAAGATCTGATCGCATCTTGTTCTTTAATGCGCATATTAGGGTACTATATCCCAAACCTGTTTCACTGTTCGAGACGCCACTTCTGTCGTCGCGATCTGACAAGGGACTGTGTGGACGCGACAGACCGTCAAAGGCTAATGAAGCTATGACCCCCTTTGAGACAACTCTTATGTCGCCTATTAACAAAGCGCCTCGTTCATAGTCCCCTATGCTATAAATTTAACAAATAAAACTGCCTTATATAGTTCTGCTAGGTGGAATCGGTGGTCAAAATATAGAATAGATCATGTACAGGCGAATAATAAAGAGCCTGAGTAGCTAGATTGTTACCTGCCAGTGCTTGGTTGCGGGTAGCCTTTCGGAATGTACATTAGGTAGTTATAAGTTGTGCGACTCAGAGTCTATATATTCTCATTGAGTTTCTGCAAGTGAACAAATTCAAATTCGACCTAAAACATAGTACACCTTAGAAAAGAGCCCTTGATGCGCCATCCAAGACTCCTTCCCCCGATATGGATGAACATGCATACAGCTTGTCCGCCTTCATCTCAATACAATATACGCCTTTAGTGCAGGTACCGCCCCTTCAGCTGGATTGCGATTAGGACTATGAGCCACTGTCCATAATCGAGACCATTTGGTCATCCTCTATCACGGCGTGGTAATCGTTTCCCCAGGTTCTGTGGAGGATCAGTTTAGCATCGCCTCGTCTGCAGGTTTCTAGAGGGCAAGTTCGAGGACGGAACACCATGGTTCAAGACGAAAAGCTAGGGAAGTGCCCTATCTTTGAATGGCCTGACTTACTGGACTTGTTCGAGAATTTTCGCAGGCGCATTGGCAGCGAAGCCCCTGTACTAACGGTTAGACACCACATATCCGTAGTAGAGGTAAATGGGGTTCTTTACTTTATGAGCTGGTACTCATGGGTGATTACCCCTCCAGCAGCCTTGATAGCGTCTTTTGCCTGATCCACGATGCTATCGGGGGTGTCGTCTGGATAGGAGACAATGACGGCCTTCAGTGGCATGGTTACACCCAGTGCCACCGCCACGAGCGCAGGGAAAATGAGGAGTGAGAACTTCATAATGGTTAAGTTTTCAGTTCTTCTAAGTAGGTATGAAGTATGGTTTGGTTTGATGAGCGAAACGAAAACCTGGATGGTACGAGTAGCAACAGGTCGGGAGACTCATATTAATAGCCTCTTGGTGATGACGAAGGATCAAGTAGGATCAAGTAGGATCATGGTGGCCTCAGGCATAAATAATCACTGCTGGGGCACAGCCTCCCTGTTAGCTCTGCACGTGATCTGTATTTCAAAACAGGCGTCCCCAGCCACACCTTACCTAATCCTTGGACCTTAGTACCTCGAAAAGGGAACCACCTCTGTTCTTCGCACCATTCTACGATCGACAATCCTCCCTTACCGCAACAAATTCTACCCTCCTCCCAGCAGAGACACGGCAGTCTGTTTTCTTCCGTACGGGCGACGTTTGGATATAGCCCGCATCACGACCTTTTTTGTTGTGGGATTCTGGGGTTGCGTCGAGGCGGTTGGGCAAACAGTGCAAGGCAGGACCGAGTGGCAATCGCAGAGCAAAACTGAAGGCGAGGTGGCCATCGGTGGATTGGCAGTCAAATACACAATACCTGTTCTCACAGAGTGAATGCAATTGCGTGGATCTAGTTAGCTGCTGTTGAAAAAGCTCTTTTTTTTCGTGGTCTCAGAAGTGTGGTGGATGGAGAGACAAAGACATTTTCCTTGTGGAAGCTTTTGCCCAGATCATCTCACACGCAGTCTCCCCTTTCCTTCGACTCAGACTCTCCATTAGCCCATGATGAATTCCGACATATCTGCAGATGTGGCGGAGGATTTCCGACAGGCACTTCTCGACCTGACTATGAATTCGCGATATGAGATCAGCAATCTAACTGTCATCGCAAGGGAAAACACAGAGCATGCGTACGCCATCTCGGAGGCCCTAAAGAACCATATCAAGCAGGTAGGGTAGACTTCTCTTTTGCCTTCTACTAGATATACTAGTAATCATATGTTTATGTTTATGTGGTGTCTTGATTGCGTAACAATGATCTAAGTCCTTTACTTACACTTGTCAGACTTCGCCGCAGAAGAAACTTCCCGCATTCTACGTCCTCGACTCTGTTGTGAAGAATGTTGGCACCCCTTACACCATCTTCCTCTCCCGTGGACTCTATTCGACTTTTATGGAAGCATACGCGTTGGTGGACACGAATGTTCGGAGAAAGATGGATGAGATGCTGAAGACTTGGAAAGAGCCAGTCCCAGGGGCGTTGGATACGCGACCAGTCTTTCCACGCGACGTCACGAGTCCCATCGAAAATGCATTGATCAAGGCCAGAACATCTGCAGTGCAAGCTCACAATGAGTATCTTCGAAACCAGCAACAGGTCTTGGGTCGTGGACGGCCAGGTGCGCCCCAGGTTCCTCATCGCGATACACCTACACCTCCGAATACATACCGGCAGCAAGCTCAACCTGTTGTTCCACCACATCAGAATACATATCGACAGCCTCCTCAGGTTCCCATCCCCCCCCCCCAAAATACATATCGACCAGCACCTCCAGCTCCAGCCCCAACACCCCCAAATCCGTACTCGCAGCCACCTCAAGCTGCCATTACCACGCCTCTAAATACATACCAACAATCTAATCAGCCTCCAATTGCACAACCTCCCAATTATACCCACCCACAAGCTGCGGCAAGTAGCCTGCTGGAGCGATTACGAGCTTCAGGCTTGCTGCCCCCAACACAATCAGCAGCCTCATCAGGAAGCATTGCTTCTGGAATTCCTGCCACCACAAGACCAGCATTTTCGACCCCACCCGCATTTACGAATACCCCTCCAGTTGTCAACATACCCCCGCCTGTCAGCCTACCTCCATTTACTAACACACCGGCTCCCATAATGGGAGAACTACCCAATGACGCCGACCTGAGAAACCCTCTATCGCTGAGAATGCCCCGGCCCCATTTAATCTCTCGTCTATATGCAAACCTCGGCGCACCATGTACGCAATGCGGACGCCGCTTTAGACCCGACGAAGAAGGGAGGAAGAAGAAGACTGCCCATATGGATTGGCATTTCAAAGTTCATCAACGTATGAGGGAATCAGAAAAGAAAGGACAGGGCCGGAGTTGGTATGTGGATGAACTGGTAAGTTTCTTATTCTACGTGATTTTGTTGATGCTCATTTGTTTTAGGATTGGATCAACTCCCGTGAAGTAGAGGACGATCAAAATGTGGACGTCGGAGAGAGTAGGAACGGTGCTGGTGTTGCTGGCCCTGGCGCACCCAGCAAGCCGGAATTACAGTATATACCTGCCCCGGACGACCCTACGCTTGCAAGTAGTGTTTGCCCTATTTGTCAAGAGAAGTTCGAATCAAAATGGCTCGATAGCGCCCAAGAATGGGTCTGGATGGATGCCAAAAAGATTGGAGAGAGGATATTTCATGCTAGCTGTTACGCTGAGGTGACGAAGGATTTGAGCAAAGTGCTAAAAGGGGCTACTCCGGAGCCTGTGCTGGGAAAACGGAAGGCTGAAGTGAGCAACTTATTATCCCTATCCTTTAATGTACCAGCTAACCGGCGTCTAGGATGATCATATTACGCTACGGTCTAAAATAAAATCGGAACCTTTCCCTTGAAGTTAGCCGTGCCCATAAGTCGAGGAGGATATAGACGCCGTAACGGCCAGGGGCAATCCTCCATATTCACACCATAGCATCGGAGTTAGCGACATAATGACTTGTTAATACCACCATAAGCAAGATAAAACAAATACAAAGATAAATCTATACTGCCTACCAGACCTTCGTAGTAATTTTGTCAACCTAGTTTAGTGAAAAAGCCCCTGCCTCTAGTGACCACCTAGACAGGTATCTATACACGTGATGTTAGTATTTTTGTCCTCAGGCAAGTATTCAGGGAACTCTAAATTTCTGATTGGGTCGCTTAGAATGGCTCCCACACAGAAAGTTACTGCGAACTTTCCGAATCTCGAATTCAAGATCGCGAGACGACCCAAACTTTACAACTCAACTCCAAGAACTTGACGTTTCAGTCTCCGCTCAACCCGCGGTTAAAGTGATTGATTCTCCTGTTCATCCCAAATAACAAATTCTACATGTAAGTCATTGCCCATCTGCGGCGCGCAGTTTTCTTATGCCCCTCAATCTCACAGCTCACCTAAGATTACCATTCCCTGGGCGCCTGTATGCTAACTATCCTTCCGTCTAGCCATCAAAATGAAGCACCTCGCAGCTTACCTCCTTCTCTCCATCGGCGGCAAGACCTCGCCTGCCGCGAAGGACATCAAGTCCGTTCTCGACTCTGTTGGAATTGAGGCTGATGCCGACCGCGTCAACGCTCTCATCTCCGAGCTTGAGGGCAAGGACCTCCAGGAGGTATGCAGACATTCAAAGCTAGAAGTGCGCGAGGAATTGTGCTAAGAACTATATAGTTGATCGCTGAGGGCTCAAGCAAGTTGGCTTCCGTCCCATCTGGTGGTGCTGGTGGTGCTGCTCCAGCTGCTGGCGGTGCTGCCGCCGCTGGTGGCGCTGCTGAGGAGGCCGCCGAGGAGAAGGTCGAGGGTATGTTATATCAGCTGGTTGAAATGCTAGAGGACGCCACTAACATTCATCATAGAGAAGGAAGAGTCCGACGAGGACATGGGCTTCGGTCTCTTCGACTAAGAAGTTTATTGACGTTATTATGGATTCGATGCCCTTTTTACCGAAATTCAGGTGGTCAAGGCTTCAGGAAGGGGTTGTGCGGGCTTTGCCTGTCAAGTGCATGTCATGGGAGTCAAGGATCTGATTTTGCGGGTCTACTCATGAAGGAATGCCAATCATGCATGCTAGATAGTGCAATAAAGACGTGCTTCTTCCAAGTTGGCTTTGTGTCTGTTACCGTAAGAATGTGATTCTGATTGTGACTGTATACTGTATGCTATATACTGAATAAGACCAATTTCATTCAGTAAGAAGTGGCTGCGGCAAAAATATCTCCTACTACTACGTACGGTATGTCGCTGCGAATAAAAGCTTACACAATGTGACCAAAGGAAACCACTTAAAAGACCTGCTTCTTGATGGATATAAAATGCCTACATATTTACCTATACAGAGTACTTGAAGTTATAACTTTCCTGCATACTCATTGGCCAATACTACTTGATTTTAACAGTATGTGGGGCCCATAGGTAAAGCCCTACCACCAAAATATTTCGCGCTAAGTGGAGCTAAGCGAGATCTCTTCAACTTCCAACAACCGAAACTTTGAAAATCGAACCTCATCGCCAACTCTTGCCTTTCGACCCAGCATCGAAAAGCACATCACCGACCGCAATCATGGCTGACGAATACGTGCGTATCAATACCTTTCCCTTCTATTAGCCTGCAGACCCAGACGTTCTTCCAACAACCTGCTAACCCATACTCACCTGCAGAACGCCGAGGAGGCCGCCGAGATCAAGAGAAAGAGAACGTTCAGAAAGTTTTCCTACCGTGGAATTGATCTTGATCAGTACGCTTCCCTCCGCAACCGCTGAAAGAATTCAAAGGGGATCTTTCTTTTTCGCAAAAAAAAGACAAGCTAACCCTCTATTCTTCTCCGATCAACAGACTCCTCGATCTCTCCTCCGATCAACTCCGCGATGTCGTCCACGCCCGTGCCCGCCGTCGGTTCAACCGTGGCTTGAAGCGCAAGCCTATGGGTCTCATCAAGAAGCTCCGCAAGTCGAAGCAGGAGGCCAAGCCAAATGAGAAGCCCGACCTCGTCAAGACGCACCTGCGTAACATGATTGTCGTGCCTGAGATGATTGGCAGCGTCATCGGTATCTACTCCGGCAAGGAGTTCAACCAGGTCGAGATCAAGCCTGAGATGGTTGGTCATTATTTGGGAGAATTCTCTATCTCTTAGTACGTACCCCTATGTGCCCCAGATAGGTCGTGAAGGGAAATTAGCTAACCCCCGAAACCAGCCACCCTGTCAAGCACGGAAGACCCGGTATCGGTGCTACCCACTCTTCGCGTTTCATTCCACTCAAGTAAAATGGACATTTTGTCGGGTTGGTTTTTGCGGGGTGTAATGGGGAATTACATAGGGCTGCATTTGCGTCTCTGCCACAGTTAGCAGATATCGGCGAATCGCAAACAATGAATGAGATCTTTACATCCTCGTCCCCTTGTTTTTCCATGTGTAGATGTCGTCTTATCTATCTTCTGTTTGATCCATAAAGTTAAGGCTCGACAAAATCACACCTGGAGCATGGAATCCCCATCACCGTACTCAAGTCATCTCGATCCGGAACAATCCCGCCGCACCCCCTCCATTCAATTCTTCTTCTAACCCCCAATGTCCAAATCACCAACAACCTAGCCTAGAAGCCTTTAAATCAGGGACTGTGGAAGTAAATTCTCTCGTAAAGTTAAATTTGTATCTATTTAACTTCACCAAGGTAGGATAGGATCCTCTCTTCTTGGCCCATCGATTTCAGTGGTTTAACCGCCATATACGGTTCTCTGCAACATAACTATTGCAACATAACTACGATCATCATAGACCACTTCCCCCTTCTCCACTCGTCACTACCGCTGCCTCTTCCCGCGCCACGGGCATGGAATCGCGTTACAAAATGCTTCCTAAATAATGAAATACCCATTCCAAGCTACATTCCTCCGCCCTAGGTCCGGTAAATCTATATCCCCTAACTAAACCAAAAGAAAACGCTTATAGGTAGCATTAAATCAGAGGGAGAATAAATCTTACTCTTAAGGAGAGCTGTGCTATAATATATTTTGTGATGTTAGGTCGACCAAGCTTGTATTGCTTTATCATTGGTCTATCTTACTTCTATGGAGCGAATCTTCACAACCAACATACGTCCAACTAGTAGATCCCGATTGGCTAAATATTTTCATTTATAGGGCAATCACAACAACGTACCATTCACAAACTATTCCGAAACAGTATCAAGGGAAATTCGATACGGAACGTCTTTGAATATGATAATTTATTATAATGATATAGTTTTTGTTTTATTCTGAATACCGTGAATACATCTTTAACCCTCGATGGGACAATAAGTGCTCAATTGCTCAAGTCCATATGGCATCCAACACGCCAAAGAAAGTCATCGCAGCGATAGATCAGTTAAGAGATATTACCCACTGCATATAACTCACTCTATCTATAGCAACCAACATTAATGAATGGGCCACAAATACCCGGGTTTCGTCCTCTGTAGACTTAGCATTTCAAAAAAAAATCCTAATGATGCTTTGCGCATGTAAGGTAGGCCATAAAGGGGATCTGGTAGAATTTCCGACCATTCGCTGACCGGTACTAAAAGATGTATGAAGCCAACGCTGGATTTGTAGAAGAGAATTTTATTTTTGCTATAAAACAACGCAATGTTATTACTGGCACAATGTGTGAATTCGGTCAGTAGCAGTAAAGCAAACCAACTTCAATGCAGAACATCTGTTGATGTCTGAAGAGCGAGGATATGCTGTTTTCTGATCGGATCACGTCTCTGCCACCCGAGGGAACAACTGAATTATGGAGGATCTGCAAAAAGAATACCGCGGAAGGGAAAACCAAAGGAACTCGCAACCATGACGCAAGGGGTAACAGGCTGGCTTTTCTCTGCATAACGCCTGCCTATAAATCACGGGATCATTTATTGTCCCGGGTTTCTCCATTCTCTCCGATGAGACCGATCAACAAAAGCAAATGCTCCAAAATAACATCTTTGAAATACAATGGGGAATTGAATGTAGAGCAGGTTTGAGAATTCTCGAAATTCAGAAACGACGTAGCTCCAACTAATTGGTATGATATCGTGCGTTGAATCTGCCTCAAGACTCCGCGTACTTAGGGTGTGACGAAGTGAAGTTCGGATAAATAGGGCACTGCCAATGACGACCATTGCTGATCAACTGACGGAAACAAGTCGAAAGGCTTCAGTTGTCGCCATAGTTCAAATTTTCGGTGTAAACATTTTCCTCGCCGGCAGCATGATCATCCCCATTTGTTGCACTAGCATTATGCTGGTCTGGCAACAGCCCCTTCTCCTTGAGGTACTTGATGGATTTGAGAATGGTCAAATCATCCTTTGCAGTGTCGCTCAGAATGAGGCGCTGAGCGAGTGTCATCTTGCCACCGTTGGCTTCCTTGTCCCTCAAAGCTTGATTGCGAACCTCCTGATCGTGAACGAAACGACACTTGCCCTTCTTACCGCATGTACCACCAGTCGAAAAGTATTTGCAGTGACGCTGAAGCTGTGCTTTTGGTGGAGGAGGAACGCGCATGGGGCCATTGTTGCGGGATGACATGGTCTCTGGTTCGGATTCCTCGCTAGAAGAACCTTCAGATTCTTCATCGCTCACTTGACCTCGGTCCTCATCGCCTTCATCACCATTGTCACGCTTGCGCTTCGCACCAGACATGTTGCGTTCAAGTTTCTCGAGTTCGAGTCTTAGCTTTTCGGCTTTTCTCTGTTGTCGCTCAAGCTTCGACTCGCCCTCTTTCTCTTTGGCCTGCTGATTCTTGCTCTTATTTTCTTGGTTTTGCTCACGGCGCAGACGGAGTTCTTCAGCGGCAGCTTCTCTACGAGCTTTCGTAGGGAATCGGGACTTTCGCTCCTGGAGCCAAGCCTCAAGATCAGCAGGCAGTCTATGTAATGTTAGCTAGAAGAACTAATCTCCCACTCGTAAAAGAACGTACTGTGGCGTATCTGGTCCAAGCAAAGTAACAAGACGAGCCTCTTCATCAACATCGTCGACTTCATCGTCGCTTGAATCGTGATCAACCCCATTTGGTGTAAGACCAAGAGTGTTTGTTCTACGCTTCTTCTTTTTCTTGCCATTAAGATCTGCACCTGCAGGCTTATGGAAGTTCTCTGAGGAAGCTCTCTGGCCATTAGGATGACGATTGTCGCGGCCGCGGTGTGAGAAATCACCACGACCTCTGCCTCTAAAATTCATACTGCCTCTGCCACGATGGGGGCCAGAGTTGAAGGGATTGGGATCAAGTGGTGGACGCTGTCCTCCTCCATGCAGAAAGTTCTGCGGTGGATAACCTTGATAGGTAGGCTGATTAAATGGAACAGGAGGGCTGTGATGATTTGCATACTGTGGGGAAAAGGAAGGACTCGCTTGAGCCAGGTGGCCGCCTCGCTCATTGTCAAACCCCATGCGAATTGGGGGGCCCATCAAAGGGACTTCATGACCTCCTCGACCACTATTGAAACCGCCACGACCACGACCGCGATTATTAAACTGTGGCGGGCTGTGCTGTGGTGGACCAGACCACTGAGGTGGCTGGTTGGGATTGGGGGGCACACTGTGACCATAAGGAGGCTGCTGAGCATTCTGAAATTGCGGAGTTTGCTGCGGACCATACTGTGGTGGTTGATTATAGCCTTGAGGGGCGTAATTGGGATGATAGTTCTGTGCAGACAAAGGAGCCGGAACGGGACCTGGTTGCATCGGAGGTTGCTGGGGATGTTGCTGAGGTCCATGATGCTGCGGCCCATGGGACTGCTGATGTTGATCAGACTGCCACTGATGTCCAGGGCCCGGGCCTGGATAGCCATTAGCAGGACCAGGACCTTGATGGCCTTGTGGACCTGGAGCTTGGGGACCTATGTAAGGAGCAGGATTTTGCGGACCGCTGGGACCATTGTAACCTGCTGGCGGGCCTTGCTGAAGCTGATGAGGGCCTTGTGGTTGAGGAGGGCCATTGTAGCCGGTAGGAGGATGGTTGTATGGTGATGGCGCGTGAAAATCACCTCGTCCGCCCTGGCTGCCACCCCTTCCGCCTCGCGGAGCTCCACCACCTCGGGGCTGCTGGTATTGCGGCTGCTGAGCGTATCCGTACTGAGGATGTTGCTGCTGGTGGGGAGGCTGATTCGAGGGAGGAGGACCTGGGGGAGGCGGAGGAGGTGGAGGGAAGTTGTATTGCTGGGCTCCCGACATCTTATGAGGCTGGCCACGACTACCACGACGACCTCGAGGTAGAAGTACTCCCGAGTTTGTAAGACCAGTGGTGATGGAACGAGATGTGAGATGGCGGCGATGCGCAGATGAAGCTGTATTTATGAATGAGCAAAACGAGTCGGCCTGATATCCAAAAAGAAGGAGGAGTTGGGGATGAGAACCGGAGCGTGTTGAATAAGGAAAGAAAGTCGCAACTTGCCTGCCGTTTTGGATGTTTGAGATGCAGCACGTGCACGGACCATTGTCAGTCAGATCACGTGGCTTAGGCGTGGTCATAAAGTAAGGTACCTAGGTACGTAAGCGACTTTTCCTTGAGTCTAAAGTGGACGTGAAGCTATTCAAGACTTTGCATGAAGAGACTTCCCACTGAACCACTGGTGTTGTTGTTGTTGTTGAGTCGCGGCGTTGGGCTTGTGGAAATCCTGTCAAGGCTGAAGATTTTATTTGAACGATTAATCCATCTTTGAGGACAATAGAAAAGCTCTCAGGTGGTGAATCATAGTGGAAAAACATTGACAGGATCGTGAGCGAGTCACGTGGGGATCAGTTTTGAACAATTTTGTACGGAGCTGTGAATTTTGATTCGGCAACAAGTTATTTTATATCGTGGGGATCTATTCCGCCCAGACGCCCAGACGCCCAGAACCCAGCGAGGAGGAACTACGTCTAATAAAATATGTTCATCTTGGTAAAACTCCATCCCATCACTGTCGTCAAAGAAACGCAGAGCTGACCCTCTTCGTAATATAGACTAAGATCGCGGACCTGGTCCAAATAACACCGGAAGACTTCGACAAAGAAGCCTCCCAGGCAATCGAAGACAACATCAACGCAAAGTATGCCAACCGCGTGATCCAGAAGATAGGGCTCTGCATTTGCCTCTACGATCTTCTGTCCGCATCCGAGGGGTTGATCGGCCATGGGACTGGGCTTGTTAATGTCAATGGTACGCCTAAACCATATCCTAACTCAACTTATGATTTCATAGCTGACATATATTGTCTGCTTGTCACAGTGGAATTCCGCCTCATCATATTCAGACCGTTCAAACATGAAGTTATACTTGGGAAGATCAGTAGCGCTACGCCTCAGGGAATAAGAAGTATGCATCCTTGCGAATAAAATAATTTTCGTATGGCTATATCGAAGTAACTAACAAACCCCTAATAGTCCGAACAAATTTCTTCGACGAGATTTTCGTCCCAGCGGAGCGGCTTCCCGAGGGTGCTTCATTGTTCGTCACTCCCTTCCGCGCCCAAGAATTTCCTCTGCTGACACCCCGCAAACAGCAATGATAAAGAGCAAGTCTTCACCTGGGAAACCGAGGGCGCTCTCTTATACTACGATAACCATGAAACGGTGCGTTTCCGTGTTGAGGACGAGCACTGGCATGACCAAGCCCCCACCAAGCCCGGAAATGAGGAGCAGGAAACCAAGAAGATGAGTCCGTTTACGCTTACGGCTAGTATGGAGGATTCGGGGATGGGGCCTTGTTTGTGGTGGGATGGGGATGATGAGGAGGGCGAGGAGGAGATGGAGGAGTAGGGGTGGCTTGGATAGAGATGTATGGAGGCGTTATTAGGATCGTGGAAGTGCTCATAGATGGCTGGGATACTGCTGGCATGTTCTTTTATATGTCTGAATATACCAGTTGGCGTTGGGGAGTTAGAGAGTGGGCCAGTGGGAAAAGTGTATATACTCACCCACTCTGTACGAAGTATGCGACCAAGAATAACATTTAAAACTCCCTGTAACTGTGCCGCAGAGAGTTCGTCAAGGGGTTTTTCTTTTTACTTGGCAGCAACTTCGTCACTACAACCTTTCCGCGCGACTGAAGTAAAGAGTTGAGAGTATAAAAACTTCGCATTTCTTCAAAAATTCATCTATAGACGACTATATTCGTCCCTAATAAAGAAAACACCATTCCGCAGAAAGATCTCGAGATACCTTTTGTATAAAAAAGAGGCGTATTGCCATTTTTGCAAAATGCTCAGATATGCACCAAACACCGAAAAAACGCCTCTATACCCCCACGAGCCCGATGTTATGCATCATGCATATGCTTAAAGCGTCGCCTGTCCGTTTACTCCGTTCAAGCCATTAGTGATCTTGGGCAGAACGACGGCCTTCTCCAGCGCCTGCAGCACATCCGCCTTCAAATCCTCTGCGTCCTCAATGCCGCAGCTAACTCTTACTAAATCATCAAAGACACCCACGGCCTCGCGGTCCTCTTTCGGAATACCAGAATGCGTCATGCTGCTGGGCACTTCAATCAGACTCTCGATTCCTCCTAGACTTTCGGCTAGGGTGAAGAGGGAGGTGGATTGACAGAACCGCTCGGCGGCAGCATGGCCACCTTTGATTCGGAATGAAAGCATACCACCGCCCATGCCGTTTCGGTGTTGCTTGATGGCGATTGCGCGATGAGGGTGCGAGTCGATACCGGGATAGTTGACGGAGATGACATGTGGAGAGGCTTCGAGGGCGTGGGCTACAGCTGTCGCATTGACGGTTGCCTCTCGCGCTCTCAGGTGCAGCGTCTTCAAACCTCTATGCGCGAGCCAGCTATCGAATGCAGAGGGCACTGCGCCAATTGCATTTTGCAAGAACCCCAATCTCTGCTTCATCTCGTCCGAGTTGAAAGCCGCAACGCCCATAACGACATCCGAGTGGCCATTGATGTACTTGGTAACTGAGTGCACCACGATATCCGCGCCATGGTCGAGAGGGTTCTGCACATATGGGCTCAGGAATGTATTGTCGACCACAACCTTAATGCCATGCTCATGGGCCTGCGACGCGACAGCCCTGATATCCACCAGCCGCAGAGTCGGGTTGGAGGGGGTCTCAATCCATATCAACTTCGTCTCCGACGTAATATGATCTCGAATATCGACCTCGATCTCGGGCGTGAATGTGACCTTCACCCCGTGCGCCTTCGCCACCTGGGTGAAGTATCTATGTGTTCCTCCATACACGTCGCTCACGCTGATGACATGGCTCCCCGCTGCCAGGCTTTGCAGGATGATAGCGGTGGTCGCCGAGCCGGAGGCGAATGCCAGGGCGTATTTGGCATTCTCAATCGCTGCGACGGCAGTCTCGAAGTTGTCGCGGTTGGGGTTTGAGGACCGGCTGTACTCGTATATGCCGACGGGCTTGCCGACACTGGTTTGGGCGAATGTGGTACTGAGGGAGATGGGCTCGATAACAGCGCCTGTAGAAGGATCGTGAGGGGCTCCGGCATGAACAGCGAGAGTGCCAAAACGGTGGACTGGAGAGGGAGCCCGTGGAGGAGTCTCAATGGGGTGATCGGTAAATGTCATCTTGAAGATTGTTTTGTGAAGATCGTGAGGGAAAATTGGGTGCGGGGTTGTTTGCTGTCTAGGTTGGGTTGGGTTTTTTCCGACCAGGACGAGATTTCTGGGGGATGGAGGGGTAGAGGGCAACAGCCACTTCTTTAATACGATATGGCTACTGGTACGTGAAAAAGAGAAGAAGGGATTGCAATGGCAAAGGTTCCAAGAGCGAAAAAGGTAACTCAAGGGTCCTTTTATACATGCAGTTAGGTAAGGCGTATTGCAAGAAGAAGGTGATGAGTGTTAGTGATTGATAATTCATTCATTCGCCTTGGACTCGAGACTGGCAAAGAGGCTAAACTGCTTTCGGCGCTTAACAAAGGCGGTAAGACCCGAGCACGCCATCGTTACGGGAAGGTGTTTATTTAGAGTTATAGAGAGAGTAGTTGAGTGGCTAAGGGGACGGGTTCTGTACCATGCTGGTCCCTTATGCTGTGCGAGTTGCTGGGTGATCAGACTTGGTTGACAAGCAAGATTTATAACACGGTTCTTCAAGCGAGACAAAAGATAAAAAGCCGGCACGATTTGTCAATCGCGGGGTTAAATGTATCGCCAGGGCGTCTTGGCGCATAATTCAAGACCTTTAAGCCGAACGGATCTGCTAAACCGGGGTTCACAGTATAAAAATAGAGTTGCTGACATATCATCTGCCTCCACATATATTCGCGGTTGGCCTCCCTGCCTTTCGACACACGCAAACAATACTCGAGTCCTCCGTATTGCTTAGAGGCATTAAGAGGACAGACACATAGCAATCAATACCAAAGGTGTAATCATTGGTTTCGATCAGGTAGGCTCTTCCCGTTGAACGCCGCTTGCCGGGCTTCTAGACTGCTTTATGTTGGTCAACAATGACGGAGGACCCGCCGCCGGCGATAGCATCATAGCATGACAACAAGGTATACTATTGCGCAACAAGGCGAACCTTGGCTCCGCAATTACGAGGATATCTACTTTTCTAGAAGGTTGACTTCGTCCTTACCACGATTACGCCCGCTTGGTATGACTACTTCTCTTTCTCGCACGCAATCGAACAGTAGCATTCTTGGCCGCGACGACATCATTTGTTGGAACCTCCATCAATTTTTATCATAATAAGTACGTTCGTTGCACCGCAATGCGGAGACC